TGTAACTTGATTTTTTATTAAACTGTTTTAAGAACTAGAGTTTTGGAGTGTCTATCTTCCCTTGTATTGCAGAAGTTCAGGGACAGATTTAGCTATTTCACTGCCATTACATGCAGACATAATATCTGCCGCCTTTGACAATCAAGTGATATCTCTTTTTTTTTTATAACGAAAAGGCAAACGAACATACGGCTCACCTGTAAGTTACTACCGCTGCCCATGATCACTAGCATGAAAAGCACTGTAGATGTGCTGCCGGCATTTTAAAAAGGAATATGCTCTTTTCTTGAAGGTTATGTTGTCGTGTCGGTTCGGAAATACTGCTGTTAGAAGTTGATTCCGAAGAGTGGTTGTGCGTGGAAGAAAGTGCCTTGAAAAACGCACGGTGGAAAACTGCTAGTTATCCCGATGGTTGCGATGAAACTTTAGTTTGTGGCGGGTTGTATCTACTCACTCCCTTATTCTTAAAAACGACAAACCTCTCACATAAACCTATTTTAGTTGTTTTGTCCTTCTCTTCCGCACTGAATTCTCAATTTAAAAGACGGTGACAAAATATTTTAATAGTAAAAATAGATTTGTAGGACGTTTCAGTTTTTATGAAAGTTTAATAAATTGGCTATAAAAAAACAACGAATGACGCAGTTGCATGTGATATAAACGAAATGCTTTCACTTTTTAGTTGTTAGCCGTCCTCCGTACCTATGTTGCTACCCATTTTTGGCTCTCTGAGCAATAACCCGGTTCGATCCTTCCCTCTGTGGGGTTACTCTTGAAATAAATTCCAATAAATCGATATTAAAATTGAGACGTTTCGAATTGCAACACTAGCTACATAATGTATTCATATTGTTCTGATAGATGCATATTAGTGTAACTTGCCAATGCAAACCATTGTAAATTGATCTCAATTATAACCTTATTCCTAACTATTGTTTCATGAGTGCAGTATAGAATTGTCATTGGCAATAGATTGGATTGATATTGGTATTAGATTCAAGAGTAGACCTACTGGTTTGGCCCTGAAAAGTCTACCGTGAATTTAGCTTCGCGAAAAAAAAAGAATCGCATATTGTGGTCATCCATTTTTTATTGTTACGGCATACATCCAATTACAATCCAATTACGTCCCGGCTTCGCACGGGTGGACATTTTTACAACATTTTAAAAAGTAGTTATTGTGACATAACGATAATAGTTGGACATACAGTATTGCGAAGTTTTTTGTAGTTGTTGATATTTTCTTCAATATTGTAGAACATACTTTTGTTCTATCACCAATAGTTTCTGCAGCGCACGCGACGAAAGATATTTTATAGCATTTTTTTACGCCTTGAGTTACGTTACTAGAGTTTTAGTAAGGATCCCTAATCTTTTCTAAAAATAAATGTAGCCTATGTTACTAAGGTGAATGTAGCTTTCTAAAGGTGAAAAAATTTTGAAATCGGCTGAGTAATTTTTGAGTCTCTTCATTACACACAAAAATACAAAAAAAAAAAAAAAAATTTTTCCTCTTTATAATATTCGTGTAGATATTTATTTTATTGCAGAATGTTGAAGATATAAATAAATTATATACAATGTAATGAGCCACAAACTCGTAATTTAACGCGATAACCCTCTGGGCATATCATACCGGGAGGCGGTACGTAAATAATTAAAAAAATCCACTTGAGTTTTGCAACGTAATTTTGATGCCCAAAATAATTATGGTTAAACTCTTTTTTAAATACTTTCTACGAGTATTTTATACAGGATGGAAAGGATAGGTTGGCAAAAACAAAAACAGCTGATTCAGGTGAATGATCCGAGTCAAATGGCAGATTATTTTCCCGCCGGAAATGCGTCATAGCCATATAATTTTAATAAAATAATTAAACTTTGTTATATTGCTACTTTTTGGTATTTTGTAGTATTTCACTACAAAATATATATTTTTTTATATTATGACATAATATCATATAGATTATATGATTTTAAATGACAAAAAAAAAATAATTTATATATTTCCTGGAAAGAATTTCCACTGGTTTTTATTTTCAGCCCAGAATAATGGTCCGAATTCACTGTTTCAGTTTTTGCCATCCTGTCCCGTATACCCTATACAAATTTTACGTAAATATGTCGAACTTATATAAATGTATAAATATACACGGACGTAAGATCTTATAGATGAAGTTTTTTTTTATGGGTGAAAATGGTATGGTAACCCCGCCTGCGCTAACGGGATACCCTACCGGTGCACCAGTGAAGGGTGATTGATGAGAATGAAAACAGGCCAGTTAGCCCATCATGATGAATTCATCAGAAATTAACCATGATAGTTTCCAGGGAGAATCGCAAAGAGGTCGACCTGGTCGGGTATATTGCTAGCAATGGGATTCTCAGTCTCCATTACTAACAATCCCTTTCCCCCCTGTAGATGAAGTAGATGAGGAATTTTTCACCCAGGTCAAGTCAAGTGTCGTCTTAAACGTTTAGACGGCCCTGTTAGAGACCAAACCAATTTGTTCTGGTTAAAATGTATACCGTATTATTATTGTCTCACCTTGAAAACTGGTCGGTAACTTAACGGAGTAGGTATTTCTATTTAACCCTGACCTGAAAATAGTTTTTATATAAAATAATTTTATCCTTACATTATTATGTACATTTTTTGTTTCATCTACAATAACCATATTGAGGGGAAAGGGATTATTAGTAATGGAGACTAAAAATCTCATTTTTAACAATATACCCAACCAAGTCGACCTCCACGCGGTTTCCACTGGATACTATCACGGTTAATTGAATGAATTCATCATGATGGGCTAACTGGCCTGTTCTCATTTACATATATCACCCTTCACTGGTGCTCCGCCAGCGTATACCGTTAGCGCAGGCGGGGCAGCCAATCCATTATCACTATAAAAAAAAAAATAATAAACTCGTCTCATGCGGGGTTAATGTACTGTTAATGACGTGATACAAGAGTCCATTGTTAGCAATTTATCCTGTCAGGTTGATTTCCACTCGATTCCTTCTAGAAATCATCGTGTTTTTTTTATGGGTGAAAATGGAGTGGCTACCCTGCCCGCGCCAACGGGATACGCCGGCGGAGCACCAGTGAAGGCTGATCGATGAGAATGAAAACAGGCCAGTTAGCCCATCATGATGAATTCATCGGGAATTAACCATGATAGTTTCCATGGAGAACTGCGAGGAGGTCGACCTGGTTGGGTATATTGCTAGCAATGGGATTCTTAGTCTCCGTTACTAACAATCCCTTTCCCCCCGAAATCATCGTGGTTACTTGTTAATGAATTAGGCACGATGGGCCAACTGACCCTCTTTCGACTTTGTCTATCATATCTTATGGTGCCCCGCCAATATATACCAATAGCGCAGACAAGATTAATAGTCCATTTTCATCCCATAAAAAACTTTATGCATGCACACTTATTCCGAATTCTTGGTTCAGTAGATAGCTCTTTGTTTATAAATGTAAAAATAAAGGAGCCAGTTCTATGCATTAGTTTCCAAATCTAAATGTTTTGGTTCACTTGTTAAACTTGACTTGAAAAAGTTAGCGTGCAAAATGTCAAGACGTTTTAATTAGCATAATAATACTGTATATATGTTGCAGTCGAAACTCTTAAACAGTCAAAAGTATTATTGCCTAGCAAAATCAGTCAAGAGTACTTTTTACTGAATAGTTTGGTCAAAAGTGGTTTTGACTGAAAATTATTGGTTATTAGTACTTTTGACAGCAAATATGCGGTTTTTTTTTGTGAATGAGAATGGAATGGTAACCTTGCGTGCGCTATCGGTATACGCTGGCGGGGCACCAGTGAGGGATGGTAGGTGATAATGAAAGCAGGTCAGTTAGCCCATCGAGACGTATTCCGCCAGAATTAACCACGATGTTTTCCAGGGGGAACCGCGTGGAGGTCGACCTGATAGGGTGTATTGCTGGCATTGGGTCAGTTAGATTCCATTACTAACAGTCCCTTTCCCCCCGCAAATTTGCGGTTGGGTTAGTTTAGGTACTTTTAACTGTTATTTTAGTCAAAAATATTATCGACTAAATCATACGGTCATAAGTACTTTTGACTGATTTCGCTAGTCAATAGTACTTTTGACTGGTTAAGAGTTTTGACTGCAACATATATAAATACTTACAAGGTTCGCCACGCGAAAACTGTATGAAACTATGAGAATATATTGGCTTACTTGCTGGAAGTCATTAATCGTAGGTGACAAGAAGAAATGTCTCTGTTTGGACTTGTACGCTAATACAATATATTCCTACTTCAATGTTGTAAATACTGTCCACTTTGCCGTCGATTTTGGGACGTCATTTCTCTAAACCTTTCTCTTAATCTAATATTTTTATTTTTATTTTATAATTTTGCGAAAGAAATGTTTTATGTTAATAATTTCGTAAACACACATTTGTATTTTAATATAATAGCTACCGGTTTAACTTACGTGTAGTCAGGCTCGTGTTCGGCACAGTCGCTCATGATTAAGGATCACGAATTGATTCCTAAACTAGTAGAGCTTTCTCTATCTAATTACACTTAAGATAAACCGGTAGTTATTATACTGTTCAATGGATCGCCATAAATTAAAATATATTTTAATTTTATTAGGAAATGACTTCATATTGGTGCTTACAAGAAAGATTTTGGTTTTAGAATTATATAGAAAAATAGTGCTTCAAAATCGACTCCGTTATGTAGATAGGTGTATAAAGTATAACCAAGTTTGGATCGATTTATTTTTAAAACGTCTTTTTTTTACACACCTTAGTATGGCAAACAAGCTGACGGCCCACCTGATGGAAGGTGGTAACCGTTGCCTATAAACATGAGCAGTGCCATGGACATAACAGAGTATACTGTTTCGCCCATGACACCCCCCATGCGTTGCCATTCGTCTACTTGGTAACCAGTGTGGCACTTTTGTATCTGCAGTGCTTGCTATATAATGTAGTGTGTTCGTGTTACGTGTTGCAGTCGTGCGGCATCTGCTCGATGTTCCCGTCGTGCATGTCGCTGCTGTCGCGGCGGCCCGAGCAGGCGGCGCCGCGGCCCGGCCAGGCGGCCGTCGTGCTCAACGTGTACGACATGTACTGGACAAACTGGTAAACCAACCACGCAATATATCTATCTACACACACATGTAGAGTAACGTTAAAGACATAAGCGTTCCTTTAAGGTTTTTTTTTTTTAATGGATGATAATGCAATGGTAACCCCGCTTGCGCTATCGGGATACGCTGACGGGGCACCAGTGAAGGATCATAGGTGAGGATGAAGCAGGTCAGTCGGCCCATCGTGACGAATTCAACAAGAATTGTTCACGATGGTTTCCAGAGGGAACCAATTTGAGGTCGACCTAATAGGGCATATTGCTAACAATGGGGCTGTCAAACTCCATTGCTAACAATCCCTTCCTCCCCCCTAGGATACAAGTGGTAAGACCACTTGTCTTCTAGAATTCTAATTATATAGTTTTTATTATTTGATGAAAAATCGAATGGTAACCCTATCTGTGCTGATGATATACGCTGATGGATGACCAGCGACGGATGATAGGTGAGGATGTGGGCGAGCGATAGGTGCGAAGCGAGAATACGTGAACAAAAAGGTCGACCTGAATGAATAAAGGAATAAATTTAGGGGGTATTTTGCTAATAACCCCCCCCCCCCCTTATAATAGATGATAAAGGAACGGTAACCTCGCCTACGCACTGAAACGCCTACGGATGAAAAGGCAGGTCAGTTAGTCCATCGTGACGAATTCAACGATAAATTAGTCACGATGGATTCCAGGAGAGACAGCGAGAAGATCGACCTGATAGGGTATATTGCTAAAATTACTAACAATCTCCCCCCCCCCCTTACTATATAGTTTTTTTTTTATGGATGAAAATGGAATGGTAACCCCGCCTGCGCTAACAGGATACGCTGGCGGGGCACCAGTGAAGGATGATCGATAAAAATGAAAACAGGCCAGTTAGCCCATCACGATGAATTCAACAGGGATTAACCATGATAGTTTCCAGGGGTAACCGCGTGGAGGTCGACCTGACTGGGTATATTGCTAGCAATGGGACTGATAGTCCTCATCACTAACAATCCAACCCCCCCCCCCCATAAGTTCGAGGTTATGATGTTATATATTGCTTAGATATGGTAAATAGGCTCATAAGTGCATGGTGTGGCGTGCAGGTACACGGCGGGCGCGGGCGTGGGCGTGTTCCACAGCGGGGTGCAGGTGCACGGCGCCGAGTGGGCCTACGGCGGCCACCCCTACGCCTTCACCGGCGTCTTCGAGATCGCGCCGCGCGACGAGCGCGAGCTCGGCGACCAGTTCCGCTTCAGGTCAGCACACATACTTGTGTTGCTCGTGGTCATGGTCAGTTCTCGGTCTGATAAGTAGAAACACTTCGAAATTGCTGGTGATTAGAACGAAACTGGACCGCTACCGATAGAAGTGAATACACTCATTGTTTTTTATGTAAAAATATTTTATTAGATCGAGATCGTACCGAGAGACCGAGATTATAGTGTAAACTTGGCCTGAAACTACCAAATTCAAATTGTTGCTTAATTGTTTTTTTATTCTGTTTTTTTTTTTTTTTTTATATAATTTACAACGTCAAACAAGTAACGACTCACCTGATGGAAAGTGATAAACATTGGGATAGTCAGAGGCATTTATCAACATAGTATTATATATAATATGTATAGTAGTTCCATCAAGTGGACCGTCAGCTTGTTTGCCATTCTAAGTTGTATAAAAATATATAAATACTATATATATATATATATACAACATTTTGTTGCTATTAATACTGCGTACAATGTTTGTAAATTGTTAAAATAAATATTTGATATAAAAATACTATACTTACGTATACATTCAGGAATAGCAACACATGAAGGGTATCATGGGTGATACAGTATACTCTGTTATTGTTAATGGCACTGCTCATGTCTATAGGCGACGATTATCACTTTCCATCAAGTGGGTTATCAGTTTGTTTGCCATTCTAAGCTGCATAAAAAATATTTAAATTAATTACCAAATATAATTACTAACACAACTAAATAATAACTTTATGCTACCATATTTCACTTGAATTGTTTGTCATTGTTTATTTTTATGTTTCTGGTGCAATCAAATTAAAGTTAAATAAATAAATAGTACCTCAATTCAAAAAGAGTTAACTATAACTGATATATCTTTATATTGCAGGCAAAGTGTACATATAGGTTATACAGATTTCAGCGAAGAGGAAGTGCGGCGGTTAGTGGCGGAACTAGGCAAGCAATTTCGCGGTGACAGGTACGTATACATTTTCTTTTTAATTTCGTCCTTTTATAATTGTGGCAACCCGTTGACAATTTGTTTATGTGTAAGCATTTTACGAAAAAATTACAGGACTGATTGTGATCAAATTTTTACAGTGTATTTAATTAAATAATAGTAATCAATATATATCTATAAAACAATAAAATAAAAAACCACAAAGTGTTTAAATTGAAATTTTTTTTCAAAAGCATATTTTGTCAAGTAGTGTATCGACTCTACTTGACAATAGATGGCGTAAAAACATAAAAGTGGAAAAAATATTGTACTGAAATGTGATTAAAGGTTACTATTTATTTCTTTAGTCGTATAGTATTATTAGTCGTTCTTATAATTAATATCTAAAAATTATATCCAAGGGATGTTGTCATTCTTCTGGTTGAATAAGTCTGCTGGATTACCTTCGTACTTATAAAATGGCGGTCATACACAATTAGGCCGATATCTTGTATTGGAGAACCACATTCGCAGGCCGCTGAATTAGTTCAGCCACACCCTATATATGTACAATTGGCAGCGACCGCAAATTTACTATAGTGTTCGTAAACGAAACCGCGGGCAAAACTAGTAAATAAATTCAAATTATTGGATGGGGGAAGAAGATTGTTAATAATGGGTTCTAACAGCCCCATTGCTAGCAATATAGCCTATCAGGTTGACTTCCACGTGGTTCTCCCTGGAAACTGCCATGGTTAATTCTTGTCGAATTCTTCATGATGGGCCGTCTGGACCTATCTTCATTCTCGCCTATCATCTATCACTGGTGCCCCGCCAGCATATACCGCTGGCGTAAGCTAAAAGACCGTTCTATTATCATCCATTAAAAAAAATACAAGTTATATTATAAAATATAATTTTTATGTTTTATGCAACTTAGAATGACAAACAAGCTGACGGCCCACCTGATTAAAAAGTGGTAACCGTCGCCTATAGACATGAACAGTACCATGGACATAACAGAGTAAACTGTTTCGCCCCTTATACCCCCCCATGTATTGCCACTTCTGAGGACTCAGATGTTATTCCTCTGTACCCTGTAATTTCATAACAAGCCCGCTACATTTAATTAAACAGTTCCACATATCGGAACGGTGCACGATTGTGTGCCAATAGTTTATCTCGTTATCGCTATATTATCGCGTTTGTCAAACGCAATAAGCAATATCAGTTACAAGCTGACATTTGGACATGTAATTTGCTAGTTTCGATTGTGTACAGGGCTATCGCAAGAGGTTTGTGAGGTATACAAATTAGCAACACGGGATTATGCTTAGAATTGAAAGAATATTCTTGAAAAAAATTGAAAGTATTTTTTATTGTATACCAGCTTTTGTCCATTACTGCGTATGCGTGGATTTTAGAATTAGGAAATCTAATGAAAAAAGTCCACTTTTAGATCATGTATCATATATAAAACATACTTTTTTTTTATTAAATTTGACCTTCAGGAAAACATCTGTGAAAACCGTATCCAATTTGGTGCCGTAGTATTTGGGTGACAGACAGACAGAATTTTACTAAAAACTATTGTTTTGACTTCTATTGTCTTTTTAAGAACTCTCATACCAATCTTTCTTAAATATCTCCATGTACAGACACCGTCTAGTTACAATTTTATTATATTATAATAAGGTTATAAAATATAATTTACATGTATGTAAAATGTATTTATTATTTCTTATAGTTCTCTCGTAATTGGTATGGGCTATAGACGTGTTAAGGAGAGGCCGGGTGGGCTGTGCCTACACCCCAGGATATATATTTATATACGGGTTTAGTACGGCCCATATGTCAAGACCATATGGCAATTTTTATTTCGTTACTTAGTTCTAATTAGATATTAAATTTGATTTTTATGATCTTGCGCTATTTAGTAATTTGTATTCACTTAAAATCAGATACCAGAGGGAGACTTTGTACTTTGTCGAATGCTTGGGTACCTCTGTCCCATTCGTGTTTCTACCGTGAAGCAGTTGTGTTTGCATGGTTGTGTTTCGGTTTGAAGGGTGGGATATGGCGTGAATTTACAGGGTACAGAGGAATAAGACCTGAGTCCTCAGGAATGGCAACGCATGGGGGGTATCATGGGCGAAACAGTATGTGTGTGTACTGTTATGTCCATGGTACTGCTCATGTGTATAGGCGACGGTTACCACTTTCCATCAGGTGGACCGTCAGCTTGTTTGCCATTCTAAGTCGTATAAAAAAAATCGTGAGTGTGTATATATATATGTGTAAAAGTCGAGTTTTCGATTTTTTTTTTCGATATAGTTTTGATTTAGGAAACGAACTGTTCGAAATATGAATTGTGTTCGTGGTTCCATCTAGTGGCGATTTGAAACAACAAAAAGTTATTGATATTTTTTTATTGCAGGTACCACCTTATGAACAACAATTGCAACCACTTCACGTCCGCGTTTTGTCAGGTAATTACTTAATCACGTATTAACTTTAACTTAACTATCTTTTGTTTTCAACTAATACTTTTTTTATGTTTCTTACTTTATAACTACGTTAGTTCTAAGTCGATTTGGTAAATTCATTTTTTATTTGAAAGAACATACTTACAGATCGGTTCTATAGAAATTTTATCAAAATCGGTTCAGTGGTTTAGTTTTAAATTAAAAAAATGGTTTTGTCACAAATGAAGTCGGTTTTGTTTTTGTGTAAAGAAAACTACAAGTAAAGCCGAGCCGCGCTTTAAATAACCTCTAGAAATAAACTTTTGAAGCCTCAAATCTAGTTCTTTTAGGTATAATAAAGAGTTTATGATGAACCAGAGAGATTCATAGCTGTGCAATATTTATTTATTGCTATTGTCAGATACTTATAAGATGTTTTAAGAAGGACGCTGCTGCCCATTCTTCACCCTCCCTTAATCGCCTCAGTCCTACTGCTAGCAATATAACCTGCAGATCGTCCTCCATGTGGTCTCCCCATGGAAACCATCGTGCTAAATTCCTGGTGTGTTCATCACGATGGGCTAACTGACCTGCCTTTTCATTCTCACTTATCATACCTCACTGGTGCCCTGCCAGTGTATACCGTTAGCGCAGGCGGGATTGCCGTTCCATCATCATCCATCAAAGAAAGACCCTTAGTCGGTTCTTGTGACACCCACGTGAAAGGAAGGGGTGGCCTATTCTATGCCGGGAATATCGAGTTTTTTTGATGGGTGAAAATGGTATGGTAACCCCGCCTGCGCTAACGGGATACGCTGGCTGAGCACCAGTGAAGGGTGATAGATGAGAATGAAAACAGGCCAGTTAGCCCATCATGATGCATTCATCAGGAATTAACCATGATAGTTTCCAGGGGGAACCGCGAGGAGGTTGACCTGGCTGGGTATATTGCTAGCAATGGGATTCTCAGTCTCCATTACTAACAATCCCTTTCCCCCCGGGAATATCGAGTTACATGAGTACATGTATAAAAATTTGCATTTGTACGTAATCGATGTGTCAAATGAAAACAACTGCGTCTTACAATAATGGCGGCGTGGGAAAGTTGCCACAATCACTAATCAACACAGTGGCGTTCTTTAATAATTAGTGTACTGTAATTGTGTTTGTTGTGAGCGAGTGTGACCGAGGTCGGCCGTTTGACCGACTTCAAAAAAGAGGAGGTTCACTTTTCGACTATTATATTTTTAGTCGATTTTTTATTTTTTGCTCGTACATTATTAATAATGGCAAACTAACGAGAGGAAAAGGGATTGTTAGTAATGCGGTCTAATTGATCCATTGCTAACAATACACCCTATCAGGTCGACCTCCACGCGGTTCCCCCTGGAAACCATCGTGACTAATTTATCGTTAAATTCTTCACGATGGGCTAACTGACCTGCTTTTTCATCCTCACCTGTCATCCCTCGCTGGGGCTCCGCCAGCGTATCCCGATAGCGCAGGCGGGGTTACCATTCCATTATCACCCATTAAAAAAAAAATGGCAAACTAACGGCCCACCCGACGGAATGGGGTAGTCGTCGCTTATAGATATCAAAGAATACTCTGTGACTGCCACGGTACCCCTCATGCATTGCCATTCCTGAGAACGATGGGCGTTATGCCTCCTTGAAACGATTTTAATGATTATTTTTCAATTGGGCTCTAAAAACCGTTGTTGTGTGTGCTATAAATATGTTGACATGTGGCATGTGACAGATAACACTTAAATAGTACATATTAGTAGTAAAAAGGATATAACCAAAAAAAAGCAAGACTTTGTAAATAAACCGTTTTAATAAAACATAATAAAAACTTAACTAATTCTTATCGAAGTTATCACAGAATTAGTCTGAATAGTAAATGAAGTTAGTCACAAATTGATATAGCTAATTATTCGATTATTAATTTGACTACAGACTGTCTTACGGTTGAATGGCTTATTTTTTTTTTGATGGGTGAAAATGGAATGGTAACCCTGCCTGCGCTAACGGTATACGCTGGCGGAGCACCAGTGAAGGGTGATAGATGAGAATGAAAACAGGCCAGTTAGCCCATCACGATGAATTCATCAGGAATTAACCATGATAGTTTCCAGGGAGAACCGCGAGGAGGTCGACCTGGTTGGGTATATTGCTAGCAATAGGATTCTCAGTCTCCATTACTAACAATCCCTTTTCCCCCCTAAGGATGGCTTATTCGCCTGTTTACATTATCATTAAGTTGAATTGAATCAGTATATATATATACTATTCGTTGTGCTTTTTTTTTTATAATATAAGGGGTAAACCAGCACGCGGCTCGCCTGGTGGTAAGTGATACCGCCGCCCATAGGCACCGGCAACAAAAGAGAATTTACAGGTGTGTTGCCAGCCTATCAACAAGGATTATGTTTTTTATGTTGGCCCTGTTTGCGCAGGCGCTGTGTTCGCGCGACATCCCGGCGTGGGTGAACCGGCTCGCGTACGTCAGTTCGTGCGTGCCCTTCCTGCAGCGCTGTCTGCCCAAGTGAGCCCCTACTACCTATATAGTTGGTATAAAAACATATTATTGAATGAATTAATGAATGAAAACTCTTTATTGTTCACCTCAAAGAAAGACACATACGCAATAGTCAGCATTACGAAAAGTAAGGTAATTAGAGGCAAAAATGGACGGCCTTATCGCTATATAGCGATAGCCTTATCTTTCCTTCTCTTTCTCTCACTTAATTTTTCTTCTCTTGTAACTGTGTGTATAAGTGTATATTAGTATTTTCCCTTTCAAATGAAATTCAGAAGCTTTGACTATTTTAATTTCTAACAGCTCTAATGAACTTATTTATAAAACTATAATTGTAAACAAATTTGGTTGGCTGTACTAGCCATAACTCATACGCACAATAGCCCAAACGAGCGCGTGCGTGCGTGCGTGCGTGCGTGAGTGCGTGCGTGCGTACGCGCGTGCGTGTGTACTCGTGTGCGTTTGTGTGTGTTATTATATATGTAGTATTTCGTAAATACCTGGGGGTAACAACCCAGAATACCTAGACACTAGCTGTTGCATAAATCTAGTTTTCTGTCTGTGAATATAGTTTACCGTCGGCAAGTCTAATTATCTATGGTTCTGTAACATAATTAAAAAAATAAAACTTATCCTTGGTCTGTTTCAAAATGGAGTTCCATTGAACACTAGCTAATTTTAGAAGTGTTAATTTCCTAAATTGGCCTGTCTGAGAATCAAACCCTGTATCATGTGTATATACTATATCAATGAAAATTACTTTAGTTGAAATTCAAATGGTAACGTTGTGCAGGGAGTGGCTGACGCCGGCAGCGCTGCAGCACTCGCTGGCCGCGCACTCGCGCTCCTCCTCACCGCAGACCCCCACCACGCCGCAATAGCAACGTGAGTATACTACATTCATCATCTTCACCATCGTTGGCGTACTTAACATTATTTCCCAGGGGGCCTAGCCCCTTAAAATAGGTGTATACCCACCTACTCTCAGACTTGTCTTTTTTATGCAACTTAGAATGGCAAACAAGCTGAGGGTCGACTTGATGGAAAGTGGTAAACCTCGCCTATGGACATGAGCAGTACCATGGACATAACAGAGTATACAGTTTCGCCCATGATACCCCCCATGCGTTGCCATTCCTGAGAACTCAGGTGTTATTCCTCTGTACCGTGTAAATTCACTGCCATATCTCATCCTTCAAACCGAACACAACTGCTGCTAGAGACAGGAATGGGACAGAGGTGCTCGAGCAAATGACTTTTGTACAAAGTCTCCCTCTAATATATTTTTTTTTTTATTTATATATTTGTATAAAATAGTTTTTTTCTTTTTTAACAGACGACGTGCTGCGTTTGTGCAGATAGAGAAAACGAAGTGTTGTGCGAACTATACCTAGATCTAGTAAGCTAAGTTCGTTTGGCGCATTGTCGATATATTATATGTATATTTCACTTTATTACGATTACTATTAACGATTATTGAACGTTGTATACCTTTAACGATTTTTCGGTATTCCTTTTATTCATAAAGTAATGCGTACCTCTTAAAAGAAATACATTAAAGTCACGTAACCTCTCTCTCTCATTTGTATCAGTCCCCATTGAAATGTTTTCTAATCATTTAGATTAATATTTGTATTCATTAACTAAATTAACTATGTAATTTTAAATAATAAATTGTATGGTTAACATGAGAGTGTAAACGAATACGCGTTGGTTTTCCAATTATTTCTTTTAAACTTGAGGTCTAATTTAACTTTTATAATAATTACAAAAAAAAAGGAATGTTCTATGCCAAGAATGTATCTAAGGAATAGATGCATGCATTTCTGTTCTTTCTTTCAGCGAACTCTTATTTTAATTCGAGCATTGGATAAACGAGAGAGAGAGAGAGAGAGATAGTGTAAGTTTATTAAGAAAAAAAACACTGTCTTCTTATTTTTATGTCATTATTTCTGTTATTCAGTGAGGCCGTTTTTGAGATGCTATTTCTCTTAAACTTAACAGCTTAACTTTATATTTTAATTTGATAGTTTCGGGAAATTACTATTTTATGAACGGTCATAAACTAAAATTGCAATAATTTGGACCTTAATCTATTTAAAAAATTGGTTTACATCGTTTCTTACAATAAAGATTTCATTGTGATATCAAATTATAATTTAAGAAGATAGGTTTAAACCTTTAAAGAAATGGCCCCTCAGAATCGTCCCCAATATCAGTAAAAAAGTGACATAGATTTAACATTTAAATGAAGTAATGAAATAATAAAATATGGTCTTGTGTTAGTATTGAAAAAAAAAACAGTGAATAAACATAAAAAAAAAGAATAAAAAGTTTTATTATTTTAAACGTGGGCGGTTGGTAGCATTGGCGTATTTAAGATTATACCAAGAAGCTTGGGGTTTCTTAAAAGACGTATATGCACTCTCCGATATGTCTTTACGAAGGTTCAATCACATCCTGGCGTGGGTACGGCCCACCCAATCCCCAAACGTAAATACGCCTAGAAAAAAATTCGTGTTACATCTCCAAACATAATTTATTTGTTACTGTTCTTAACATGTTTTTATGGACCTTGAAACGTGACAAAAATGTATGTGTATAATTGTAATATAACTCTTAATACGTAGTTATAGTGCTCCGTCCGTTGAGATTCTCTTGTTAAATATTACTGTTAGGGTAGTCCAAAGTTGTAAGTGCGAATAAAAATGTAGTACAAATGGTGTCACTAAATTGAAAATGTTACTTTATCCAATATACGTTTGAATACAGTGATTACATAGTTGGTAAAAAAAAAAAACAAAATAGTCACGCCCATTCGACAAGGATAAACCAAAATTGTAAGCACCTTATAACGAAGTTTTTTTCAAACTGTAACATTTTCTCGAAGAAATGTGTTATAAAGTTTAAAAAATAAAGCCTTCTGTATTCAAAAACATTAAAGACTACAAATAATAATCGATCTTTTAGAATTTTAAGTAAAATTTGTAGTACTATAGATATAGCCTTATTGTTCTATATCTTGTTTAAATTTAAAAATGTAGTTAACATTTATTGTATAGAAGATTCATAAAAATAATTTTCCTTTCAGCTTGTTAAAAAACTAATGTCGCGTACAAAAAAAAAATTAATATAATTCAGTAAATTATAAAGAAAATCAGTTCAATAAATAAAAAAGAAAATAGAATAAAATTGTTATACATGTTTATATTCTCCATACATAAATAACACTTATAAATAATGCAAATGCGCAGCCATTTGATAACTATGTTATTGCATGTAATATACAATTTGGACTATAATACAATATGTTACTGGACTTCTTTACACATGTGTCCTAAGGTTAATGTCAAAGTGCCATCATCGGTGTAATTATAAATTAGTTATATTAAATTTATGAATGTATAGAAATAATTGTTATTCATACTTACTACTTGTTTGTCAAAATTAGGATTTGAATATTAGTAGAATTAAGCGATAGTTTAAAACTACGAACCTCGGACTTTGTTTAGTTAGATTTTGTCTAATTTGTGATGAAATATAATTTTTTTATACTTGGCACATTTTTTAAACAAGATGCCAAAACGGCATATTTTAGTGTAATTTATGAAATTGGTCATTTTAAACATTACCGCCGAAATCATTAGACAATCAATACAAAAATATAACAATTAATTTATCATTGATATTAAAAAAAAAAAAAAAAACTATTCTCATATTGTTTACTCAATACTAAGCTAAGTATAAAAAAAAAATAGATTGTTTTCATTATTGTACATAGAGTGATATTTAACTTTCTCTCGTTAACAGCATCATTTTAAATCATTCACAATTATCATGTATTACGAATAATTTTCCTTTAATTAATAACAATAGTACATTGTAATAAAGTCGTATTTAACTTGACAATGCGCCAATAAATTTATCAACCACACGGGGGCGTAAATGTGGTTTTTTCTAATGTACCTATATGTAGTTCTCTTTTGTGTGATTTTTTGTGAGTCCATTTTTTGATAAACTATAAACAATGTTCGTATGTTGTTATAGACTCTATGTGGTTGTAATATAACTTCATTTTAAATGTCGATTACCCACAATGATGTGCCACTCTTCGCCTCAGTGTTTCGAGTTTTTTTTTTTTAATTATAACAATGTACCCATCTCTATTTAGTCGTTTGCTGCGGTTCAACAAGTGAATTATGCACTTCACAATAACACAAAACAAAAAATATTTACAGAAAAATTTTTACCTTTTTTTCTTGCTGGACCTCAGCCTAAAATAATAGGATGTGTAATCATAAAAGTAAATTTAATTTAAACCTTGAAATATAGTTAGACATGATTCTTTTGGATGTGAACAATTGAAACTATTTGTGTGCCTTTACCACTTCCGAGCAAAGTTGGGTATTCATCGTTAATTAATCATAATTATATAAGGATATCTCAGTAATTCTCTCAAATAAAAAAAAAAACGGAGTCTTTTTTTGATTACTTGTCGAGAATATAGTTAAAAATCTTACCTTACTAATTTTTTTCTCACAGCCATGTTATGTTTAGGTTAAACATATGTTAAGGTTGGTCAAAATACTACTTGTTTAGTATTTGAATTTATTCACTGTGAACAGTAAAATGTTAACATAAGTTTGTTACCTGGACTGAACCATTTAGAGAACTACAGCGGTTTTCCTTTAGGTCGTGTTAAATAAAATAGGGTAGTTTCAGAAAAAAAAAAAAAAAATAAGAATTTTTCGAAATGTAATTTAGTTTTGGAAACAAAAAATCAACGTATTTCAAGGTTTTTTTTTTATTTCTCTATGTATCAAATTGTTGGTTATCTTAGAAATTTAGGATCTATAAATACTAAATAATATCTAAAATAGACATACAATAAAATAAGCCAACATAGCATACATATAACTCATATAAGAGAAGTTGAAAAATTATAAACCGTTATACTTAAATGCTCCTCTTTTTACATTTCACATAATCATATTTTATAATACAGGTTAGACAGGAATTATACTAAGCAGAGGAAGATTGAAACACATGCAATAATAGCAATAAAATACAAATACATATTAAAATAAAATTAATATTTTAAACAACAGATAATGAGAAAAAATTTACAAAAGTAATTGGACTAAGGAAGTAAAATTAAAAAAAAATCCAATTTGAAGCGTTTGTGAAACATATTCAAATTTTTTTTTACTCCATTATATATTATTATTAACTATATTCGACGGATTCACGATTTCATGAATTTTATCATCCTATGTTTAAACGATATTATATTTGTTGTTACTTGAATAACTACTTAAAACAGCATTTTTCCTTTTTTAAGTACTTATTGAGGGACGAGCGTTGTAATAATTTCCTCCTTTCTATATTGTGTATGAAAATATTCTCAAAATATTTTAGGTCACAATAAACAAGTATTATAATTATGAATTCATATTTCATAGTTTTATAATCGACTAGGTAATCTTGTACTTTCAAAATATGAACATTAAAATAAACCAAAGAGCTGTCTCTTAATTAAAGTGTATACTTTTTAAGCCTTAAAATTTCAGTTTTCAATTACTATTTTATATATTTTCTTATATTGTTCTATCAAGACATGACAATAACTATTAAAAACTATCTGAACTATATGTACTTTAAACCATGCATATTTTCTGTAGCTTTATTTTTTTTAGTATTAGTATTAATTTTAAGTTTTGCTACATAAACGCCCAAAAGCTGGTCCTATTCTTGGTTTCCAGATAAAACTCCTGAGCGTAAACTACATGTGCTCGGGGTGTTATAATAAAATAAATGTAGTTATTGCTCTATAATGAGTTTGTTTGCGCAAATGGGATACTTTCCCGATAAACACAAAATTTCCGTTTGTAAATCGTGTACTTGCACGTGTTTCGTAGCATGCAATTTTAGATATTTTATTGTAATCGAACTTTATCTCTCTTCATACCAAATTTGAGAAATGAAATAAAGAAAATTAATGGTCGTCAGCACAGATCATTAATATTGTAACCTCTTTTTCGTATGGATTTGTTATTTACCAAAGTCGAACTTAAAATTTTATTATAGGTTTACCTGCTTTTAATGTTTGCATTTATTTTATAACTGGTTTTGTGTGAGAGTGCGTAGATCAGCTAGTATTAAGTGTACGATATTTTGCATTACAACTTTGATAATTTACAAAAAAAAAAATTACATTATAATTTACTTGATATTTATTAGCCTGCGCAGTTTATTGTACTCATTAAGAATATTTTCGAATATAATTTGTAATTTCAAATGAAATTACAAATTTCGTAATGCATTAATCATATTAAAGTACTTTTATATTCGGATGTAGTTGGATTTCAATTGTTTGTGTAATTTTGAGTACCTATCGTATAAATCTCTATTTTTATTGTAATTAATGACCCTGTACATATTTGTAGTCGACAATTTGTATTAATTAGTATTGAGCGTTTTACTGTTAGTTTTTATACCTAATTTGGTCATTTCGTCGTACATGTGTGCAGGGTCCTTTTAAGAAGTGTGGTATCGAACTAATTTAGAGATATGATAAACTATATAACACTGTTATATATACAAGTAATTCAACTGGTCCCGTGTGATGAGTTAAACCATTATATAGACCGTTCGCTCATCGGATGGGGATATAAAATTTTCAAAAATGTTGTCAAATGAAAATATTGGCAATAGATAATTTTTGAATGAATAAACTGGGTAAAAAGTTTGCAATTTGAAGTTTTATTGTAACCTCCTGGCAGTAGAAATTGTACGTACCATTTTTTATCAATAGACACATGAGGTACTTTTTGTTCGCAAAGAAAGTTTACATTCTACATTCTTATAAAAATTCTTTAGTTCTTTCCGCCGAAAGATCTTTTGTCTGCACAAGCGATAAAAGGAAACGAACAATATCTTAGTGCATACATTTTTATTAAAATTATATCATTTATTTCGACATAAACATAATACCCACAGCACTTAAGAACTACTCACATTTTTACAGAAGCTATAGCTTCGCTCATACAGGCCAGCGTACACGCTCATTCGCACAGTAATTACTATTATATTACTACATTAAAAACCTTATAGATAAAAAGAAAAAAACTAACCAAGTACTATCAAGTTTTTCTTTTCCAACAATGTCTTTGATATACAAATTTTGTCAATTAATTCAATATTTAATGTTTTTACAATTAGTTTACCCGATGTGCACTGGTTTTAGAAATTGGAACATAAAATCTTAAACGTAAGGAACAAAGTACTCCAATTGGCAAATAATATGTCAAATACATTGGATATTTGATTTAATGATGGTGAATAAGTTTAAGACTTTTGTATCAAACAACAGCGACCTTGGGGTCGATTCTGAGACGCCATTTCTCTAAAGCTATCGCTATGAATGAAATGAAGATTTCAATTTGGTATCACCGCGAAATCTAAAGACAACTAATTTACTAATAGATTTTATTCAAAAATTTTGAATTACGCTTTATTGCAGCATTTACAAAAATAACAAATACAGTAAATTTTATTTAAAATACGCTATCGAGACTTAGCGCGACAATTTTTTTTTTAAATTAACTACAGTAAATTTTATTACGTCAACGGCTGTGTCGTATTTTTCAGAGAGGCTATAATGGCCATACTTCATTACGGTCACGGCCATTAGCCTCACTGAGAATTACGAATCGGTCTTTTAGATAATCAGGAATCGTCTTAAAAAGGATCGAAATAAGAGATATGACATACAGATTACGCGAAAATGGACAGGAAATCATTTGACTACAAAATGTTTCATATTTCCAAAGCCCTAATATGAAGCGAATATATAAATTTTGAAGACGCTGAAGCTCGTTTAATTGCTCTTTAGTGAAGTCTAAATAACAGGAGTCAGCAGAATCGGGAATTGGCAGGAATAAATTGTGTGCAAACCTAATATTGGTGTTGAGAGGTATAGTTATGTAACAAAGCTCTAATACTATTATTAATTTTAGTTTAAGAAAGTATAAAACAGTAAAATCTCTAATTATCACATTAAAATATTACGTTAGGACATAAGTTTAGAAAAATGGCATCTCAGTATTGGCTCAACTATGAGTTATTGTGACAGTGATATTATAGCTTATAGAAGTATTGTCCAAGTTACAGACAAAGGTGAGTGATTATTCATAAGAATTTCGTGTAAGCTGGTATTGGTGTCTAAAACATCTGTATTACTAGTGTTCAATATTCGAGTAAAATTGCTTTATATGTAACTTCTTGTTTTGTAGGTACTTAGTATTTTTTACGACACGAGTGTAGGGAGTTGACACTTGAAACGCGCATTTGTGGGAAAATATTGCATAGTATTTTATTCAGGTATTTTCAATGTATATACTAGTACAGTATTTATATTATTGTGAGAAAACAAAATTTTCATTATACATAATAAATGATCGATTACGTTAGATTGCTGACGTATGCATTAACTTATGAATCAAAGAAACTTACGTGTAAGTAGAAACATCTTAAATAGCTACAGATCGCTAATACGTAACGAAGATAAATTTTTCAATACTATTGACAAGTAACTTTGGTAATATTTGCATTACTTTTGAACCCAAACATTGATATTTCCGATGATAATTTACAAAATGTGACACCATAATACCAATATTGTTTGTATTAGCTTCTAAAATATTCATATCTGCATACACTTCTATGCAATCTGTTAAATAATTACATATATTTTTCAAAACAGAAATATCAAATTATCGAATTAAGTTTTAAATTCATAAAGTCCAAAATAATATAATATAAAAAAAATATCTTTATAATTCATATTAGCAATTTAAATCTAAAAGGGTTTTTTATTAAACAGAAAATTGCGAACAGACTGACAGTCTATCTGATGGAAAGTTGTAACTGTCACCCCTATAGACATAAATCACAAAATATACTGTGATGTCTATGATACCACATATGAATTACCATTCTTGAGGACTACGATGTTAAAAATAAAAATAATCATTAACTGCTACCAAATATGGTATACAACAAATTTGCATTTTGGACTTTATGATATAATCAAATGATCGTTTTATCGGGTTTTCTTAATAGTTTTAAAAACTTATTACTATATAAAAATATGTTCATTCTAACTGCATTGGAACCAATGTCCGCGAAACATTCAATCGTCACATGAGGGTGGTGAATGGTGGGTTTACTTCTTATCTCCCCCGCCTTGCGCATTACCAACCGCAGCGTTTGCGCCGCCGTAGTTCTGCAATTAATTATATACAAATTAATGGACGAAAATAAGCTAGAAGATTATAATTTACAATTCGCTTGCGTAAAAAAATAGTTTTTTTACGCAACGCGTATTAAGGTTATTGGACTCCATTATTAGCAATCCCCCCCCCCCCGTAATGTACAGTATGAACAATACTAATGTAATCATTACATAGGTTTATCAGTATATGTTATGTATATTGAGCTAGTTACCTGATAATACTGAGCCCACGCTTGTGCATCTGGAGTGTTGCCTTGCTGCTGGGCTCCCTGTTGTTGATACTGAAATGAAATTCTAATGTCAACCCACTTACAATAAAAAAAAGTATAATTACCGCTTTAATAAGCCGTAAATTTTACGTTATGTTGCTTATGTTATACGACTAAACATTGCCGACTGCTACAAGAATTAATAGTTCCTAAATTCACATATTAAAATGGAACATTCAACTATGGAATCAGTAGGAGAGACTCAATTTTTTTGTCATTTAAACACTTGCCTAAAATGATGTCGACTATACCATTCATATATGAATGAATGAATGAATATTTATTTACGAGAAATATGGTAAATATATATGTATGTTAACAATAGGTGTAAGTTCACATATTTTGTCATAATTAGGCATGCAAAATTTAAAAATCTTAAAAGTATAAATATTGTTTAAACGAATTATTAAAACAATTATAGTAATGTTATAAAAAATACACAAAATTTATCAAATTCAATTCCATGTCAATTTGCTATTTATACTCCTGGACTAGATAATAATGTGTTCTAATATGTTTGACGAGATGTATAAATACATAGTGTTACGTTCACCACCACGAAATCAACAAATGCCTCTGACTAAGCCTAAAAGACAGTGATTCCTACAGTGAGTTACGTAAAAAAGTCGCCAGCATTCCAGAAATATATTTTATACAGTGAAATAATTTTATTCTTCATATTAAAAATTAAAGGAAACTGTACAGTTGTTATACTTTAAAATTAAATTAGTGTTTTTAATTTGTAATCGTTTGATATGGGGTTCCATAAAATAAATTGTATTTGGTGTGAGTTCCATTATCTTAAATGTTTAGGAGCCCCTGCTATAAAAGATTACAGTTGCGAGCATATATATCAACTAAATCGATGACGTAAACTCACCCCTTGCCAGCCCTGTTGCTGTTGTTGCCACTGCTGCCACTGGTACCACTGCTGTGCGGTGTAGTTGGCGGGCCACTGCTGCTGCTGCTGCTGTTGGCCTTGCTGCGCCTGATTCTTGTTCGCGCCGCCCTGACCGCCTTGCCCGCTGTTCGAGTTGTTGCCAGGGTTCTGCTGGTTGCCCCAGTTACCCCAATTGCCCCAATTACCCCAGCCTGGTAATAAATAGAATTTTTTTTTTTACAAAATTGAAAATAAAACTTTACACATGATGAAAAAAGTGTTGTCAAGGCAATGTTTATTTAGTAAAATGAGACAATGCATAGACCATTTATTAAAGTACTTAGTAAAAGTACAGGCTGTGCAATATTGCATTATTTGGCCTAACAGAAAAGAACGGTAATAAAATAAAACAAGAAATATTGAGCCACTTTACCTTGGTTTTGGTTACCCCAGTTACCCCAGCCTCCCCATCCGCTTGCCCATTGATTCCAACCCTGCGCGTTCTGCTGGTTTTGATTTTGGTTCTGGTTCTGATTTTGTCCATCCTGTTGTAAAAAAAATATAAATTATTGTTATTTACAATGGATGATAATTGAATGGATTTTAGATAATGAAATAAACTGAGTTGTGGCCATTTTGTATTGCTATGGCACACTCACAAACGAAAATTGTATTTAGCTTTATGTATTTTTTTTATTATTTATGTTATCTCGCTTTTTTTTTTATATATGTATGTTGTAATTTGTGTGCTGTAAGTAAGTATTCTTAGTTAATGTATTCTTAATTTATTGCTTTAATAATATCTTCATATTTTAAAAACATATTTAAAAAGAGACCCAATAAACAATCATAACGTTTTATTACAGTATAAAGTATATATTTTATACTGCAGAATAGCAATGTTATGTAAAAAGTTTTCACTTAAATAGTTATATATTTTGAGTTACTCACAGTTTATGAAGCCTAATTGAATGTTTATTTAAAATTGGAAATTGAATCGTAATTTCGAACGTGGTATTTACCTTAGCGGACTGCGCATTCCTGGCAGGGGGCTGTGCGTTGCGCGGCTGCACGGCGCCGCGAGCTGCGCCGCCGGGGCCGCCGGGTCCGCCGGGTCCGCCGGGCCCGCCGCCCATGCCGCCGCCGCCGCCGCCGCCGCCGCCACGCTGCCATGACCCGGCGCCTCCGCCGCCTGTTCCGGATAATGTTCATCCCATTAATTTTTATTCATATCATTAAAGTGTTATTTCAACAATTATAGAACCGCTGTGATATTAAATCACTGTCTCGTCGTCTGATGTTCGTATATTTGATTCTCGCACAATAATATTTATAAACATGCTCATTTGTATTAGTTTGGAAATTTTCTATGTATAGTATATATGTATACAGAAAAAAATGTATTTAAATATTTCTGTCAGTTGTCTAGTCCTCATAGTACGAATTCGGTTTCTTAGATTGAGACTATATATATCTGACAATATTTTCACATTACTGTTTTCTGTGGCTTTACTTGTGTGAATCAATATATAAGTAGATATCCTATGGTAAGTTGAAATGTAACCTACCAATATAATAAATTGCATTTAATTTGATCGCTTGAACGTCCAAACATTAACAAACATTCAAACATTTTTATATATTTTCACATTTATACTATTAATTACTTTATACTTCTAGCAGTATTTCTAATTGCATGGCTGTTTTGGTTAGAAGCATAGGATATGGCAGTGAATTTACAGGATAAGAGGTCTTAGTCCTTAGCTATAATCCATAGTACTGCTCATGTCTATAGATGACGGCTACTACTTTCCATCAGGTGGGCTGTCAGCTTGTTTGCCATTCCATAACATTGCATAAAGAAAAATAAACTACTTGTGTGTTAAATTTGATACAATATCCATGTACGTGGGGGGAAAGGGATTGTTAATAATGGAGACTGAGAATCCTATTGCTAGCAATATACCCAACCAGGTCGACCTCCTCGCGGTTCCCTCTGGAAACTATCATGGTTAGTTCTTGATGAATTCATCATGATGGGCCAACTGGCCTGTTTTCATTCTCATCTATCACCCTTCACTGGTGCTCCGCCAGCGTATCCCGTTAGCGCAGGCGGGGTTACCATACCATTTTCACCCATAAAAAAAAAAAAATCCATATATCAGTGGACACAGGTGGCGTAGGAGCGTTCTTTACAGCGGTCTACGGGGGAGGTTTATATGCAGCAGTGGAGGGATAATGTGTGAAATGATGAGGATGCTCCACCCACGTATGGTACATGGCACTGACCGTGCGGCGCCGGTGCGGCGGGTGCGCCGGGTGCGGCGGGTGCGCCGGGCGCGGCGGGCGGCCGCTTGTCGTGGTGCGGGCGCGGGCCGCGCTCGCCGCGGAAGCGGTCGGGCGGCGCCTGCGGAGGGCCACGCGCACCCGGGCCTCCCCCGCCCGCGCCGCGCCCGCCGCCCATGCTGCCCGCGCCGCCGCCGCCGCGACCGCCCCGAAATCCGTCGCGGTCGCGGCCGAAGTCGTTGCCGCTACAGATCGGTAATGAAAGCATACATTTGTGGACACTTATTGAAATTCCTCGTGCGACCGACACAGTGCTACACTTTTAAAGACAACTTATACACTATTCTATTTAATTATTGTTCTAATGAAGTACCTTTTGTATATAATAAAAATTAAAAATACCATTACAAACAACCCTTTTTGAAATTTCCAGTCAACAGTCAAGAAATTGAGTATAAAGTCCCAAGCAATAAAGAAAAATACACTAAAAATTAACTAGTTAAAAAAATCATTACTTACATAAAAATGTCATAGTTTAATTCACTAAATAAATGTAATGACGATATAAAACAACATACTTCATCATTAAATCACAAAATGTATATAAAATTAATTTTATTATCGATCAAAGACATCTTATGAGATAACATTATTAGTATAAGAAATCCAATACAGAAAATTTACCAAAATCAATACAAATGTTAATAAAATACTGCATAACTTGTATTAAAAAGAAAAAAAAAAAATTAAGACCTCCATTTCACTAATCGATAATTTTTATTTAAGCAAAATTAAGAATCATCTTCAAAATCAAATATAACCTTGGCCTGCTTATACATTTGCCTGTCCCATTCGTATTTCTAGCATCGAGTAGTTGTGATTACATAGCTATGTTTCGGGTGAAGAGTGTAATATAACAATACAATTACAAAGTACAGAAACAAAACACCTTAATCCTCAGGAATAGCAACGCAAAAAGAGTATCATGGGCAGCATAATATACTCTATTGTGTCCATGGTACTGTCCATGTCTATAAATAATTGTTACCACTTTCCATCAATCTATCAGGATCATTTGCCATTGCTAAGTTGCATCAAAAAAACTACAATCACATACTATTTTAATTTACTCGTAATTCTTAACTCTGATAAATTATCTACTCTTTGATATTCTCATATTAAAAAAAAAGTGCTTACCCTCTATTAGGCGGTGGCGGTCCCCAGCGGTCGAACCGGCCGGGCGGTCCGCCGGCGCCGGGTCCCCCGCGGTCACGGCCCCAGCGGCCGCCACCGCCGCCTCCACGGTTCGCGGGGCCCCAGCGACTGCCACCACCACCTCCGCCCCAACGGTCCTCTGATTATACAAATTTATTTCATTCAAATGTGTTGTCTACGCAAAATTTATCTATGGGAGGACATTTGTGAATATTTCAATAATATTCGTCCTCGAATACCCCAAGTATTTCAGAAGCCAAAAAATGAACGGAACAATAACTATTTTCCATAATTCCACCGATTATTACATATATCAAGGGATATGTGGATAGATTTATCCACATGTCTCAATGGTCATAAGGGAAGGTACAGCAAATGAAATGGATCTATGTATTTTATTCACACGTCCATAATTTAATCACCTTGTGATATGACGAGTGCTCTCCAAATGGAATCAAATTTTATTCCTAATCAGAAATTTTCGTAAAACTTAGCTTTCTACAAAAGGCACAGACCGTACAGAGCCAAGTATTTACAAGGTAAATAAATCCGAAACTATTATATGAAGTCAGTCAGTGGTAGTCACTATAGACGCCTTGTACTCTATTTTAATAAACCTATATAAATAAAAATCTGTTACTTGGTGAGCGCATCATTGAAAACGGCGGCTAGATCGATTAAGTTTTTTTAAAATGTTTGTAATAGTTTGATAAAAGAAAAAAAAATGAAATTTGGTCATGACCAAATAACATAAACTCCTTGTGTTGGAAAGTTCACACATTTCCAAAATGTATGGTCAATGAGATTCGTTACTTTGCTGGACACTTTTCACATGCATTTTAATAATGTATATTTATAGATAACCCTATTACCATCCTCGGGCCTACTTCTCCGGTAAATTTCATACAAACCGGTCCAGTAGTTTAGAATGTAGCAGACAAACTCGCTTTACATTTATAGAATTTAATATGTATAAATACTCATGAGTAGTTCTAATAGTCGATCAATTTACAATCACGTCGTTCCATATATCTGTCTTCAATAGATTTTTAAACAAAACATCGAAGAATTGTACTGATATTCTTAGTTGTCTTGACAGACATTACACCAAGAGTTACAGATTTTAGTTTACATAAAATTAGAAAAGATGTCGCTGTAAAATTCGTCTCACGTAGATCTCCCACAGTGGCGTAATTCCTCAGCTCTCAGTACTGGGTTCGTTTTGTATTTACCTCACGTTTGTGGAGAACACCAATAAATTTAGTACATCCATATGAACAGTCATATATCTGATAGAAACAACTTACGTAACTACCGTGGGTACGTACCACTACGAGTAGTAAAAAGAGAGGCTGCCCATAGAGCATTCTTTAGTTGGCCGCGTGCGACATTACGCGGGGGTGAATCGGTGAGATTAGGCGGTGTGACGGCCTGCCAATTGGCTCCGCCCAACAATCTAATGAGCCAAAGCAAAAGATTCGTCGAAAATTTTATAAACATTTACATAGTTTGTCTATTTGTTCTCGTGAACTTCGACACAAAGTTCCACCAATAATCCATGTCATATATAACAGCACATGCATTCCACTTGGAGTTCAAGTAGAAAATAACATAAATTCTGGATATATTTTCCTTTGATAACACACGGCACCAGTCCCTCTTGCGTTAATATTCTGTGACCATCGCCAAGCGATAATCGAAGAAGTGAGTGAGTGCTTGATTTAATGATACCACCACTATGAGAAATAACGTTCTACTACTGGATTGTTTCCATATTAGACGACAATATTAACCTAGTACCACGCTCGCTACAAGGCTCGTCATATGTTTTAAATTCGAGTTCTTTTGTAGTGGTATTGTATCGTGTTTCTCAAGTTACCCATATTCCATGGGAATAATAAGATGTGGCGATACATTGTATACTTATTAATCACAAAATGTAATTTTCCAATTAATACATTTAAATAACCCGTCGTTTCTGTCAACAACCCTTTTAGTTTTGCCACCCTTGAGAACTCGCCTTAATTCTCAAGCATACGATACCATACAAGTGTACAATGCTGGTACCTACATATATATTTACAGATATTTATAAATTTTAAGTAAACTGTTAACTTAAATATATTATATATATATATATATATATATATATATATATATACACATTGTGGGTGGTGTGGGCGGTGCGGGGCTACGTACCGCGGTCGCGCGCGAAGTCCCTGGGGCGGCGGTCGTCGCGGTGGCGGCGGTCGGCGGAGCGCGGCCGCTTGGCGGGCGGCGCGTCGCGGCTGGCGGAGCGCTCGCGCTTGTCCTTCTCCTTGGTGACGCCGGCGGCGCGCGCCTCCTTGTGGAACGCCTCCACCGCCTTCTTGGCCTCCTCCTCGCCGAGCTCGGGGTACACCACCTCGTCTACCCACGAGCACTTCTCGGGGAGCGTGAAGTTGGCTGCGGGAAAACAGACCGGGTGAGAGGGCGGCACTGGCGGCGGGCGGGAGCGTGGCGGCGCGGTACTGCGGGTGCGATAGTCCATCCAACCAACCTTTCATGTCCACGATGGCCCCGTCGGGCACTTCCTTCCCGTCGGCCTCCTCGCGCCGCTTCTGGCGCTCGCGATACGTCTCCTCGTCGGTCACTATGACGACGGCGATCCGCCGGTAACCGTCGAACTCCTTCATTTTGCGCCTCTGAGCCGACGGGTATACATTCGTCTATTACCAACGCGATATCGAAACCGCGGCAATATACCGGTGTCCGTCGTAGTCCCAGCAGAATTGATGTGAAGCAAAACATTTTCGTTATAGATATGGTCCGTGGCGTTTTTGCGTATGGCAGTACACCTAGAACAAGCTCAATAGAGATCCGAAAACGCTTAGTTTCGTTCAGTAGGCCGTTTGGCAAAGTTACACTGCTTCCTCGCTATATACCTCTACTTACCTCTATCTAGAAATAATATATTATTTTGCCTACGTTACTACGGAAGCAGTGTAGTGTACAGTAAACTTAACTACGACTTAATGTTAACTACGTACCTTGTAGAGATGCGTAGGTACATACGGAACGGATCCGTACGTGTCGTAGCTATATAGAATTTATACATTTCCAAACATGTCATAGATTTGGCAAGGGGTGAATTTCGTCTATATCCGATAAGGTTTACGGTCTCGATTGGTCCTGAATTAAGTGCGGCTGCCAAAAAATATATGAATCTCATTTAAATACAGTAAAGGTTCTCACCTGATCGAGGATATAATTCCTCCTTCGTGACTTCGCGATTTCCAACAACTTTAGCACGCATTTAGCGCACTTGGAGATCATCGCGTCCCACCTTCCCTCGTAGCTGGATCGGAATGGTTTACAGTCCACCTGGATCGATGTAACACGCATACAGTGAAGCGAACGCAAACCGGCGCGTTAGCACTTACTAACTAGCCTTAATAATTATGAGAAAAATCATTTTTGATACCAGCGACTTGGTGACCTGGGAGTCGGACGTTTGTCCTCTTCAGTCGTCGATCCACTGGTATCATTTAACTAGAGGTAAGACCGCTAAAGGTCAATATTTTATAACGTTTGCTATATAAATGTAGCTCATATCGCACCCTGTTGAAAATACACACGTACATTAGTATCATGTTCATGTTTGGAACTGTAGTTCATACTTTTTTGATTGTTGGCAAACCTCAAATGCTGAAAAAAAACATTGGTTCAATTATACTGTGTAGTGTCACATAGATTTTGTGTAAATAAGCGAAAATAAATGTGATTTAAATAAAAATTTAAACTATTACCAGTCGGACTTTGACATATTGCGGTATCAAAACCTTTTGGGGTTATTGGTCTTTAGATTATAAGTTACATTTACTGATATTCCTCTCCAATCTTTACTATTCTTTCTTTCATCATCTGTCATGTAAAATGCAAAGCGCGCATGAACGAAGTTACTTCAAATAACATCTACTACTAGATGGAATGAATTCCGCCCGAGAGGAACCCGTTGTTTCCTTTTTCCATGAGAATTTCCAAAAACCGTTTCATCCTGGATACATCAGGAATGTCTTCGTAGAGTTTGCTATGCAATAATATTGTCAGTTAGTCAGTTTCATATAATATCAATTTGATTATCTAGCTGTTATATGCCCGCGATTACTTCTCTCCGACTATATTCTTAATTTATGTCCAAATTTCAAATGTTTTATATAGCAAAATTCATAAATTAACCATATAATTACATTAAATTTTGTTTTGTTTGTTACTTTGGAATCCATATTACATCTTATAAATATCGGGAAGATCCGAAACTTTTGTAGTATTATTACACTTAATTTAGTATAGAATTTGTTTCTATACAAAATAAACTCCATTTCCATCATCTTAGAAATTGAATTTGGAAAAATCCTAACAACTTTTATTACACCTCTATTTAATAGTTATTTACCAAATTCCTTATCTCTTAGACCGCCTCTTTAGTTTGTGCTCAGATCTGTATGCGAATGCGCATCAGAAAATCAATTAAGATAAAAATATGTATTAAGAATACCTGTTCCACATAATTACGACTCTAGTAACACAAAATTTATAAACATTAACTCTTAATTTACACTTAGTAAGAGCTTGTAGAAAGATCTGACCGAGTTATGCAATTGTATTTTTAAATTGCATTAATTATTTAATAATGGTCTAAAAGATACTCGTTTCCCAACTCTTTTTTTTTAGTTGAACATAATTTTTTTAACATATTCGTTGTATTAATACATAATTTTTTATGCAACTTAGAATGGCAAACAAACAAGTCAATACAATAACAGAGGTAGGTACTTATCAGTAAATGTAGTAATGAAATATCTATTACTAAATTAAATGTTATGGTTATAGAATAACATAACTGATATAAAAACATCATGTCGCTATAGTAATCATATTACGTTACATGTAGCATTTTATACATTAATTTACATCCTTTCATTGTTCGACTAATTCTTTAAATATTAATATTTATAAAAGGAACAATTTCAATGATTAAAGATTATTGTTCCATTCAGTTAAAAATAATTAAATCAATTTACAATTGGCAAAGTAATGAGTAACATACACAAAAATATACACGTAGACGAACTGAGAACCTCCTTTTTTTGTACTTAGTTGAAAATAATGATTTTTTTTCTATACATGTATTATCAGTTGTAATAGTTAACCTACTAGGGAGACGTTGGAATGCAGAAACAAGTTTAAAAAAAAGTACAATAAAGATGTTTATGGTTCACTCAAATAAATATTCATTTGCGTGTATGAATATTTATTTTCGAATGTGCTAAAAAGAACGTTCATGCGCGCCTCTTTTTAAGAGATTTGCAGTTTTATAAATTAGCATAATTATATATAGTGTCTTAATATCGCAATATGCAAAAGTTTGGACTATTAATTTAAAATTGTTAAGTAACGCAATATTTCAACAAACAAAGAATTTTGAGATATTCGAGTGAGTATGTATGTGTGGGCACTTCTAGTTCGAACATCGATCGGTAAATTAGTGAGCTGTCGTAGTAGGTACACGTAAACGTCTTTTTAGGAGAAATTGTTACTATTTAGTAATATATTTCCATTTTAATGATAATGATATTTGGTCCAATGGCAACACTTTTTTTTTAGACCACTGAGGTGGCAAACAAGCATACGGCCCACCTGATGGTAAGTGGTTACCGTAGCCTATGAACACCTGCAATACCAGAGATATTACGCGTGCTTTGCCGACCCTGAAGAAACCTCTTTACACAAAGAAAATGTTTAATTTCTCATATGTAATTTTTTTTATTGATCGCATTACAAAAAAATGTTTGGTATTCATACTATACATAGATAACAAGTTTCCTTTTTTCCTCACCAATGTAATAAAATTAAAGTTTAGTAGTAATCGACAACTAATACCTACTAATGTTATTTCTGAATTAAAAATTACACTATGATTTGATGCTCTATAAAATATTGTCTACCGGGATAGGAAGCAATTGCATTTTTTTATTACATATATATTTTTTTGAACATCAATGTAAGACCAAATAACTTTTATAAAACTGTTCTTGTATTCTTTTCTAAATGAAACAAAAACTATTTTATTCAAACATATGGTGCTGTAAATTTACAGATCGACAGTCGAGGTGAATGCAGCGTCCGTATTGCTGGTACGTGTAGGTGTGTGCCTGTGTATGTGTATGTGTGTGTGTGTGTATGTGCATGTGCTTCGTACCTTCATGCGATCGAAGAGCGCGCCGGTTGAGACGATGTTGTAGCGGCGATCTGGGTTCTCGGCCGCGTGTTGCTTAGCCCAGTGGGTCTTGCCCGAGCCCGGCATGCCCACCATTAGGATCACCTGTCATCACATATTTATTTAAGACTTGTGTCCCCATTGTTGGGGGAAAAGTATTGTTAGTAATGGAGTATTAACTGCCCTATTATACACTCTATCAGGTCGACCTCCACGCAATTCCCTTGGAAATGATCGTAATTAATTCTTGTTAAATTCGTGAGCTAACTATGAGCCAACTGACCTGCTTTCATTCTCGCCTATCATAACTTACTGGGTTAGGGGGGGAAAGGGATTGTTAGTAATGGAGACTGAGAATCCTATTGCTAGCAATATACCCAACCAGGTCGACCTCCTCGCGGTTCCCCCTGGAAACTATCATTGTTCATTCCTGATGAATTCATCATGATGGGCTAACTGGCCTGTTTTCATTCTCATCTATCACTCTTCACTGGTGCTCCGCCAGCGTACCCCTTACCGCAGGTGGGGTTACCATACCATTTTCACCCATCAGAAATAACCTACTGGGTTACTATTTCATTACTATCCATAAAAAACTTAAGTAGCCGCGTTGTTATAAATATACCTTGCAGATCGACCTCAATGCAGTACCCCTGGAAACCATAGTAGCAAATTCCTCATGGATTCATCATAATAAGCCAATTAATCTGACTTCATCCTCATCTATCATCCCTCACTAATACCCTGAAGGCGTATAGAGATAGCGCGGGCGTCGAATAGTGGTAACAGTCGTCTACAGACATGATTAATACCGTGGACATTGCAGATTTCAATATAACGTTCATGATAACCCTCATAATACATGTATTGCTAATTCTGAGGATTAAAGTCTTTTGCTTCCATGCCCAATAGGTACACTGCCGTATCCTACCTTTCAAACAGAAACAAAACCATGCAGAGACAGCTCGTTGGCGGCAGGAATATGAGTCAGACGACAGAAGTAGTAAAAAAACAAACGATTTTTATAACAAAGATGAATTTGCACCAATTTGAAAAAAAAAAATCTATTTTCTATCCAAATTCACGTGCAAAGTTGCAGGTCGTAGTTAGTGATTTTCTAAACAACAACAAATAGTGCAGATAGTATAAATAAAAGTGAGACCTAATGGCTTATTCACAGTTATATTTCAGTGGAGGTCTGCTTCTTATAAAGGTGAGCACTAAACAAATCTAGAGTCGGCGAGGCCCACCAGGCCCCTCCTAAATATGCATACAGTCAAATCTCACTAAGACATTCAAAGGTTGACTGGAAAAATCCCCTTTATGGGATAAGCCCACCACTGTACTCATTCTTTTCTTAAGAACTCTGTATCCTATAATTTAAGACTACTGTAGAATAGTGTTACAAACATACAAATTTATAATTATTATATTGCATATTGTATTTTAGATGGTTTTCGAACTATCCACACGTTGTAATTACAATCAATATTTATATAATAAGAACACATGACCTTATACAACAATAATGCAAACATTAAAAAGTCTTTGAATAAAGATGATTTGAAATTAAATATATTTCGTACATGCACATCACACTCGTAAAGCAGCTGTGTTTGCATGGCTGTGTTTCGGTTCGAAGGGTGGGATATGGCGTGAATTTACTGGGTACAGAGGAATAAGACCCGAGTTCTCAGGAATGGCAACGCATGGGGGGGTAACATGGGCGAAACAGTATACTCTGTTATGTCCATGGTACTGCATATATCTATAGGCGACGGTTACCACTTTCGATCAGGTGGGCCGTCAGCTTGTTTGCCATTCTAATTTGTATAAAAAAAAAATTTGGGGAAGTCAATATCATTGGTTATTTGATTAGAATTATTTTGTTTAATTCCGCTACTCATGTGTATAGGTGACGGTTACCACTTTCCATCAGGTGGGCCGTCAGGTTGTTTGGCATTCTAAGTAGTATAAAGAAAAGGTACCTCGCAGTGGGCACGCGCGGCGGGGCGGCGCGGGCCGGGCTGCGGCGCGGTGTGCAGCGCGAGCAGCACGTGTCCGGGCACCAGGCACGCCTCCGCGCCCTCCAGCTGCTCCTCCGCCGTGTGCCTGCCGCACACACGTATACCACTCTAACTAATCTGCCCATTGTTCACAAACTAAACTTTTAAAACACTAATTGAGAAGGTTTATTTTCGCACAAGAGCTTAGAATAAACAATATAAATAACTCACCAGATGAGCGTTCAAAAACAAAACGTATTTGGTATAAAACAATTCAATGTGAGCTTCTTCTGATACCTTTGTTTTTAGATAGTAAATTAAATAGAAATAAAATTAAGTTAATTTTAAGAATCAGATCTGGCCACTATTCATCAAGAAAGTTTGCATATTTAATGAAAAAAGAAAATTCATCAAATTGCATTGTCTGTGGAAAAGTTGAAGATGTACAGCACCTATTGATGGAATGTGATAGGAACCGAAGGGAAAAGAAAACATTTTTAAAAACATTGAATATTAATAAATTTGATATGGGGATTGTTCAGAGCATAATGCATGCCCCTACTACCAAAATTGCTTTGTGATTAAGTGAATTAGTAAATAGTATTGTTTAGTCATAATTATAATAGTAGATAACTTGTTTAGATTTTTTGGAATTGACATGTTAAAAAACAAAAATCCCAAATTAAACATTTTAAAAAAAAGTAACTCACCGAATGACAAATTTGATTCTCTTGTCCAAGACGTGACCTTTGAGCACCTGCTCTTCAGTCACCTCTGCAACTTCACCTTCAACTATAAAAAAATATTATGTTTATATATAAAAAGGGAAAAATATAAAATATTATGTACTAACAGTTCTATTGCTAGCAGTATACCTTGGCAGGTCTACCTCCATGTAATCCCCCCCCTCAAAAGTATTGTGCTATATTCCCTCATTGGGGAGAGAAAGGATTGTTAGTAATGAAAATTAACAATCACATTGCTAACAATATATCCTGTCAAGTCGACGCGGTTCACCCTGGAAACCATCGTGATTAATTCTTTTTGAATTCATTACAATAAGCAAATTGAATTGCTTCATTATCACCTATCATCCATCACTGGTGCCCTGCCAGTGTATATAGATAGCGCAGGTGAGGCTACCATTCCATTATCATCCATTAAAAAAATTCATCCCTCACTAGTGCTTCACCAGCATATACAGTTAGTTAAGGCTTGTTTACAATACCATTACATTATCAACTAATAAAAAAAAGCTATAGTGTGTTACTTATATTTAGATATCAGCACAAACCAACTAACCTGCCTCCCCCTTCACTTCTGGCTGCTCAGCGGTTTCAGCCGGTTTTGGTTCCTCAGTTTGGTCAGTCTCCATTGGCTCCTCCTTCACCTCCACTGGAGGCTGACTGTCGTCAGTTTTATCACCATTTTCCTGGTGAAGCAGTTTACATACATAATTAATCTATATTGTAAACAGACTTTGAACACAATGTACAAATAACAAGGTTTGTTTTTCAAATATCTAGTTATTATAACTATAAATTTATAAAAAATTTAAAAAGTCCCCAACAAACAAACCTATAAAAAGATCCGATGACCTTGAAACACCTAAACAGATCTTCATAAATTGTAGCTAAGAATCATCTCAATCACGTCAGCTTTCAAACAAAAAAAAAAAACCGCATCATAATCAATGCATTCGTAACGATACGATGCCCACAAACAGACAACACAGATTTTTTTTTTATTTTATCTACTGTACGTGACTGATAAGAATGTGAACTTGAAGCACACATTAATTTGGTAATTGTTGTAATCATACCTTTGGTTCGTCCTGATTGACAACAACGTCAGTAGACTGCTCCGTATCTTCTTTTTCCTTATCTTTCTCAGATTCTTCTACATCTTCTCCCTTGTCCTTCCTCTCCTTTTCTTTCCTTTCCCGTTCCAACCTTTCTCTCTCCTAAAAATTATAATAATCAATAATTAAAGAATTAAATTAAGGTAAATAAAAAAATAAAATTGGCAGTTATTTTTACCATTACATAAAACTAAATTTCCAAACATATAAAAAACATATAAATTTTATAAAAAATGAAGCTATGAAGTATACAATTGTTTAAGTTTTTAGTTTCTTTTTACATACCTCTCTCTTTTTCCGCTGTCTTTCCTCCCTCTCTTTTTTTTCTTTTTCCCGCCGTTCCCTCACCCTCCTGATTGCTTCTTCCTTCTGCCGCTTGATTTCCTCTTCAAGTGCCTTCTTCTCTTCAAGCACTTGTTCCACGGGGATTTCAATACGCTTACGGACTATCTTGGTTTTCGTCAACATATTGTATCTGAGTAAGATTGGATTATATTGTACAGCAAATGTTTAAAATAAAAAATATACTACAATTTATCATTTTCTATGTTTCTGTATTGAAGCAACAATGCATACCTACTTTTGTTGAGTTTCTCTAATCTCAATAATACGTAGATATATATCTGTCACGCCCGTCTCCTATTAAAGTAGACAGAAACAATGGAATGCCAAGTGCTTCAAAATCAAACGGACCTATTTCGCTTCCTCCATATTCATCAATCTATACATACATTCTCGCTGATTATGGGTACTGTTAATTTGTCGCTTCCTAAGTATATCGCCTAATTAGTCAACATACGTACATCTAGGGCGGCTATTACCGACATTTCCATTAATTCGTGTTCGATAAATATCTTTCAATTATATAAACCTGTTATTCCGTTTGCGATCTCATATCATATATAAAACAATAAAAGAGTAAATACGAAATAATTATCTACCTGCATTATGTGCTCATAATATACATATGTAATTTATATGAGGCATACTATATAATGCAGGAAAGAAACTTGCTATTTTTATATACTACAAAGTAAAAAAAGTGTAAAAGGCCTTATTCGAAAAAATAAAAACGACTGTGACAAAAACACAAAAAACTCGATAATAAAATTTACTGTTACTAGTTTTAAACTTTGTTAAATTAATATTATGTAGCCTATATATGCTATTTACTATTTTAATTAATGTATGGCCAACTCATTAAAATTAAATAAAAAACAAAAAAATTAAGCAATATGCTTTTTAGCACTTACTTGTCATAACCAAAGTTGACCCTGTAACACAGGTTTTTGGTGATAATGTGCGGGAACAACGGCTTATCATCCAAAACCGACTTGTCGAACTCGAACGCTGTTCCTTGTTCGACGCCGTTCACGGTGAATGAGATCTTGCATGGGTGAGACTCAAGGTCCTAAGGAAAAGTTTTATCATTCTTCTGTTATTTTATATTAAATAATTATGACATAATATTATCTGTACTATAAAAATATAATAATAAAAAAAATTTCATTAATTCACTAAATTTGTAATATATTAGATCAGCTTTTCCCAAAGTGGGCGATAACGCCCCCTTGTGGGCGCTGCAGGCCTAAAAGGGGGCGGTAAGAGACCCAGAAAAAAATGGGGGCTTGTATAGAGGCTTGGAGAGTGCTTTGTCGCTCTTGAAGTAATAGTGGTTTTTAAGTAGGTGAAAAAATGGGGGCGCTAAAAATAATTTATTGTCAAAGTGGACATAGACAAAATAAGTTTGGGAACCCCTGTATTAGATGAATTAGGCGTTATATGTTAAATTGGTTTTTATCAAATGATATTTCTTTTTATAAAGATATCTCGTCGTTGTAATTATCATAACTGGTGAATCCCCATTATGATAATTACGATCAATTGAATTGATACAAGTTTGTAATTCCGCTTGCGATCTCATATGACACAGGTCATAAGAGAGTAAATACGAAATCATTATCTGCCTGCATTTGAACACAATCAAATATATGATTTAATTGTAAATAGAACATGCAGGTATATCAAAACGACTACAGCATTCACACATTCCACATTTCAAGCTTTCAACCACTTGACTCAAGTCATCAGATATCCTATAGATTTATTTGTTTTAAATAAAGAACTTTCTAGGGGCGGAGGGGGGGGGGGGTTCTATGGTGTCACAAGCGAGGTCACTATTTTATTTTTCACCCATTTAAAAAATGTATGTGAAGATAGTGGCTATGGGTATTTATTTAATATATATATATATATATATATATATATATATATATATATATATATATATATATATATAGTACATAACAATCATTTCATATTATCTATATCATAACCAAACCATCCCAGATAGACATGTGGTTCTCAGAAAAAACAAATGATACACTAATACATATAATGTTTTAAATATAGTAGTTAAGAACATTTTTAATTTATCCCATGGAATTTTTTACATAGACAGATAAATAATACTAACCAGATAGACGCCGACGACATCCTTTTCACCGAGTTGCTTCCCATATTCCTTGAATTCGCCGTTGTGCACAGCGCGGCCGGTGCTCTCGTAACCCCAGCTCAGCTCACCCTCGCCTGTTGGACAAGCGATATTATATGATCATATTTGATCATGCTGAATTCTTTAGATTTCATACATCACATATTTACAATAAGAGCACAGTACCGTCAATGTAACCATTCAAATGCTATCTTTTTTATATATATGTATGTAATTTAAAAATGCTTATAATTAAGTTTATGTTTGTGTTAAGTGAAATATTTTTATTTTATAAAAAAAATTCATCATTATTGATTTTTATGTTATGCAATGTCTTCGCTAATTCATGATAAATGTTATGTGATCCTTTATTAATTGAAAAGGGTTTATTCGCATGCTATTCTCAATGTGTAGACTAAAAAATATATTATGTACATTTAATTGTACTAATTATTTAATGATACAGAAATCCAATAAAATGTCCACTATATTATCATTTATAAATTTTCAAAAACAATTTAGAATTTTTTTTTTGCCCATTTCCTCTCAAATAAATCAACTAGCAAGAGCACCATGCATGAAGTTGAGAAAGAAAAAAAAGCAATTTACCAAGATGCAGTGTAGAGTCAACAGTAGACCAGCCCATCCTGAGACCGGAGCCAATCGGTTCCTTTTCACTGCTCTCAGTTGTAGTCACCACAGCTCCAACTCTCACCTAAAATGTTATTTAGAATTATAAAAACGTATAATGTATTTTTCAGACTAACAAAAAAGGAGGTTCCATTTTTTCAACTCTTTGTGGCTATGTTATTCATTAACTTCTCCAATTATAGCCCTGAACTGAAACTTTTCTATACATTCTCATTTGGTATCATGCGAAATATCATAAGATATGTGAAGTCATAAACCACATCAATTACCTGCCTTCATTTAAACTGTTGCAAACAACGCTTAGTGAAAAACTACTTTCGGAATTAACGTTCAAATCATCAACAGTGAATGATAGTGAATGAAATCAGTCGGTTGAGCATTCGTGACGCATAAATTTACAAATATATGACTGAACCATAAAGAAGTGAATAGAGACTTTAGCACATTGGTCATAAATAGATTGTCTATGATAACATGTCACGCCCTTCAAAATCAAAAGAATTAAAAATGTGGGAGTATAAATATTTACAAGGGAAACCTGGTAAAAAGATCAAGGAATGGAACACTCCTCTTGCCAGACCGCTATTGAAAATATTTCCTCACAAACAGAACTCCACGTCTAGATATGGTCACAGACACTAAAGAAAAAAATTGGAGGGATGTGCCATGCCAACGTAAACAATCTATAGTAGTAGTGATAGAGAATAATAATAAGTCCGATATTGCGATCATTGCGAGTCAATGAGATACTGTGATTTTTCATAGGTGAAATTGAAATAAAATTAAAGAAATATTTTTATTCAAGTGAACTTAGTATTAATCGTTTTTAAAGTCATTTTTACATTAAACAGCCTATTAAGAACGCAATTTAGCCAAGGAGTTCGGGCAAGAAACTTATGTTGTTTTTTTTTCAAAAACTTTATACATAATGAATTTGTGTGAATACATACTGCTAAGCAGCATGAGATCATAAAATATATAATTAAAACAAATCACTAAAATAAATCGGTTGCAATGACCAGAACAGAAGTCCCTACACGCCACCACCTATCTGAACATTTTAGTGAGCATGACTTAAGTTTCCCAACCACGTCAAAGCCAAATTTGAATAATTTCATACTACATAACAGTCGCAGTATCCATCCAATATCTATTAAATTAACTAAATGATAATATATTAAAGTAGCAATCATCTTCATGGATACCTCATAGCAGACGCGTCCGTTAGAGACCCCGTGCGTGGCCCGACTGCCGGCCCAGGCATGCGCAAACACGCCGTCGCTGAGCGGCACCACGCTGTTCAGCTCCGGCAGCTCCAGGTACTGGTTCAGATCACTGTCGTCTGCAACCGACACGCATGCAGTCAAACACTAATTGCATATAAATTATAGGGAAAAGAATATCATTTATACTGTGTGAAATTAAAATAATTGACATTTGGCATCTTAAAGCATATGGTCTAGTGGTGAATCTAAAAATTTTAACCAAAGAAATATATAGACTAAATATATTCTTCTATTCTAAATTAACCAATTGTTAAGAAGTTGTATAGAAAGCTCAAAATGTATTGAAATTTTTTTAATTGTAAATCCTGAAATTTCTGTCAGACAGATTACAGAATAATAATATATATTCTATATGGGTAGATCTCACATGTGTTTTCAGCTAATAACTTCAATTTCATCCTGTTTTTGGTTTAGTGAGATAGGATCGGAATGTTTTACAAATAGGATATGAAGTAGCATTAGTGAAAAATAGCAAATTATAAACATTTATAGAGGTAACTATCAAAAACAGTGGGGGAAAGGGATTGTTACCAATGGAGTTTCACAGCCCCATTGCTAGCAATATGCCCTATTAGGTCGACCTCCAGGTGGTTCCACCTGGAAACCGTCGTGAACAAATCTTGTTGAATTCGTCATGATGGGCTGACTGATTTGCTTCATCTTCATCTATCATCCTTCACTGGTGCCCCGCCGGTGTATACCGATAGAGCGGGTGGGGTAACCATTCCATTATCACCCATAAAAAAAAAAACTATCGATAACAGTATTATGAACCCAATTGTAAACCAGTTTTAAGAAATAAAAATGAATTCGAACCTAACATTAGAAAATTATTACAAATAGAATTACAGAATGTCTAAAAGCTATTAAACCGAAATGATACTTACACCATGAAAGGGTTACTTTTTCATCATTTAACTCTGGTTCTTCTAATTTAGGTTCTGGAATGTCTTTCTTTCCTTTAAGCAAATTGACCTGCAAAAAATTATAACGACTTTTATTAAAAATAAATTTAAGTTGTCTAATCATTCTTATAATAGTATAATTAAAAGCATTAATACTATTCTACAAAATTTATAGAAGTCCACAAGTATATTAAAATAAAACGTCATTATATATCCCAGACATACTATTAATTTCTATAGAGTTGTACCAAAAACAATGTTCAAACTATCAATCAAATTTTGGAACTGCCATGCCTAAAAGGACAAAAGTCCCCAAATAAATAAAAAAAAAAGATACAAGGTAATAATGTAATCACAATACCTCAGTAGGAGGAGTCAGCACTTCATTGGTGACCTCAACAGTTTTGTAGAAGTTGCTCCAACGGGCCTTCTTCTCTTGTTTGCGCTTCAGACGTTGCAACTTTATTGGATCCTGTCATTACACATAAGTTTCCATAAAGATTTGTTATACTTGACAATAATTTTGTAAAAAATAAAAAAAAAAAACAGATGTTGACACTGGAAATTGCTGGAATTTGTAATTCATCATGATAAGAGAAAATACACTTGTACTACTTCTAGATTGTACATAAAATCTCATGCTATGTCTATTAAAACTACTTATTTTTTATTACAAATAGTGAGTTAAATTTGAAAATTTGTGTGAAATGTAAATTTATGATTATTTTTTGTATATGCACAGCAAACAACTCATTTAACATTTAAAGATAAATCATTATAAAAAAAAAAAAAAAAAAAAAACTACAAACTGAACAGACTATTAAATTGGTTTCGAGTAAGTATACGCGACTTACATTGCTGAGCTCTTCCAGCCGCTTAGCATCTTCCTCCGCTTGCTTCTTCTCTCGTTCAATACGCTCTTGTTCTCTAATCTTAAGACGTTCATTCAATTGTTCCCACTCTTCTTCCTCAGTCAACTCCCGCTCTTTCTGCTTGAATTGGTTATTTTTTAATATCTACTAATTTAATTTCTTAATATAAATGACAATTCTAATTTTAGTGGTTTGATTGACAACTACACAATGAAAGGATTTATGTGCACACTTAACAGGCCTATCCATAAGTTTGGATTAAAATTGTAATTGATTGTTTTCAATGATATAATTACGATTTATAATCACTTCAATGATTTGAATCACTTAAAAATTGATGGACACATTAGATTATCAATAATTCATCTAAATTTTGGTGTGACAATTATACAATTTAATCATTATTGAAAACTGTATGTACCTGATCTTGTTTCTTGCTCTCGTCACCTTCACCTTCCTCTTCATTTTCACCGTCGTGGTCCATCTTCTCATCTTTAGGCTTTGGTGAAGATTCTTTATCGTCCTTCTCTGGTTTTTCATCATTTTGCATAACTTCTAAACAAAAATGTTAATAACCATTGTCAGAATATTATAAATTGTAAAATGTAGCGTAGTCGTAATAAATTCATAAAGTATCCTACACGACAATCCCATGTACCATAATTGTCGTTATTATATGCATCAAATTTCATTCAAAGAGTGCATAGAAATGTAAAAACATCAAGCTAACAGAAAGTATACTTTATGAATATATATATTTATTAAAACTGCATGTATGCAATGCACAGTAAAATTATATATACATTTGGCGGTTTTGACACAGGTTGGTGTTCTCTACTAGTCAACAGTTAGGCAAACTGAGCAATAAGTAGGTGGTGCATTATTTAATTTTAAAAACAATATTAGAACAGAATCGTATTAAATAATAAAATTATAACTAGATAATGTCTGTATATGGAAGATATTTAAGAAAAAATAATATAAAGGGTTTTAAAAAGACCAATAGATGTCAATAAAGATTTTTTAAAAATTTTGTTTGTTCAGGCATTACATAATAACTAACAAATGGATTAAGTGTTTCACAGTTGTTTGTGAAGGTCTAACTTAAAATTTGATATGTTTTATCTTGATATACCTTCTAAAATGTTAAAATTCATGTGTATGAAGAAGTAACACGCAAAAAGCTAATTAAAAAAAATATAATTTCATTTATATCTTTTACTTACCACAATCATCTACATCTTCCTTGACTTGTACAGGAGATCCACTGAAAATATAATAATAATCAGAATTTTTTTCAATGTATAACAAAAAATTTATATACCTATTAGCTTCATATAATGTACTTATTACATTACCTAACCGACTTTGTTAATAAGAATAATTAAACTATAAGTAACAGTTCTAGAGAGTACTGATGGCAAGAATGGGAGAAACATAAGATCTTACAATACGAAAAAAAAAAACTGTAACATATATATATAATTTCAAGTAAAATCACAATAACTAGCATCTAAATACACATAAACGCATGTACGCACGCTTATAGACACCATATTTATTTTTAAACGACTTTAAAAACAAAGACGTTCTAAAGACGGTTGTATTTTTTTTATGTATATGTTACGCGATATCTTCTCTAGTTGTGAACTGATTTTGCTAATTCTTTATTGTAATTGGTAAGGTTTGTTGCCGTGTTGGATCTATAGTGTCACGAAGCAAAATATTTGATTCTTAACTTATAGCTATATTTAATATATTATATTTAATAAAATATACTCCTATTTAATTCATACTCAATTTATCAAAACCTGTTAGGCTGTTTAGGTAATATGTGTCCTCAATAATCCATACACACATATATACCGAAAATTATTACACTCGGGGAAAAACAAAAAGCAATTATTTTATTTTTAATAAGTAAATCACGCTAAAATAAATATTTATTGCTTTTTAAGGTCTTCTTTATCTGTAATGTAATACAAAATTATGGCATACTGATATGAGAAATATGTCATTGAACATTTAAAATGTAATGGAAAATAGCCATAAAATGCATAGTAACAGTTCACACATAAATATCTCATATCACCGTTTCAATTAAAAAATCATAAAAAAAAGCGAAGATATCGTGTTCGCGCAACATAAGAGAAAAAAAAACAATCGAATAGAACACAATTTCGTTTTTAAACTCGTTTGAAAATAGAACTCACTTATCATCATCATCTAGGACGTACACGTCAGATTGAGCGGGCTTGCGCGGCGTGTCGGGCTGCGACGGCGGCGGCTGCGAGTGCGGCGCCGCTACCGGCGCGGGCACGGGCGCGGGCACGGGCGCAGGCGCGGACACAGGCGCCGGCTGCAGCGGCTCGTCCGAGTCCTCTTCTTTGACGTCCTCTTCTATCAACTCGGGATGATCGTCACGTGGGGCTTGCTGTGATGAAAAACAAATATAAATACATATTTGTATAATATTGGTTTATATCATGTACTAGTTTTTACGGCCGACTATGTCCAGGTGACCAGGATATACGAGGTTTGTCCGGAAAGTACGTATAAAAGTTTTTTAAAAATTTTATTTTACAATTATTCAGGTAAATCAATTTTATCCCCTTCAAAGTACTCCCCCTGTGACATAATGCACTTGTGCCAACGCCGTTTCCACTGTGAGAAGGCTCCTTGAAAGTCCTCTGGTTGTAGGTTTCTCAGCTGCCCCGTCGTAGCTTTTTTTATCTCATTTATGTCCCCCAAATGCCGCCCCCGAAGTACCAATTTGGTTTTTGGGAACAAGAAGAAGTCACACGGGGCCAAATCCGGCGAATAGGGGGTGTTCGGTCACCGTAATGGAATTTTTACTCAAAAACTCACGGAACGATCTTGGCGCAAATTTTTTTCATTTGAAGTTCGTTTCTTAGAATTTCGTGGACCACGGTTTTGCCCAAATTAAGCTCTTCAGCCACCTGTCTGACCGTTAAACGACGGTCCCCATTAACACAAGTTCGAATTCTTTCCACGTTTTCGTCGGAATGTGAAGTGGAAGGACGTCCTGAACGTGGGTCATCTTGAACGCTTTCTCGGCCCTCTCTGAATCTTTTTAGCCACTTGTGGACGGTTGGTTCCTTCACAGCATCATCCCCATAAACTGTTCTGAGATCGGCAAAAATTTCACGGCCATTCTTGCCGAGTTTCGAGAGAAACTTGATTACGACGCGCTGCTCTTCAACGGAAGCGGGCTCCATGCCGACGGGGTTTCGTTAAGAGGTAACTTCACAGATGGCGTGACAAGCCAGTTCGCACCGCACGGCGGTCAGACCAGAACTGAAGCATTGTTAGGGACATAAGGAAGGGGTCCTGCGTTTACCTGGCCTCCCCACTCCTCTTTCTCGCATTCCAGAACACTTTTATACGAACTTTCCGGACAGACCTCGTAGATTACCCTATGTTCTTCCCCGTCCCAAAGACTATATGCACACTAAACTTTATTAAGATTGGGCAAGCTATAAATCAGCTGTATCGATACTGCATCCTGACCTATTTGATACTTTTAAATATCTATGGAAGTTCACGATATCGTGACGGAAATTTAAATACGTCACATTTTCCTATTTTTTTTTATTTTATGGGCATTTACCTTCTTCGTAAAAGTAAAATATCGTGCAATATAAAAGTGCCCCCTAGGATCAGCGCAGATGAACAACAAAGTACAACAGAGTGAACACAAGTAATCGATCCATCTGCGTCCATCGATAATTCGAAACAGGACTTTTGTCTTTATTCCAAAGAAGACTAAGGCTACTACGACTAAAATTCGTATAACAAACAAATAAAGCGTTGTGGCTTATTGACAGCGAGACAGCGTGTCGCTAGGTGTGACTTGCGAAATTATGATTGATAAATGCTCTTAACCGCTTTCCGCGATGCGCTTGATAATTCCGCTACAAAATAGCTTGCTGGTACTACGGTTCAAGTTCGATTTAAAAGGCAAAATATTGCAGTTAATTTACCGCCATTTAAGAACATATTATTGGATATACAATGTGAATTATTTTCCCGTGTTACAAATTTTACAAAAACATTAAGTTCCACTTTTATCGTAGAATAAATTTCTAACATAAATATTTTATTCAAACTAGATAATCAGCCGTTACATATTTTAAATACCTTATCGGGATTTAACGTCATAAAAAATATTTGCAAGTAAATAGTACCTACATACCTACCTGCTTCTTCATTGCGTTAAATCCCGATAGTATATTTAAATAATGTGTAAACAACGCGAAAGTTTAAAATTAACTATTGCATCCGTACCATGTTCAAACAAAATAGAAGCGTGGTTTATTTTGCTAGTAATTATTGTTTACCAAACATTTCGGTTTATGTCTAAGGTCACCACATGGACTTATTGCCTTATACACAATTACACATACCTTAGTATACTCACTCAAGTAACAGGCGAAAAGTATATACAAACATGGATGGAATTATTATAAAAAGAAGACCACTGAAGATAGCCCTCTAATAATGAAGTTAATAAAGCCCTGATGATAGTAAACACCCCTACAACTTAGAGATAGTCTATGAATACAATATAATTAACAAATAGAAATATCTCGAGTCTTGAATACTCACAGACATATTTACAAGTAATTATTAAGTTTTTAATTTAGTTAATAATTGTTAATAATCACAAAACGTGCCGCACATAATGACAAATTACTCGGGAATGACAATATCACTAGTGACGGTCGACTTTATCAGTGATAGCCATTAATTTTATCAATAGGTTAATATGTAAATAACCAAAGCCTAAAATTGCATGTCTGCGACTTCATTTTCACGTCTAAAAAATACTCTCTTTTGCAATTTTATTTCCAAGAATACAACAACAATGTGCAATGTTCAGATGTTATAAGCAACCTATGTAGATAAGATGTTAGAAACGCATGTCTTAGCACAACGTTATCTATAGTCTGAAATGGCAAACCAGCCTTATCTACTAGCAACAAATCACTGAAGGATAATTTGCAGATATATGTTTACTGGTCATTAATTCACTTGTGTATAAAAAGATTAAAAAAATGTGAGATTGTATAGAGGCTTCGATGTTTAATATTTTTTAGTAAAGCAACTTATAGTAGGATTTGAATTAAATTTCGAACACACAATGTCTTTATGTGTCATCTTGAATTAATTTAATTTTTTTTTTTTTTATTTAATACAAGTGGCCAATACAGGTTGTTATAAAAAAAATGTATAAATGCTATAAATAATAAAAAAAAAAACTAGACTAGAATATCACTGCACTACGCCGCGCAATTGCGCTAACTCATTTCACTATGCTATATCAACTCATTTCTTCAAAATGAGTTCGCACTGTGCAGTACTGAGAATAGTGAATTAAGTATGGACAAATTAGGGTATTTTTTGTACTTGTGGGTTGACTTGTTGGCAATCTTTTAATAGTATATTAATGCACTAAAATACATGAGTGTAAGAAAAACAAAAAATAGAACAAGAGTAGTAGAGGTTTTTTACATCACTTTAATTTTGGCACATGTCGAAATATACAGTACAGTGATATAGGTTAACGAAATGAGTTGGCACAATAGAATACACTTCAGATACTGATTTAATGAAGTGAGGGTATTTTTTTTGTAGTAAAATTTTGGCATATGTAAAAAAAAATAGTATAATGTGTTGTACAGCACAATTTTAAGTTAAGTCAATGAGTTGGTGCAGTGAAATGTGCTCTAGTTACTGAGTTAATTTGAAAAAAAAAAATTGTTATTTCTTGGACTAAATAAATGCAATACCTTTGAAGGTGTAGAGACTAGGCGCGACGATGACGATCTCCTTGTAGTCCTGGGCGCAGGGCCCGGTCGCCGAGGAGTGGCTACATCATCAACATCCTCTGTTGTTGTGTCCAGTATAGATGTATCTGCTAGTACTGAGAACAATAATGCAGAATATTTTAAATGAATACTCCATATAGACCACTCTGTTATACTACTGCCTCTAATAGCAAAATTCTATAAAATTTAATTATTATCAAAATTCCTGTACAAAATTAGGTTTAGAAATATCATTATTGTGTGAAAGGTAAAGGATTATTAGTAAAGGAGTCTAACAGCTGCATTGCTAGAAATGTATCAGGTCTACCTTCCCTGTGGAAATTATTATGGTGAATTTGTCATGATGATCTAACTGACCAGACGTCATTCTCACTTATCATCATTCACCATTATATAGTGATAGTGCAGATAAAGTTACTATTAAATAATAATCACATTAAAAAATGAAACCCTCTTGTGTCTTTACCCTCTGATATTATAAATAAATAGGTGCAAAAATGAAAATCCTAACTCTTCTAAGTAGTATTCTTAGAAGCAAACAATGTAAACATTTATGGACTGAAATTTCAAATTAACATTTTTACTCAATACATGGTGAATGCAAAATAAACATTTCATGGTGTTAATAGGTTTCTTATCAACAAATGTAATAAAAGAAGCTGATAATCAGAACTGAAATGTAAACACTATATGTATAACTGGCTATAGGTATTGAAACACTGAATACAGTTGTATAAATATAAGTATTAAACTGCATTTTAGTTTATAAAAATTTTTATCAACAAAGAGGTAAACAAACAGAAATTTGAATAATCTTAAATAATATGAAACTCCTGTTTTCTATATTATGTACAAGTACCTTGCAAATTGTAGATACAAGTTTTAAAAAATATCTAAACAACAATAAAACTCGTAATAAGATTCATCATATAATTTAGAAGAAATAAGTCGAGAAACAGCAACTTCTATGTAATGACAATTACAGTAATGGGCCTTGGGCATTGCTTGATACAAGAGAATAAGTAAAATAATATATGAATAAAATTAATATATCTGACTGTATAGCAAAAACTAAAATAAGAATGGTCAGTGAGTACCCTTTTTAAAAGATAAACATTAGCAAAAATTATTAAGACCAATGGTTGCTTCAATTATACACTAGTTAGACAAACATAATATTTCTAGATTGGCAAAAATTATAGATCTGTCATAAACTTTAAAATGGTTATGTACTGGGCCCAAAGGCATAAAATTTTGTTTGTTACCTAATGTTGAAACGTTAAACATATTTATTGCTATTAAATAATTCAGTTGGAATAGGGACTTAAGTTGAATAAATAGCTATATTTCCGTATAGCGGCAAATTGATTAAGCGTTGTCATGCAGCAAATTTAAAACACTACATATAAGCAGTCATGACGTAATTTAGATTTCAATTCGCAACTGTTTCAGTTCCGCTTCATGACTGTAAAACAATTTAATTTTAAATGTGATATATATTTTTAACTACAATTTTATTAGCACGGAAATGTACACGTGCTTTGTTGACTTTTAGTTGATATGAGATCAATTCGGTAATTTGGTTATTTGGTTAAATACATAAATATCTCGATTTAATATTGAGACTAGAGTAAACTAATTAAAATAAATTGTTTTACCTCTTCCAGTTTTAGCTTCAAGAGCTTTCTTCAATCTTTCGACCAAAGCCGGCTTGTTACCCTTCGTATCCAAGCCGAGAGCACCAAGCTCTGATCTCAGATCTACTACTTTCATCTTTGCCGGGTCCATTTTGATTTTGTTTATATTTTTTCACAACAAAAATATGTTCAGCGCGCAGTAAAAATCACAAACTATGTGAAATTAAACATCACAAGAATAATATCATCAAGAAAGCGCCAAGCCAAATCAATATGGCGGCAGCAAGCTAGCAGGATACGAGTAGTGGTGTGCGATATCGATTATAATTGTCTAATTGATAGTATTATAAATGATTGTAATTCTAGGTGATTTATAATATATTTATAATTGTTAATAAAATTAGTTTTCTAAAAGAACTTTATTCATTTTTCACCAGTAAAGTTTCATTTATTAATAAGAATATCAATAGCGTATTATTGCACAATTTTAGTACGTAAACTTTATATATTAAAAGGTACGTTAATTACAGACATTCGTAATGTAAATTTTAATGTGGGTTTATTGAGAAGAGCCAATTAAGTTTTCTATTCTATATTTATCTGTAAGTAATTACATGTCGACTTTTGTATTTACGCAGCGCCGTTTAATTCCACCATCTTCAATAGATGATGCATATTTTCTTCATACTATCGATAATTTTAATTAAAAATTATGGCGCAGCACTATGTAGTAAAAAAGAGTAGCATAGTCATAGAGAAATCTCCAAAATCTTTGGTCCGAATTCGCCTTGTCTGTGATGATATAGGCAATGCAGTCATAGATTAAATACATTAAGGATTAATATTTATAACTTTAAATTGTGAAGTGCTAGCATAGATATAATTGCTAATTTATGCTAATGCTTCTACTGATTAATAAATATAGTTGGCAGAAAGTTTGAAAAGATGGAACCGCGGTACGTAGTGCAGTTACATTACGTACCTACTTAACATTCTAGTTCTATCTAAGAACGACCAAAATCTTTGAGTTCCACTGTGTATGGGTTAAAGCGTCAGAATAAGGACTTAGCAAGGGGCTTAGATGCGTTTTTGGCCAAATATTTTTATTTTTGACCATGACTGACATGACATCATACCAACCCAGCAATATAATTCATCTGCACCTAAGACCAAGGAATTACATAGAAAGAATAATAAAATAAAAACTAAATCATATAATAAAAGTAAAAATGTATTTATTACCAAAATGTGATTTTATAAGCACAGACTTTAGCATTGATTCTACACTAGGCTGAGCCTATTCTGTAGGCACCAGGAATCGTGTTGCCAAATACATGATTACAGAAATTAAAAAAGCTTTCTAGTAGTCTAGTAATACATTAACTGTTTACCTATAAGTATACCTGTCTATAAGTTTACACAAAGCTGTTATTTTTAAAATATGATTTTATAAATACCAATAAATTAATGTGTGTTTGGATGTTGGGAGTTTGCACGTGCAAATGGTAAGAATGGTGTGTGTTTGTGTGTGTGTGTGTGTGAACGAGATGTTTATTTATATGATTAACATCAGTATGTTTTCAGCATCGTTGAACTTCATAATTTTTAGATGTTTTCTTACCTTTACTAACGTTTCTTTTAGCGTACTGTTTTTTAGATTACAAATTTTGCAAATTTTATTGTACATTATATAGGGGATCATACAAGGTGAGAAGCGTCTGGCATAGCTAGTTTTTATAGTAGGTGTGAGAAGAGTATGTAAACACTTTTATAAGCCCTCGGAATTGTTATTCATTGATATTTCGATTAAGTTGTAACCGGTAATTATAATTTTGAGAATGTACAATTTTCTTCAAAAATATGGTTGCCTCCTTTCTTCCTATGCAAATATAATTAGTAAAAAGAAGACGAAAGATACACAATCATTTGCTAATTTTCCCCACTTCATAGTGGGCTAGTGTTTAGAAATTGTGTATATAAAATTTTTGTTCATTTTGATATGTCTGTCATTAGTAGATTATATATTCGATACAGTTTATGTAGAAAGCAGATTGTATCTGAATTTAATAGGCTTATACGGCCATATAACATTTTTTATACACTAACCTGCTACGAATTGACAATTTTATCATTCCTTCGATGTAATTCCTTGTTCTTAGATCTGCATCAACTAGCACCAAGCAGTTGCCTGGTTACTATTATAATCTAAGGTTATCATATACGCCAGATAGATTTTGGTTACAAAATGTTCAAATAATTTTTGTATAACATTACACAATAGATATTATTTAGAATCTCTTACAATATTAAAAGATGGCACGGAAAGAAGAACCTAAAAGTACCTTATTAATTTTATTTACAAGATTTGACTAATTTATTTTGTTAAATTGTTAATATGAATCCGTCCCGTATATGTAGGTACATATTTCACTTTTCAGTTCAACCCAATAACGATTTGGAGAAGAAAATTATAGAGGCATTTGAAGTATTCGATCACTCTGGTAAACAAGTGGTTGATGTACGAGAAATTGGAACCATTTTACGTTCCCTGGGTAGATAAAAATATTAATGTTTTCGTAAATATTAATAAAAATATTGATAGGCAATTTATTGTATTTATGTTTTTGTATCCAAATACTACGTAGTTGAATATTTTTCGGTCTCTTAGATTTAAAATTGATAAACAATAGCAAGTTTTGTAAAAGAGTTTAAATACTAGCTAAACTCAAAAACTATTTTCCTTCCCTCACTTTTTAATAGAATGATTATGAAATGCCGACATATACGGCATGAAAAGTAGGTATATTGCTAGCAATGAGGAATTATTAGTAATAGAGATTAGCGTCCCCATTATTTGTGTGTCGTATTGCAGGATGTTGCCCAACCGAAGCAGAAATACAAGAAGTGATCCTAGCGACTGAGAACAAGGAGGCGACTGGGAATGTACCGCTCGTCAACTTTCTCCCATACATGTGTAAAGTTATGATAGAGCACAGGCAAGTAAATAAAGTGCCAAGTGTTAGTTGAACAAAGATTTACTATTTTTTTCACAGGAAAAAAATACATGGTAATCCTGCTTGTACGATCGGTATATACGCTGGCGGGGCACCAGTGATGGATGATAGGTGAGAAGGAAGGCAGGTTAGTTGGCTCATCATGAATAAGCAATAGGTCTGTTAGAATCCATTACTAAAAATGCTTTTCCCACTCAAGATTTACATTACGACCTTCGGTTACGACGATGAGTTTTACGGAAATCCGAGTTCTAGTTTCAAAACTAAGAATGAGTGTGGGAGGGGGTACGAAAACGTTAGTAATGGGAATGCCATTCCTTTGTTTTTGGTTCTTACGTGTGTTTGACACCACCGTCATTATGTGAAAAATATATTGTAAAGAGTATATGAGACATTATGCCAACTAACACTCAATGGGGACAATTTAGGATTTCAGGTTCGAATTTTGTCAAAATTTAAATTAAATATTATATTTTGTTATACTATTTGTAATGAAATATAAGTATCATCGATATACGCTGACAATGACTCCGTACAGGCAAACGCAGTATAGGACGATAGTCAGTAGATGTAAATGACTCATATTGTTCCTTAAGGCAGTCTATGGGGAGATCTATGTTCAGCAGTGGACAGATGATGATGATGACAATGATATACGCTAATGATGAACTAATGATTACTAATAATCCATCTCCAAAAATTTTATTATTTTAGGTTCTACCCGGCTAGTGCAGAGATGCTGTTAGCTGCGTTCCGTTATTTCGACCCCGAGGCTCGTGGATTTCTCACCAAAGAAAGGTTCACGCAACTCATGATGGAGGAGGGGGAACCTTTTACCCAGGTGTTACATTATTCCTCTATTTAAGCTCCTGTAACCTCTTTGACGACCTCAAATGCATTGCAGAGAGTCTGGATGCAAGTGGCTGTGGACCGTTCCTTAGGACAGTCTGTCGTAGAGGCCTATGTTCAGCAGTGGGGTAAGTCTTTGCGAAGCTCTGTGCTTCATGAAAAGTATATGATGCGAAACTAGGTACTGTTGTTTGATTGAGGTATTTGTCATGTAATATAATAATAATGACAAATACTAATAAGTAATAGTGAATAGTAAATATAGTGTGTATATATATATATATATATATATATATATATCTATATCAAATACTGTTGTAGTTGTTGTTGTAGTACTGTTTCTGTCTATAGACGACGGCTACCATATTCCATCACGTGGATCGTCAGCTTATTTGCCATTCTAAATTGCATAACAAAAAATCTGATTTTTCCTATAAAAAAATACCAGTGTCATCAACCTTTTAGTTTAAATTACAGTGTTATGACTGAATTGATTCGTAAAACGCTGAACTTAAAGTCCATTATATTTTCTGTACACAGGAGGAGTTCGAGGAGATGATGCAGACGGCCCTGAACCCTGTCACCGACACGATCACCTACGAGTATTACATCAATCAACTCATGGTAGGTTACGTTTTTAGGAAATCACAAGTTCTTTGCCCGCTACTTCGTGCACATGGATTATAGAAGTATGAAAACCAATAAATCACTTCTAGATGACATATCAAGACAAATACGCCATATTTTCAGTAAGACCTTTAGTAATTGCAACTGTGAAAATCGCATCCAATATGGTGCAGTTTTTACGTAATGCCGAAACGAACATATAGACAGACAGAGACACGAAATAGCTAAAAATTATTGTATGCCCCTTCATATAAATTTTTCTAAAATACCTCACATGTGCTAACATTGTTTAGTTACAATTTTCAACCAACTTTAAAAAGGTTCTCAATTCGATTGTATTTTTTTTTTATATATTTATTTTGTTACTTCATAACTCCGTTAGTTGTAAATCGATTTGGAAAATTCTTTTTTATCTGAAAGGATATGCTTCTAAATAGATCCCATAGATGGAATGGTAATCTCGCCTGCGCTATCAGTATACGCTGACGGGGCACCAGTGAAGGGTGACAGGTAAAGATAATGGCAGGTCAGTTAGCCCATAGTGACCACTTGAACAAGAATTAACCACTATGGTTTCCAGCGAGAACCGCGTAGAGGCCGACCTGATAGGATGTATTGCTAGCAATGAGGTTAATTCATACACTTCTACTAATAACAATAGTAGTGAATTCTCAAATGTTCTTAATTCCAATCAACTAAACATTCTCAAAGGCCTAACTGTGGTTGCCAATCCGCCTGCCAAGCGTGGCAACTACTGGCAAATCTCCCCAAGAGAGAGGACAGTTAAAGGCTGATATGACGATGATGATTATGATAATAATAACAGAAGTAACAATTTCTTATAAAATGTGCACTTTATTAAGTGAAATTTCATAAATATCACTACTATATTCTGCTATATCTACCCATAATCCATATGAACAGAAAAAAGTTATATTTAAAACAAAAAAAGAAAATACAGTGATTTATTCAAAATTTAACATATATGAATACATATATATTTACAAATATGAAACGATGAAATATAATAAAAAAAAATCTGCAACTCTATATTAATAATACATACATACTTGTAAGCAATAATAATTGTTTAATAAAGTACATTGAAAATAGGTAGTTTTTGTATAAAGAATTTTAAAGTGAATGAAAATATTTGTCGTATGGTTTTAGATGAAGTGACGATTGCTCATTTTCTTATAATTAGGTTTAGTTATCCTGAGTGAGTCGTCTGGCTTGTCTGGTTCTTATAGTAGATTGCGTCACATTAGCTAGCCGAGACGAGCTTCTTGTAGATATAGCTGGACTATTATCCTTCGATTCACTCATTAAAGAATTTAATTTGTCTTTATTTGTTGTTTCTATTTCAATATTATCATTTACATTTGTACTTTGAGTTCCCTCATTAATGTCTTTATTTTCATCTTCTGCATTATTTTCTCCTCCTACATCATTTTCTCTCTCTACATTGTTTTTAACTTCTGCTTCATTATTGCTTTCTACATTATTTTCTTCTTTTGTATCATTTTCTACTTTTACATTATTTTTATCTTCTGCATCATTCTCACCTTCTACATTATTTTTAACTTCTGCATCATTCTTACCTTCTACATTATTTTCTTGATCTGCATTATTTGCATCTCCTGCATCATTTGCGCCTTCTATGTAATTTTCGTTTTCTACTTTATTTTTACTTTCTAATTCATTGTTTGCATTTTTAACCGCTCCTGTGTTTTCATCTGGGTTTTGACTTTGATCACCTTGTGACGCATCATTTTTCTCACTTACACACACATTAATTTCATTAGATTGGCCATCACCAAGTTGCTCTGGAATATCTTGCGCTGAATTTTCTTTAGATTCATCAGCACTCTCTTTCTTCTCACCTTGACTAATTTCATTAGCTTCTTCGTCTCGTCTTATTGAAGTTAGCAGATTGTTTATTTGATCGTCTATAGATTGAAAAGAGCTATCGCCAATATTTTCAGTTTGTGAGTTACTAATTTGGTTGGTGTTAGGTGCATCTAAAGCCTCTTTTGTAACCCATTTACTAATTTTTATAATGAGTTTATTATTACCTATAAATGAATTTTTATTAATATAATAGTATGTTAATATATGAATTATTTTTTATACTAATTACATAATTTATTATAAAATTACAATCTTGGTGATTTACAAATCGTTAATAATAACTTTCAGAAACTAACATAGTAAATGAGTAAATATCACATATATTATTAACTTACCAATAACAGTATTACTGGCTTTTACAATTTTGTCGAAGTTGTCTTTATTGTCGAAACCGACAAACAGCAGATTTCGCAAGTGTTTAACTTTTTTTATTGACTTGGGATCATATTCGTCCAAAAATATTTGCATTGCGTTACGCTTAGGCAAAGCAGGGCGACCCACAATCTGAAAAAAAAAAAAACGGGGAATTACTTTAAACATTTTTTTTTGTTAAAGGTTAAAGGAAAAAAAAAGATGAAAAACATTCCTGAGCTACAATAACAACTTATTAGAGCATTTGAACTCTAATAAGTAATGTATGAATAAAAAAAAAAATTGTTTTAGTTTGAAAGGTGGAATATAGCAATGAAATTACAGAGTATGGAAACATATGACCATAGTGATTAGGAATGGCGACACATAAGATGTATCACAGTACATTAAGCTACTCATGGCTTGTCATCCTATGATAACTATTTTTTTAAATTTTAATTTAAGAGAATTTTTATCTGTATGGAGAGCCTATCTTGAAAATATACCAATGGAATGAAAGAATTAATTAGAGGTACAAATATGAGTGGTATTTAAAGTTTTACATTTAAAATGCTCCTCACCTTAACATAATATGGCAGACGTGCTTGTGGATGTGTTTCAGTTGTTCTTTTATCTGTTTGTGTGGTATAATTTTCATTTTCCTCTGTCTCTTTGTTGTTACCTTCATCATCAGATTCTGTCTTCGCATATTTTTTTATTAGTTCACCAGTTTTCCCTATTATATCAGCTTTTAACTCTTCATAAGATCGATCTAATTCCATAATGTGTATTATGTTCTGTAAATAAATAGAAGATGGAGAAAAAAGATAATTCCAATTTCACTATCAATTTTAATCTTAGAATCCTTGAGCACTAGAAATGATAAACTATCGAAATCAATTGGTAAAATTATAGTAAATCAATGTATAACTTTTATTTTGTTTATTTAATATTATTTCTTTTTTACTTATATGCTTTACTAGATAGGAGAGCACATGTTTACCTTGTATTAGCTTTATTTTATATGTACAATAACAATATGATTACTTACTCTTTTGTATCTATATAATGCTTGTGGCAGTTTACGAGTCAACAATGTCATCATAAGTTTTTCCAAATAATAAGGTTTAGTGCATTCATTTGTTGTTTGGTCGCTATCAATATTATCCAAGCTAATGTCTTTATCAATATTGTTGAAATCATTATGTTCCTTATCTGTGACATTTTGTTTCGGTATCTCACCACTATTATCTTTCAGCGCTGCATCTATTAAAGGCTGTATATCCTTTCCATTTTCTTCAGCATAAAGAGTTCTCAGCTGTAAGAAATGTAGTTTATGTTTTCAGATCAAATGTAACTAAGTCTTAGGACAATTTTATTAACTACATAGGATTAAGAGTCCTCACAACAACTACTTCCATTACTCAGCATGAAATATAGAAATTTGAATGGTCGAATTACAAAAATTAGCTTAAAACACTACAGATAATAATTTAATTATAACATATTTGAATCACCTTTGAAAACATTTCACTCAATTTCAGATCCATAAGTTTAGCCATATGCTGCTTGAAATACTTTTGAGGATCCAGTATATCTGAAAACAAAATATAATAAACATATTTTATTAGTATTTAAAAAGTATCGTATTAAATAATAATAACTACTTGTCAAAATATTAATAGTTAATAATAAAGGGTGTTATAACGATATTTGTACTATTAAAAAAGAATATCCGGGGATAACATAAATATAAGGGCCAGCATTCCCCCTCATAACTTCCGTTCCTATATCTCAATACAAACTCATCTGTTTTTATTGACATCAAAACATGCGCTCTGGGTATAGTGTAAAGTATTATTTCAATCTTTTAATATAATCAGTAATCACTATTCTCGAAAATTTGTATTTCAATTTCAATACATACATGATACCAACATAAGTATGATAAAAGTAAATTGTTTAAAATATGTACAAAAGTAAAATCTCATACAAATCACACTACACAATACACACTCCACATGCTGGCATGATCAACCTGATCATTTAAAATTGTTGTTAGTTTATATACTACCACAATCTTTTAAAATGCATCAGGTTTTTATATAAACTATATGGTTGAAACAACCAATGTCTACACACAGTCCCATATTTCGTTCCTATGTATATATTTTAACATGTAAAAACGAAAGAGATGTGATACGATGGTGCCAGAAATGTGGCTTGTGTACAAATATGTAAGTATATGTTACTTTTATCTTCACACACTCGGATTTTAAACTTTGGTGGAGAATGTATAGAATTGCTTACTTTGATCATAAGCTAAATTTTCAACACCAAAATTTTATGTGAAATGTATTAGATTAGGTGCCAAATAACTGGCACTAATAATACAATATACAATCTCTTTCAACAACATTTGAAGGAGATTTGAAATATAAGTATGCAACAATATCACTACCTTCATTGAAAGTCAGTTTTCCTTTTTCTTCCTTCGAAACAGCTTTGGCTGCGGCCACAATTTCTACATCGGTGTGTTCAGGATATACATTTCGGTAATGGTCGAGAATTGTAGACACAACACCAACAGGCTTACCAATCATAACCTTTCGAATACGTTGGCGGATTATGTTCTTCATACAACGCATCTTTTCGATGGTGTAAAGACTTTCATCGCTATATTTGAGTTTAATAGCCTTCATAATGTTTCCCAGGGCTAACTCCAAACGACCCGCCATTTGTTGTGTGGGTATTTTGTCAGCTCTTAAAATTGGAAATTTTTCTTCTGCTTTCAAGGCTTGTGATGCAATAACAGTACCATGTTTAAAACCGGGAGTAACTTTGTTTGCATCGCCTGGTTTATGTTTGGTGACTTTGGTTGGCTGGAAATTTTTTTGTTTGGGTTTGATCGATTGGTTGTCCACAATTCTTTGACCTATGAAAGGCTTACTATTAAAACTCATTAATGGTGCAGCCTTGTGTTTGTAATTTGACTGATTAGAAGTCGAAGTTTTGCCACGATAACTTTCTTGATCTTGCTTTCTTAAAGAGTTTTGACCTAAAGGTATAAAGTCAAATCTCTCTCGTGCTTCATAATCGTCATCGAACCGCCTTGCATTATTTTTGCGCAGTTGAGAGCGAGAGGCACGTTTGGGCGGCGCCGCGTGCCAATCGCTTTCGACCGATGGCCGCTTCCTGACAGGCTGTTTCCCATAGTTAGGGCGAGAAGTATTGGAATCTTCATACAAATAAGAGAAGTTATGATTGTTGGACTGAAATGTAACAGACACTTGTTAATCACAGAAAATTTTCACTGGTTAATCGTAAAAAAATTTAGAGGCGTCATTATTTTGTAGTGGAAGTAATGAATAATGATTATATGATTATAACCATAACATAAAGAGTAGCAGTAAACGCAAATAAAAGACAAACTAAAATAAAATATTTTAATTTTTGGAATTGATATTCATTGACCATTAATGCCATGTTATAATCTTATCTTGTAATTTTAAGTGAAACACTGGACAGTTTATGATTTTGTAATATAATATGGCAAAATGTGGATACATCGAATATTATGCTTTATGGAAAATATGATAATAGTCAACAAATGCCTCTGACAAACCCAATAGCATCATCATTACAACCTACCCACTGTCCACTACTGAATATAAGTTTCCTTCATATTACGCTACGAGGTACAATCTTGCGCCATTGACATTCAGTGACTTCCTCTTTTTTTTGTACTAAATCTTTAACCAATTTTTATTACTAAATCAGACTAAATATATAAAAAAAAAATAAACTAAAAATCTCCAGAGCTGGCATGAATGCATGAAATGAGTTATGAAGGTATATATAGCAGATGTCTTTATAGACAGAGTAAATACACTAACAGCATTCAGGATGAGATCAAACCAAGATCTACTCAACAAATTTTATCATCTTATAAGAGTTAAACAGTCACCAAATTGTACATATTGTAATAAAATAGAAGACCTTTTACATTTGCTGGTGGAATGTGGTTGGAATTGCAACCTGACACAGCAAATTCTGGGGGATATGCTTTTATATAATAGTAATATTATAATAAAAGCCTATATGTGTAGGTAAAGGTGTCCATGATGAATCAACGAGCCTAACATTCAGGGCGAAACAATATACTCTGTTATGTCCATGGTACTGCTCATGTCTATAGACGACGGTTACCATTTTCCATCAGGTGGGCCATCAGTTTGTTTGCCATTCTAAGTTGTATAAAAAAAAATAGTTACCCAAGTATACTTAAGCTTCAACAAAAATTTAAAAATGAATAACGTTTTAATTTTAGGTTTTAATATATCAACTAAAACCAGATTACATATATATTATATCCATTATGGACGAAAATAATTGAAGATAGACTATCATTTATTCCCACACAGAGATTGAATCTAGGATTTTATAGTTACATAAATACTAACTTTGGAAATACATTTGTATTTATATATCTCTCTCTCTTTCTCTTTATTATCTACTCTTTCTTATCTCTAAATAAATTAGAATGAAATAATAGACATAGCTTTCCGCACAACGGCCCAAATGAGAGGCTAAGTGCGGAAAACAGAGTCTTTCTTACATTAGACATAGCTTTTTTATGAATGGTAGTGAAATTATAACCCCACTTATGTTATCAGTATATGTTGGCAAGGCATCAGTGAGAGATGAGGATGAAAGCAAGTCAGTTAGCCCATCACGACAAATTCCACAAGAATTAACCAAGATAAGGTATATCACTAGCTATTAGAGCCCCACTTCTAACGATTCGTTTTCCCCCGACAGACATAAGTAGATTAATTGTATGTGTGTGTGTGTGTGTGATACCAACATAGTATTGAACCAAAGTTACAGTCTCCATTAATACTAAATCTCTGAACAGCTTAAGCAATTCTGATGAAATTTTATAAATAAGTACTAAAGTACTATTGAGAAATAAAATAGTTTTCATACTGACAAGAAAAAATGGAACCAATTGGGAGCAAATCAATGCTTACTATGTTAGCTAGTAATATTACAATAATAGTACTTACAAGACTATGATATTGTTCATTTTGGACTTTCTGCTCCAGCAACTCTCGTTTGCGCCTCAGCAGTTGCAACTCCAAATCTAAATCCTGGACATAACATTTAATATTATTTCAATAGTTCTACATGAATTTGTATATAATGAATATCATATAATTTCCATTATAATAAGTTTTTATTTTAAGAAATAGGTTTTATGTTGTAAGCAAACACATTAGTAAAATCACTATAGACTATTTCACTGATTTCTGGAAACCATTTTAGATTAGTTAGTGATTTATCCCCCAAAATGTGGTTATATTGCTCCAAAATATGATATATCAACTCACTTTTTTTGATCTTATGGGTAATCATTTCAAAATATATAGATGTAAATAAATGCATTAAAAATTTATGAATGAGTGTAAGGAAAGCTAAAAGTAGAACCAAAATGAAAGACTTTTTGTGTCACTATTGCAAAACAGCACAACATTCACCACAGCGATACAAGATACCCCATGTGCCACTGTACAATTTTGAGTTAACTCAATTAGTTGGCATAGTTTGATGTGCCTGAATTATTGAGTTGCCACGAGAAAAATTATTGAGTTACCCATGTTTATTTCAACTAAATATAAATTAAAACGACAGGCCATGTGATGGAAAGTGATGAGCCATCTATAAACATAAATAGCATAGAATACACTGAGTCATCAATGTTAGCTAGCTCTTATGCGTTGCTATTCCTATCGACTATTATGCCTGTCTACCGTGTAATTTTATTTCATATCCCACCTTTTAAATGTAATTACTAAACCCACATGTATAGTATTTCATATACTCGATTTGTTAATCTATATAAGTAGATAATGTGATAGGTATAATTAAGAACACGATTACTTCCATGGAAATGGCGAATGTAAGTGTGTTTCTTGTATCTAGTCTAAATAGTCTATTGTTAGCATTTATCTATTTCTAAAACAAAGAATTGATAAAGATATAAAAATATAAGCCGGAAAAAAACACGCACTTTTAACTCCGATTCTTCTGTAATGCGACTTCGGTTAGAGCCAGGGCCTTGTCGAAATCCTCTTGAATTACGTCGCATTTTTATAAATAAGCACGTCGAAATATGTATCTAATTACACAAAATGGATGGATTACAATTTTATATAAACCAAGGAAATAAATCAATTCTAATTTTTTTTCTCAACCACAAAGCTACTAGAGAATAAATAAAAAATATGTCAGTAGTGCCACAGAGTCAGTAGTGTCACATAGATGTTAAAGTTATGGCCATAGACAAAGAAATGTATGTAAACTAAAATTTAAATTTCTTTTATTTATTTTTAGATCTTCAGAAACAATGAAGTTGATTCTAGGGTGCCTTTTCTCTAAACCTGTTGATATTTTAAAATAGATTTAGAGAAGTGGCATCTCCAAATCAACGTCAGTACCCACAGATTTCGATCATCATTATGTGTCCACTGCTGAACACAATCCTCCTTCTTAGGGGGGTTTTGTCTATAATTGCTACACTTGGTAGGCGAATTAGCAACCGCAGTTAGGATTTGATGATGTTTTAAGAGGAATGCTGCTGCTCATCCCTCAACCATTAAATTCTTCTTACGACATCCACGGGAAAAGAAGGGGTGGTTCATTTTTGCCGAGACTATACGGTATGGGTTTCAATATTTCCCGATTTTTTCCTATCACTGAAAAGTAGGTAACCTTCGTTCTATGAGTGATTAATGTATGAAAATACCAGTAGCGGTCTCAGTTAATATCTAACAGGAAGCCGTGATCCTTTTCACTGTGAAAAATCCACAAATATAAAATGTAGCAACCGAATAAGAATTTTTGTTCCGGGCGGTGTAGTTTTTTTTAATGGGTGAAAATAGAATGATGATTCCACTCGCCCTATCGGTATACGCTGATGGGGCATCAGTGAAATGAGAAATGATAGGTAAGGATAAAAGTAGGCCAGTTCGCCTATTATATTTTTGGATAGGCAAAAATGAAATGGTAATTTCACCTGCATTATCGGTGTACGCCAGCAAAGGACCAGTGAAGAGCGATAGGTGAGGATGAAAACAGGTTTGGTAGCGTATAGTGATGAACTATTAGGAATTAAATATTATGGTTTCCAGTGGGTATATTGGTAATATATAATATATGTTAGGAATTAGTGTTCCGTACCAAATAGGTACAAGGAAATCTATGTTTTATAGATACTTACTTTTAAATTTTTATTTTACTGCTTTGGTCTTCTGTACTTCCTCACAGTCCATAGTATTGCTTTAAAAAATCGACCCCAATTTATTAAAAATTGTTTTTTAATTTAACTCTCCGAAAATCGAACTTTTCAACTCAAGCAAGTAATGGATACCTGCATTAAGTATTTAAAACAAGACTGCTTCACGTAGATCATCTAGCAATTTAACAATGACTTATCTCTTATTAATTTGTCATCCCAATAGTTCGTTCTACTCATTCCACTATTTTAGAGTTCATTTAAAATCTATTATTCTAATATATCAAAATAATTTTCTTGCCAACTGATACTATCCTTCCATTGTGTAATAATACGAGTTTGAATCCCATTGGATAGAGCTTTTAGAATACAATTTTGCAACCCTCCCATCGGCGGGGGGGGGGGGAGAGATTGTTAGCAATGGAGTTAGACAGCCCCATTGCTAACAATATGTCCTATTAGGTCGACCTCCACGTGGTTTCCCCTGGAAAACATCGTGAACAATTCTTGTTCAATTCGTCACGATGGGCTAACTGACCTGTTTCATTCTCACGTATCATCCTTCACTGGTGCCCCGCCGGTGTATACCGATAGTGCGGGTGGTGTTATCATTCCATTATCACCCATTAAAAAAAACTCTCCAATCGACCCAATACACCTATCCCTGCTGACTTTCCACAATTCCTAAGTCCAGTCCTTACCCTAACAGGTGGCTCCTAAAGAAGTGTACAATCTTGCGGATTCTATGGAAGAAGAGCGAAGGAGAACTGAAGCGGCGGCACCGAAAAAACGTCGCGCCTCCTCATTGCTGAGGGCTGCTCAATATTGATATATTTCATCTTAGTTTAGTAGCTACTATATACATACTCAACTAGCTGTATTTTTTTTAAATATGGCTCCATCGGGGCTTCGATGATTTTGCTAATATTAAGGTTGGAAGAGATATTGCAATTTTATCAGTGATGCATTATGATTCCCTTGATCGTATTCATTGAGTACCAGCTACCTACACCAGGGATTTTTCTTCCGCTTTCTAAGATTTGATTACAGATATAATTAAACCAGTAGCCAAGCACTGGGGGGAAAGGGTAACAATCCCTATCATGGTTAATTCCTGATGAGTTCATCATGATGGGCTAACTGGTCTGTTTTCATTCTCATCTATCACCCTTCACTGGTGCTCCGCCAGCGTATCCCGTTAGCGCAGGCGGGGTTACCATACCACTTTCACCCATCAAATGTAGCCAAGCACTACCACATACCCCGTTATTTATACTATAATATTCTAACATTTGAAACTATTTTTGTAAAATGAATGAAATGAAATTTGAATTGTTGCGATTGTTGATCATTTTTATGGATTTCTCTTTATTATATTATACTGATGGTTTATTTTCTATTTTTTTTGATAGGTAGAAGAGGAAATCACTAACACTGTGGAGCCACCGAAGTAACTGAATTGCCAGTAATCTTAATCATCCCTTCAAATATCATACTCAACATATAAAAATACTCACTGATATTTGTAAAACAAAATGTTTGTAGAATAAAAGCACTGAGACATTTAATATTTTTATTTTCTTTTTTTACCTATTTACACAGATTATGATACATAGATATACATACAATAATATTTCAGTGATTAAATCTAATTAATATAATATCGTAAAAATAGGGCAAGCCTAAATGAATGTTAAAAGAATTAAAGCAAATTAACTGGCACTAGCCTTCCTAAGTTAACAAATATGCTTTTTTGCCTTAATCTTCTTCTGAACCACAACACTCGTCTAAAATAATACCTTCCGACATCAATGCAAGAATATCCTTGTCATCTAATTCTTCATAATCATCATCACTGTTATAGTTGGATTTGTTCTCAATATAATTTTTATTCATAACATTAGATGTATTTTTAGGTGATATTTGTAATTCTGTTTTACGAACGGTTTGTTTTGTTTTTGCAATAGGTGTGCTTTGGTTAGATTTTATTTGTGGTGTAGCTTTTGTTTTAATATTTTGATTGTTATCTTGAGGTTTTTTTGTAATTGGAGTTTCAACATCCTTGGTTGGTGTAACTTTTGCAATACTTTGAGCGTCTATTTCAGCTGATTCTACGTTAATTAACGTTCCACATTTATTTTCTGTGGGCACAGTCTTTGCTGCTTCATTTATATCTTTTCCCGGTTTCACTGGAGTCGATTCATTAGACGAATTTAACACTTCTTGGTTTTTGGTTGGTTTGGCTGTATTTTCAATTGCAGTTGACACTTTCTCTGTTTCAGCTAGAATATTTTGTTTCTGATTATGGCTTTCATCTTCTGTGATTACTTTTTTCGTATCTTGACTAGTATCAGTAACTTTAGTTTTGTCTTTAGTATTTACTTTTTGCGTTAACTCTTTTTTAATAGCAGCTTCGTTTGAACTAGCTTCAATTTTATTAACATCTATATCCATTTTTAAATTTTCTGGGCACTGATTGAAATTAGAATGTGGAGTCACAGTTAATTTGGAAGAACCTGAAAAATACATGTAAATTTACTTCAAAGTATCGAATTTGTTGACATTACGGTACATTACTATTTATATGTACTGAATATTCGTAAAAAATAGAATAATATATGCAATAGTATTAACAAACAGTAAATCAGTTTTCACATTTTCCTGTCAAAATTGCTTTTTTTAATCGAAATAATTTCTTTTCTGAATTTAATCAGACCATACACCAACCCAGCATGAAACGAGTAAATGTTAACGCTAATATTACTCACCGCAGCGCAAATCAGTGGCAGCGCATATTGCGTCGAAGTCCTCTTTGGTTTTTACTCGTCCCTCGTACGTTTTCGGAGGCATGCTGGCGCGTTTGAATGAGACGAAGTTATATTTCTTGAGGAAATTGCCCAATGAATCTCGTTGTGGTGGTTCGGAAAACCGTATCTGCAACAAAATAATAAAATTACAGTACATAACATGCAGCGGAATAACAGTGCACAAAATAAATAGCTAAAATAAAAGTCCCATATTAGTCAATTAACTTTCGCCCACAACTTTGTATACGTGAATTTTGGAAGAAACTAAAGACTGTTTTATAATGTAAAAAAAAAAAATCAATGATCAACCGTTTATATAGCGTATGAAAATTAAACAAATAATAATTTCGACAGGAACACGACTGTGAAAACTGCTTCAATAATATACAAAAAGACAGGCGAAAGTTCTAAAATGCTGTTTTAGCTTCTATTGCTCTTATTAGGTCGCCTCATATTAATTTTTCTAAAATATCTCCTATGTAGATACAGACATCGTACAGTTATAGTTATAGATAGATAGATAGATACTCTTTATTGTTTCCTCCAAAAGATTACAATAGTAAACTCATTATAAATATAAATAATTACAAGAAATAATCACAATGAGAAAACAATGGGCGACCTTATCGCTAAGAGCGATCTTTTCCAAGCAACTTTTGGATGGAGAGGAGTAAACAATTTGGTGGAACGCGCGATGAAAAATTATGTATAATATATAATTTATATTTAATGTATAATAGATTGGTTAATTTTATTCGAGTAAGAAAATAAATTATAGTGACATGATGCAAATATATACATGGTAAGATTACCTTAATCAATAAATTCTCCGATTCTTCTTTTACAGAGATTTTCGTTGGCGTAGCTAACTGCGGAGTATCCTTTGGCTTCGGTTGCGGTGGTTGCGGGGGCTCTTTGACCGTTTGTTCTGAATCAAAATTGATATATAGTTACAGCATATTACATATAATTATGAATATGTCGCGTACAGTATGAAGCGAAAGATGGCAACACCGGATGTACCCCAGGATTGATCCATTTACTTTAAAAAACAAAACTTTTGCTGTAATGTGAACGGACGAACTTCTGTACTGGTCATTAATATAAATACCAGAATTAAAAATATATTTGACATATATATAATATTACGGATGAAGTTGACATTGTTTATTGTAAAATATATTGGATGGTCGTAATATTCAATTTAATGTAACGCTTGTTGTATGATTATCCCCTATTACAGACAGAATGTACATTGTTTTTTTAAATAAATGACTAATGACTACTTTCAAAACCTGAAGTGGATCAACGCAACGACTCTTTAATCTAAAATTATATTTTTAAACATTTCGGAAATTAAATCGAAAATTCAAGCTTGTTTATATCAAATTGACCTTCTGACGATCTGTTGAAGATTTTAGCACGTACCAGGGTATATACTTTTTTTTTTATTCGGGTAATAAAGAGCAATCACAAAAATACTACGTAACAAGTAGTTAATGACCAATAAAGTTTCCACAAACAACTATTATGCATAAAGAAGACGAGATCTCAAGTTCGATATAGAACAGTAAAAAAAGTAGTAAAGTATACTGTTTTACCCATGATACCCCCCATGCGTTGCCATTCCTGAGGACTGTTGTTGTTGTTATTCCTCTGTACCCAGTAAATTCAGGCCATATCCCACCCTTCAAACCGAAACACAGCCATTCAATCACAACTGCTTCACGGTTGAAACACGAATAGGACAGAGGTACCCAAGCAATCGACTTTTGTACAAAGCCTCCCTCTGGTAAAAGATTGCTTATATACAGTGTTCACTGTATTTATATACTGTCACATTGAAGTCCACTTACTATGTCTGATCAGCTTTTGGAACATTCATCACTATCATCATCATATCTGACTACTATTGAATATAGAACTCATAGACTGTCATAAGGAACGGGGCTATTCCTTATTGAGGGGATTTTGCTAATAGTTACCATGCTTGGCATATGGATTGGCAGCCGCAGTTTAGCTTCTGGTAATGTTTTAAGAGGGACGCTGTTGCCTATCCCTTGATCATTAAGTTCCCTTAGTCGCCTCTTACGACACTCAAGGTAAATGGATGGCCTAATCTATGCCGGAATTATATGGCAACTAAGAATAATAGTAAAGATGAATTTACCAGAGGGTTTAGTTTGCGGCTTGGCTGGAGCTGGATCCTTTTTTATAAACTTTTCCTTTGGTGGAACTGCTGGTCGTGCTCTTGAACTCGCGGGCACTACTCGTTGAAGCTTTGGTTCTGCACAGAACAAAATACATTTTTAACGAAAAATGAAATTGACTGAGTACTTAAGATTAAGAGCTAAGTTTTTATTTTTAACAAATAAATTAGCTACCAATGGAAAATGAAACAATGTGTTTTTCTGTTTTTTAAAAGGTGTAATATAGCAGTTAAATTATAGGGTACAGATGCATAACACCACTGCCCTGGTGGAAGGGATTATTAGTAGTGGAGACTACCAGTCTCGTTGCTAGCAATATACCCTGTCAGGTCGACCTCCCCGTGGTCCCCCCAGGAAACCATCGTGCTGAATGCTAGGTGTATCCATTACAATGCTTACTAACTGACCTGCCTTTTCATTCTCACCTACCATCAATCACTGGTGCTCCGCCAGTGTATACCGTTAGCGCAGGCGTGGTTACCATTCCATTATTATCCACTAAAAAAAACACCATTGCCTTTAAGATGGCAACGCATGAGGAGTACCTTGGACATCACAGTGCATTCTATGTTGTCCATGGTGCTGTTCATGTTGGTTACCACTTTCCATCAAGTGGGCCGTCAAATTGTTTTGCCATTCTAAGTATCATAAAAGTCTTATTGCTGACAATAATCTTTTCAAGGTAACCTTTGGTTCACATTTTATTTTATACACATTAAGTTTGATTCTTCAACTGCCCGGAATAAAATTTAAATTCGGACGTCGTATACAAAAAGTGGTATGATATCACTACTTGCCTCGAGGTCTAACTTGCTGTTTTATTGGAGCTGGCTTGAGTTTCACAATTTTTTCTTTCCCTACCAGCGGATGCTTTTGTCTTCCTCTTGGTGGTACAGGACGTGACGCCTTTGGTTCTGTTAGGTTTAAATGAATTAAAAAAATAAAATAATAAATAACATCAGATGGGATCAGATATTTTTATTATAGTTCGACATATTACCACATCTAAGGCAACACGGGGACCTTACGGTACATGAATGCAAATAAACAAAAAAGGGAACTGGTTTCTATATATATTAACTCATTCATATCAGCCTTTGATTGTCCACTGAAGAACATAGGCCTCCTCCTTAAGAAATCCCCTCTTATGCGTTTTGCCAGTAGTTGCCACGCTTAGCAGGCGGGATAGCAATCGCAGTTATATATATGTATATACATATATACATTTATAGAGATCGTTAAAAATTATGAGTCATCAGTTCCAACCGTTATTCAGTCTATGCACATGTTGCAAATAACAGAAAAGTGTATTTTTCTCATAGAGTTGATTGAAATTGGTGTATATACATTATATTATATATATATGATTGTATAACAAATTTATATTTTTTAATCAATTATTACAACAATAATAATACTAAAAGCAAGTTCAAACATTCCTTACCTGGAGCTTTGGCGAACTTCTTCGCTGGCACTGCATTAGGCCTCACGAATCTGTCCATTTCAACCGGATTCTGGTATCTTGGCTTCGAAATTACAGGGGCTTGCCTTGCGCCTGTAAGGTAATGAACAATTCTTTATATTACAATAAAAAAAAATAAAAAAAACTATCAAAATACATATTATTATTATAAGATAATCATAATAATAATTGGTATTATAGAAAGTTAAGAATGCTTGAATACATCAAGCATTCGACCAGAGCACCAGAGGGAGACTGCACAAAAGTCGTTTGCTTGAGCATCTCTGTCCCAAACATGTTTTTATCGTGAAGCAGTTATGTTTGCATGGCTGTGTTTCGGTTTGAAGGGTGGGGATATGGCAGTGAATTTACAGGGTACAGAGGAATAACACCCAAGTCCTCAGGAATCACAACGCATGGGGGGTATTATGGGCCAAATAGCAAATAGGTACTGCTCACGTCTATGGACGATGTTTACCACTCTCCATTAGGTGGGCCGTCAGCTTGTTTGCCATTTTAAGTTGCATAAAAAAAAGCCGTAATTTGTAACAACATTCTATTGCAATACAGTAAAAATATTCTCTTGTAACTTATTCAGTTTCTTAACCATAGTACAAGTTCTGCTTAGTATGTTTCTAAATCGTGCTGTCTGATACATATTAGACTATTATTACTTGATATACATTTTTTTTACAATGTATAAACGGGAAAAGAAACTCCATGCAATTATTTCAAAATGATTGGAAGCTTCGTAGTTCTACGCTTCGAATTGATTAGTAATAGTTTTCTAAGTACCCATATTAATGTAATTATGAAATAATGTCTAAGTATAATGTGTAAAACTTATGAGAATTAAAAAGACTTATTCCACTACGTATTGCCCACATTAGGCTTGGGAGTACATGGTGATTTAGCTCTAAATCCCATGGGAAAATGGCGGGTTCGTAACCATTCTGTAATAGGACATGTAAAAGAAGCTTCCATATTTTTCGTATCTGCAAGAAATCTAGTCAGCGTTCAATGAACCTTAAACAAATGCATAAAATGACGTTTTAAGCAAAACACCACAGATATACAATCGCGACGTACAACCTGGAAACATTGAAGTGCTGTGTTTGCTAATTCTTCCTCGAAATCAATTTGATCTGGTATAACATAAGTTTTTTACTAATAAAAATGGAACGGTAACCACGCTCTACTAGATTCCACTAGTGGGATACCAATGAAGGATAACACGCGAGGATGTAATCAAGGCATTTGGCCCATAGTGAAGAATTCGCCAAAAATAAACCATGATGTTTTCCACTTCCACAGTGGTCCCTATATGGTTATCAATTTTAAGGTTATATTGCTAGCGATGGTAATATTAAACCCCATTACAAACGATTCCGATCACCTTCCTGCTTCATCATTGGACCTGATCGGTCAGTGTCTGTAAATACGCATGGAGATCAATGAGACTTACATACATCTACTGTGAGTTGTTGAACAATTAGGTTACTTTGATTACAGAATCCTTTTGTTGTAATGTTAACGGATGTATGACTTGGTCATTTAAAGATCGGCTGACTGTTGTAAATCAATGAAGTGACCACAGCAACTAGTAAAGTGATGATCCTTAAACGGCTGATCAGCTTTGCAGCAAATCATGATTAGCTAGGCACCAGAATAAACTAGATCAATGAAGTCTGTGACTAAAAACTTAATTCCTTAGTTAGTTTGAGGTTGAAAACCTAAACGACTAGAGAATGACGTCTTTTAGTCACTGGTAATGCTACCTAGGAATCAATAGGCAGGGAAGAAGATAGACAAATAACTATTTTAAATTTATAATCTCTATTGTTTGAGACTGAAGTTAAAGCCACTAAAATCATTTAGCAAAGCTAGCGAATTGCAAAAGAAATCTGTAAATAATAATAATGCATGCATGATTATTATTTAGATTTTTTTACCACATCGATATATGTATAAATGTAGTCATAATAAATATGTATACTGCAAAAGTATACTGCTTTTAGATACAAAGCAAAGCAGTAAAAAGAGTCATCTACAATACTAAAGGTCAAATAACCTTTTAAAAAGACTAGGGCAGTGGTCAGCCAATTAGTTTTATTCATTCATCATTCATACCAGCCGTTAACTGTCCGCTGCTGAACATAAGTCCCCTCCATATGGGTTTTGCCAATAGCTGCCAAGCTTGGCAGGCGGATTGGTAATCGCAGTTAGGCTTTTGTTGATATCTAAGAGGGACACTGCTGCCAATTCCTCGATCTTTAAATTGATTTAGACACCTCTTACGACACACTTAGAGATGACCTAATGTATGCCGGGATCACACAGCATATACCACTTAACAATTCCTATCTAGCACGAGTTGCAAAATTTAGTCGAAATTAAAAACGTAAAACACTCATATACAGAATAGAGATACAGCAGAAACGTAGACTTTCTTCAAAGATGATTACGAATACGATGAACCTTTACTTTTTACAATAGCGCTTTCGATGTGATGCAGTCTGTACGCAGGATAGGATACTTCTTTTGCCGGATTTGTGTAAATACTGACATTTCATACATTACATCATGGAATATCAATAGATATGTTGAAATTACAATGCAGAGCCGCGAACATTGATGTGGTATCTTGTCTCGATAACTTAATATAATCATTATAATTAAAAATGTCTTCAATATTTTTATTGATGTTACAGACATGTCCCTCAATGTTACTTATCTATACTTACATATACATTAATAACTATGCATTGTATGTACCTTGAAATATTGCGTCTCGTTCTGCCCTTTGTATTAGAATAATCTGCGAAATTTAAAATTTATAACTCACAATCAAGTAGCGCAACGCCACTGCATAGAATAGCTTGCGGCCGGCATCCTAAAATAAATATATATTTATACAAACCAAACGTGACTAGTATATGTTAGTATGATGTAGTCTTTGGTCTTCTTTTTTATATTTTAAAACTCCAAAGGTGAATCCTCAGGTACTGCTGTGGAGTTGAGGATGTGATACATACCAAAGTTGAAAGTAACTTGGAACACTGATCCCGCCAAATCCGCATTCGTTTGAGATCTAAAAATGAACTATAATTAAAAACCAAATTAATAATAAACTAACCTTCTAGACATTTTTTTATGTCATTCTTCTTTTAGTTTTCTGAGACGACCCGCTTTGGAAATTTCCGGTGCCAGTTTACAGAACAAGTTTGGAAATAAAGATCGATTTTCTCAGTAGTTGCTGATCTAACATCAGCTTGCTTTACTGCATGGTGCTGGAAGGACTGTACACTTGCCAACTGAAACTCTTCATTTTAAACATGAGACAGTATATATCCATTATAATGTTATTTATGACAAACAATTTCGTATAAAAAAGAAATACAATGAATAACACTTATACTTGCCATAAAGATTTTGTTTTACTATTGAGCCCTTGTTTGCGGTAGCGGAGTGAATGGTTTCCATGCCACTATATTATACAGAAACGTTTGCGCCAATTAACAATGTTTGAAGCTTTCCTAACAGTCTTAAGCTATAAACTCAAACTGTAAATACTACTCCTTAAGAATAATGCTGAGATCAGTAAAATAGTGACGTATATATGCGCAAATTAGAGATTTAATAGGAGTTAAATAAAAAAAAATGCAACTTTTTAGTTGGATGGAGTACACTACTTAAAAAAAATATTTTACTAACAAGAAAATATTTCATTACTAAGGATATATAGGTAACAAATTTAGATTATTTACTTGGCCATGCATATATGCATTTTCCTAGTATTATTACTTAACTGTTTAAGCTGTTTAAGTCAATATACTTCACATATTTAACCACACATACAGTGGTCATTTCATGTAATCGAATGAGAAATTAAAAATATTTTTATTAAAAACCTTACTGGCTATAAGATCATGTTTAGTACGAGAGAGGGAAAGATGTGTGAGAATACAAGTCACTTATTGTATCATGAATTAATTTCACTATTCGCTTCAATTGCTATCACAAGAAACTTGATATTTAGTATTAACTCGATTATTGAATCCAAAAGGAAAACAAAATGGTCCCACGTTGCAGATAATCATTTATACTTTTGTTAAATCTGAAAACAAATGACGCATCAACAATACTTGGAAAATCGCAAAGAAACTTATAAGACGTAATTATACTTTATTAGTCACAAACCAAAACAGTAATTTCTGATGATATACAATTATAAATAATTCTTAAGCTAACATTCAAATCTTAGCTGATGTGGAAATTTCCTCGCAACGACTAATACGAGTACTTAATTGTAGACTTCACCCAAACATTCGACATCGTCTGAGTCGGAATCTAACTCCATGTTTGCAACAACGTAACTGTCCATTTGTTCCGATTTATATTTTTTTATGGTATCCATCAGTTTATCTTTCGATATATTTGGCCTAAAATGTGCGGTGTGGGTAATGGTCGTCCTGTCCCCTAGCAAGTAATCCAGCGTGAAGTTCATCGTTATAATCGTTTCCACAGATTCCATATCGATATCTACTTCAAGTTGGCTCTTGTTTTTGAGTACAGTAATGTGTTTCGGCTTCCATAGATTAAAATTAAGGTTCTTCACACCTTGGTTACTTTGTTTCAAGCGCTCGGTGATAAGTGACATGTTTTTGTTGGACTCGTACGGAACAGTTACGTACATGGTGAAAAATCGAATGTTCCTATCATCCCCACCAACCACTACTACCGGTCGCCGGTTCAGCTTGCCTATATTGCGGGTGAGCAGCCACCTCTTTGATTCGGGGTTAGCTGGCAGCACCCCGAAATGGTTCGGTGAACAGAATCCGTATTTTTCAAAATCGGTTCTATTTTCACCGCCATCTTCGTGGTACTTGAACATGTTGTATATGACCATTTCTTTTATTTTCCTTGCTTGCTGTATTGTTAGTGTTTTGCTTCCCTTGAGCTCTATCTTAATAATTTTCGGGTCATTTTGGTTTAGTGAGGGCATGGGTGAATTCGCAATCGCAGACCGTATGGCCTCCTTGGACAACACCGATTGTTCGAGCAAGCCAGCGTCGAATGCGTCTTTGTCTACCGCGGCCACTCTTAAGATTACATTAACTTTTTGCAATTCGTAGCTGAGCATCATTTTGTTTTTCTCGAGAACTCTGGCCGATGACGGTGGCATGTCCACGTACAGTCTCGTTCCCTTAACAGTAACGATCTTCTTGACTAACTTCCACTTACCTATATTTAATTGCTCGGTGTTCCGGTTCTGAAGTCGGAGTTTCACGAAAGGCTCTTCGAAGCGATACCTGGAATGACCGGGCAACCAGATAGCGGCGCGTTCATACCACAGCTCCTCGTTAGTGTATACCAATACATTGAACCTTGTAAATTCGCTGAAATCCAATCTGATTAGCCACTCCCTCGACATAGGGTCGTCCGTGACCAATTCGTAGCGATGATTGCTCTGCAAACCTTTAAACGTGAAATTGGGAGCCCAACCACCCGACGATTCAGTTACCTTAAATATTTTGGTCACTAAAAATTCTTTCAAACTCTCCATATCGACATCAAAAAACTGTTCGAAATCGTCTTTGCATAGATACAAGTGAAATCCGTCGTCTTCTTTTTGAACTGGCTTTGTATCTTCGAAACTTTGAACTGCGGATGGGTTTACATATGGAACTGTTTCAAAGGTCGACAAAAAGCCAGTTGTCATGAGGGTATTCATATCAAGAACTGGTGGTACTGGTAGAGGGGTGACATAATCCACATTCATTACTGGATCTGTTAATGGAGTGTTGAGATTCCAACCTGGAATTGTTTGCGATTCAAATATATTTATTATTGTTAATACAATGACTTGCTTAAGGTAAATTACACAATTACGTTGTTAGTTGTACTTACTGTATGTTTGCATTTGCACTGAGGCAGAATCTGAAATGAGCATTTATTATGAAATATAAGACACATTAAAAATAATAAGAATTTTTTAAGAAAGTATTAAGAATTAAATATTTTCTCACCATTCAAGTTAGGATCAGAAGAATGCTTAAAAGTCTTCGCAGGGACTTCAGATGTTTCTGTAAATCAAGAAAATTTAATTTATTCAATGCTAAATAATGAACGTGCTAGTATGTATTCCTGCTTTATAAAATTATATTGAATATTGATACTAAAATTCCATAAAAATAAGAACGCTGCATAGCATTAATGATTTTAAAGCCAAGTTTATGTTTCTAAATTTCTAAGAGTAAACAAGAAATATTTAGATAATAACGATAAATATAATAAATTTGAATAAAATTGGTGACTTAATTGTACCTAAGCACTAGCTTTCATTACATGAAATGGTAGAAAGAAAGTTAAAATAACATCGTACCGATGAATAGCAAAATCTTACCTGGAGCTGAACGTTTCAAGTATCTTAACTGAGGTGGCAATTTTGACATCGCGTCATTAAATAATTTATCTTCCTCCTTCCCAGCAATACTGCTACTGAACTTTATAACCATCTCGATAAATGACACATCGTCATTCCCGAACATTTCGTGTAAACGTTTAAACAGGACACCCTTCAATTGTTCTGTGATGTGATGTTTCATCTCTTCACTGTGTATCACATTAAGATGCTTTTGCAAAATTTTATTACAAATTTCCTCGCTTGCCTTATCCCTTTTGATTTTCACCTCAGGGTCTAAAATAGTCCACTTCTTAACGTTTCCCGTATTCCATTCTCTTTCCCGGCTCTCTCTATTATATTCGTCCGAGTAACGAGATCTTGGGCGTTCCTCGTGCCTTGAGTGACGGTCTTCTGGACGGGCATCGTGGAAGTCCCGGCGCGGTTCCTTTTCGCGGTGGAAATGCCTCTCTTCCCTTTGCGTATCCTCACGACGACGCTCGTCAGAAGCAGCTCTCCTACGATCTTCTCTGCGCATCTCATCAGTTTTCTTGGCAAATTCGACCGCTCTATTATAAACATCATCGAGTTCCTTATCGAATATTTGCTGCCTTTTTCTGTAGTCTTCTAATCTCTCCTCAGGCCGTCGAAGTAACTCCTGTCTCCTCATGTTACCACGTGCCTCGCGTTCAGAATGCGATGGAAATTCTCGATATTCTTCCCTATCGCTATGCCGCTTTTGTTCGGATATCTCTTGCCGACGGAAATCTTCACGTGGACTAAATTTAGGTTGGTCTCTTTTAGGGAATTCTCCCAAATCTCTGCGCAGTTTACTCGAATCATCTCCGAATGCTTCTGGAATTGAACGCCTATCGCGATGAGGGTCTTCGTTCTTTTGGTGAAAAGTAGGTCGCTCCCAAACCATGGGTTTGCTTGGTTCATCTTTGTCGTGAAAGTCCGGTCGACCAGACCTTGTATATTTATCTTCATCATGTGTACTTGGTCCGGGCCAAATGGGCGGCGGTGGAGCTTCAACAGGGCTTCGACGTTTTTCTAGTGCCCAGGAGCGACGTGGCGACCGAGGGGACGGTGAGTGGCGTCTGTAACGATCTCTGAGTGGTGAACGATCACGACGGCCAGGTGAGCGTGATTTGCGTGGCGAGGGTTGTCGTTTCAATTCAACGCCGTGATCAAGTAACCGGTCGGAGCCTCTAGACATAGGCATCCTCTCTCTTCTGTCTTCTTCTAGCTTCTTTGAGGAAAATACAGGATTTTCCCGATCTTGCCACGGTGAGTGATGATGTTCCCCCTGGCGTCCACCAGGTTTTGGGTATTGGACATTCTCACGGATATTCGGACGATAGCCACCTGAGTACATAGCTTGATTTGGTGCCTGGAAATTGAAATTTTATTTGCAAACACACAGTTATATAAAAGAAATTTAGGTTTCTATATTCTTTAGATCAATTAATTCACAAAATAGGTATATATAATTCGGTTCTTAGTGTACTGGTAATAAAATAATAGACAAGATCAAATGCATTGATAAAACACATTAACTAGCAAAGTATGTTGGAATTTTTTTCATAAATTGAATAAATCAATTCAAGGAGATCCTTTCAAAAAATCAATAGTTGTGGTCGATGTATTTCTTCATCGTCGAACAATGGCCATAAATTCTACAGGAGTCTTCAATTTTAATCTTTCTTAATTTACATAAAAATAAATTAATACTTAAACCCAATTTAACATATCCTAGATAGAATGTATCTCCTTTAAGCCTTCTACAATGTTTCCGTGTCATTACACTCGATTCATGAAGATTCAACTGTATTTTTCCTTGCGAAATATCGTCAATATAATATAGATAAGTCCTATAATAACCTTTTTAGATATTATGTCTCAAAACATTCAATTCCAATGTTCCAAAATAGACTTTGTCTAAGAATTTTAAAATGATGGCTAATTATAAAACTGCTCCCGTAGGTTTTTCAATTCAGTGTCATCTGAATCTCTTGATAATGGAAGCTTTATCAAGATATATCTCAGTACCATAAGCTACAGTATATACAACTGTAGTTTATAAAGTCTCAGATTTCACATAACATTTCATTCATATAATTATTTCGTAGTTTTTGTACAAAACAGTAATAAATATACAATTAATGCAATAAAAAAATTCGTCAATATGTGAAAAATTTTCAAGAAGAGTTTTCGATTGTTGTAATTTTTTTTTTATCCATACATCCATACAGCAGAGAGTAGTCTTCGCATTTTACATAGATTTCTATTAAAATTAATTCTATTAATATAATAATGCGTAACTTTGTTAGAATCTTTGAATATTTTTCACGATGAAATTTTACAGACTTGTAGGATATATGTTTCTTCGACTTGATGATTAATGTATCTATGTTACAAATAATTTTTTCAGTATTTTTTTCTTTTCGCGTATATGTGCGAGTATGGAAGAAGCAAAAGAATGTATTGCAGAAGTAGATGATGTATTATAATCTTTACCTACCTGAAAAGAAAAGACGTAACGTATCATATGATCTGACGAATGCAGTCGTAACCATTAGGAGTTATAATGTACTATAATTATTTATATCAGGATTGCCGACATTCTTTTTTTTTATTCCTTTATTTCTTCCTTCTTCATTTTTTTTCCTTCTTCCCTCTTTTTTCTTTTTAGGCGATATTAAGCTATTATTTTTATACATTCCATCTTGCGTTTCGTTTCCCATGCAGAAGATACCAGCAGTTATATTTTTTTTAATTTTAAACATTTAAAATTACAATGATCCATTTATTTCTTGGTAAACTCGTTCTAATTCTTCAAACTAATGTTGAATTTAAATGGAATTACTTAGTTATTTATAAGCAGAAAGAACATTACCCTTTGAGAAAAACCTAATACATTTCTTAGTTAATATATGTGTAAAATTTGAGGCAGTATTAAACTGTCTTCATTTTGCTGTTTATGCAAAAATTAGAGCACATTGACGAAAAAGGGGATGGCGTAGTTAAGTCAAGACTTGATGATGATTCTTCAGTCAGTATTGGTATTTTTTAATAGTCTTCTTCTGCATTCCTTTTTCATTATAATGCTTGCTAATGTTTATTTAATTTTAAAAGCATATTATATTCCATCAACCATGTAAGCTATGGAGTAAGATTTAACGTACGCCTAACTCACATCTATACAGTTTTTTTCACAAAATAACATTCTCGAGTTGTGACCGCATATTCACTGTGAATTCATTCATTTGTGTCAACACTATGTGGAAGATTTGAATATCGCAGCACCCCGCGTAGCTTCTTCTCCTTATTATTTGTATTATTTAGTTCATAGAAAAAAATACAGATAAAAGGAATTCAACAACGCTATCTAGACTTGTGCATGATATATCTTTTTCATCGTAGCTTTGCTGGTTTGAAGTTTTGAGTTTAATGTGTATTGTTAGTTCTAATTACCTTTTCCCTTATTATCAGTAGTAAATGTAATCATAAAATAATATAAGACATATAACTAACTGAGCTCTCGCACAAATATCTTAATTCGAGTGATATAAATATCCTCGAATGTGAATGATGACGAGTACTTGTCAATTATTATGAAATACTCGTCGTATAACAGTAATAGGGTTGGAATTTTAAGATCATATCGTCACTATATCCAACTGTTTACTTCAAAGAGATTAAAGCTTATGTATTCTTAGAATAATGATATAGGTTCTCCCAAATAACGGCTTCTTTCTCACCTTCAAATTTTATTTTATGTTATATTCGCTGTTGTAGTAACATAATTATTTTCACTTTAGTCCAGTCCAGTACTATTATATACAACAGTAATGTAGAGATAAATTTAAAAGGGGCTCACAAAATAAACCAATTTTGCACACCCTTACCCTGTATCCTAAATAATTCGAAGACTCCAAGAATAAGCGCCACTAACAACCTCGTCAACGATTAAAAAATTACTTGATTCGAACGTACAGAGGTTAGTAGAATGTAAGAAAACTACTATGTGGTATAGTTATCGTAGGTACGACATCCCCGATTTTGTAGGACTTGTAGGTAGTATCCTGATTTGAAAGACTTCTAATACATTCTGTCAAAGCTTTGCTACTAGCAAAGATTCTTATCTCTTTACTCTTGACAGACTGGTCGTGATTTTTATGTCTAAAGTGGATCGTCGATGAGGCCCTTCTTCGGATCGAGGTCCTCGCAATGCGTCTCCATCTACTTCTGCTCACAGCCGAGCGAGAGCATTCTACATTAGACTGCTGTGTGGCCGTTTTGATGAAGTTAGTCCATGGCGTTGATGATCTACCCCGAGAACGTTTGCCTTGTACCCACCCTTGGACAATTAGACGTTTCATACAGTTTTCATTTCGGATGATATGGCCAAAGTACTTGAGAATTCGTATTCGAACAGGCAAGATTCTTATATATTTTATATAATAATATAATCTTGTATAAATTTTAACACGATTATTGTAGTGATATCATAGTTCTAGTTTCAATTCAAGATTTTATAATACGAGTAGCTTCGAAAAACTTAAGATAAATGCTCTCTGAAGTAAATGTAATGTTACTGCAGTTCCAAAAAGTTTCCACTCCCGAAAAGTATTCTCATTGATTCGATGTTTTGACAAAAAGATAAACACACAAATGAAATCTTTGTTTTTTTTCTTTCTTATGACATAGGAGGCAAACACTTAAGCGACTCGCCTGATGATAAGTGATTACCGCTGTCCATAGGCACCTGCAACTTCAGAGAAATTGTAGGTGCCGGCCATTTATTTTTCTTGAAGGTTTTAATGTCGTATCCGTTCAGAAATACTGCTACTGGGAGTTTATTCCATATTTTCGTTGTGCGTGGAGGAAAATGTCTACAGAAATGAATATGCTTTTATCTAATAAACGAGGAGGCGATGATTACTTTCGACTGAACGATGCACAGCATTTGATATATTGTAACAAAGATTTAGAAAATACTGAGCAGTGACAATGCGATGTAATTCGAAACAGTCACAATGAGTTATAATTTCCATCCCTTTCAGTTATATGTCCAAGCATCATATCTACTTGCAATGTGTCTCCAGCTGCCAGAAGTTATTGGTTATCTTCAATACTTTCTTGAACTTTTTTTATATAAACTCATATTCATAGGCCTTTATTAATGAAATACATCTTTGAAAATTCACAGTAGTATGCTCTTCCCAAGGCTTATTACAAAAATAATTTAAAGTTAATAATTTGTTTGGTCGACTTCATGCAGCTGTATTAGGCATTTGGCAAAGAGCTGCAACCCACGCCTAGAGATCCTTTATAGTACCAACTAATAGCTGATCAGATTGGCTTCTGAACCTAGCTATTAACATATATAGCACTCTTCAGTAACGCAGCTTCACTTAATTAATATTACGAGTATTTATATAAATTAATAATAGCATAATGTTTCTTTTTGACCAAACACCCATAATACATTACAGTTTTTATCAAGTAGTCAAATGCCATTTATAAACTTATTGACATTATATTTAGGAATCATCCGTATTTATTACGCTTTATATATCTAAGTAGACTTTAACTGCCAAGTTTTAAATGTGAAATTGAATGTTATTGTTATGTAATAAATCAAAAAATGGACTGACCTGTGAATCCGGTTCGTACGCTGGCCTCACTTGCTTTGGAATGGAGTGGGCGCTGTCTAACTTGTCAGAGTGATGGCGGGACGGTGAGTACCTTTTAAGAATATAGTAATGGATATACTAAAATTCCCAGAAGTCAGCATTAACGCGTAAATTGCATTTACCTAAGGCGATATATTTGATCATGTATTTCGGCTAGCTTGATTTTTCGCGACACGTTCTATTAGCTAAACAAAAATGTGATCAAAGTAAATAAATGAGATTTGACTGGCGTTTGGAAATCGACGACTACGTAGTGTCTAGCGGCCACCCTGGAATCTAAATGGAGCATAATGTGCCATTTTGAAAGGGCGAAGCTTTTTCTGGAAAATACTTAAATCTTCTTAAATACGCTACTGTCTGCGTGAGTCACTCGTTAATTTATTTCATATTTATTTTTAACTACAACATTTAAGTTGATTGGTACATATGTATGACTGTAAGTACTAATAAACTGTCAGTTTATCTCATATTTGCTGGAAGAAATCTTTTTTAGAGATAAGTTCGCCTTTGTGCACTATTGTTTGATTTTTTTATATAATTACTTTTTGTATATAATAAAGATAATTTTATCAAGATTGAAATAGCTTTTTTTTGCATAGTAAAATTTTAAATGATATGTCCATTATTTTGTGTAAAAAAAAGGTATTCTAAATCTGTTACCTCGACGATGGTGGAGGACGCGGCGGTGACTCGAGGCGGTGATTCGGGGGACCCGTCCGCTCAGCCAAGCGGCGACCTGATAAAACATGACACATGAAACATGCAGCAAACTCAATTTTAAGCATTTTTTAAAAATATTTTTTGTATTATTCCACAACTGAATTCAGAATGTAGTGCAGCCGAGAAGAATGGGCAAGAAAATCAACTGTTACATTTTTAAATACAAGTTAAATTTTATATACATTTGTGTGAATACAAACTACCAGTAATTATCAGGAAAACGCTTCATCATATAGATCAGCCTTTAACTGTCCACTGCTGAACATAAGCCTGTCCCTGTGGGAATTTTGCCAGTAGTTATAACGCTTGGCAGGCAAATTGGCAACCGCAGTTAGGCTTTGGAGATGTTTTAAGAAGGACTCTGCTGCCCATCCCTCCATTATAAACTCCCTAGGTCGCCTCTTACGACATCCACGGAAAAGGAAGGAGGTGGCCTATTCTATGCCAGGACCACATGGCGGTATTTAAATTATAAAAGACATATATTGAGTAAAATAGCATCTGACGTCTCCTCTTTAGAATGTCGTAAGAAAGAAACACCGGATTTGGCTCCGGTGTGGTTATTCTGAGTGCCCTCAGATGTTTGTTGCCTGGTTCCTTATAAGACAAGGTACCCTATATAAAGAACTAGGCGATTGAAGCGACTTTTTTTAAGCAAACAAATTAATTGCCCACCTAATGGAAGGTGGGACCATCAGAGAAAATGCAGATGTATTGCCAGCCTTTTAGGAAGCTATATGCTCTTTTCTTGAAGGTTTCAATGTTTTTTTAAGAGACCCATATTGTAGTGCTAAGGAAAAAATTTAGAAGGAAATTAGTTCAACAACCACATGTCCTAAGTATAATAAAATATTTATACCTGGTGATATTCTTCTGCCAGATGGCGATATCCTTCGACTGGGTGACATTCTTCTACCGGGTGGTGACATCTGTCTACCGGAAGGTGACATTCGTCTTCCTGATGGCGAGATTCTTCTACCAGGTGGTGAAATTCTTCTACCTGGTGGCGAAATTCTTCTACCAGGTGGCGAAAATCTTCTTTCAGATGGAGAAACCCTCTTGCTGGATGGCGAAGTTCTTCTATCAGATGGCGGGCTTCTTCTACCGGATAGAATACCTCTTTTTCCTGGTGACATTCTCCTCTCATCTGGTCCGGCGAGGGGCCTTCCACCCGGACCTAGTAGTCCATGCCTTCCTTCAGGCCCACCACGTGGTCTCCCATCTGGACCCTGGGATCTTCCATCTGGTCCATGGGGTCTTCCATCTGGACCCTTGGATCTTCCATCTGGTCCATGGGGTCTCCCATCTGGACCATGAGACCTTCCATCTGAACTATGAGGCCTTTTATCCGGACCACGGTTCCTGCCATCTTGACCGTGGGATCTGCCATCTTGACCGTGGGATCTGCCATCTTGACCGTGGGATCTCCCATCTGGGTCATGGAGCCTCCCATCTGGACCGATAAGGGTTCTCCTATCTGAACCGCCATGGAGGCGATGAATATTTCGATCAGGAGACATTTTTCGTCCTGGAGACATACCTCTACCCATTGGAGATCGACGCGGTGAGAAACCGCGAGATTTCTCATAGTTGGACAAATCGCGGTTTTCAGGATTTTTCGTACTAGAATGTCTGTCCGGGTATTTTCTATCATCATCATATTGAGGTTTGAATGGCGGATTATCTTTTGAAAAGGGGTGTGGTTTTTGTTGAGCGCCCTGATAAACAAATTATTATTTTTTAATTATTTTTTTTGTAAATTGTTTTTAATTATTTGATGCAATCTCGGGCACAAAAATTGTAAAGAACATCACATTATCAGAGACAAATATAAACCACTAGATGTATATCACGGCTTTGCCCGGGTGAATCAGTACATACAGTATCCTATATTTTAAATTAATTAATTTACATAACCACTAATGTACCAAATTCCGTTCATTCCATAGTTTTTGCATGTGCAAGAAACGTCAATCCATACATATATCCTTACAAACTAAGATAATCAAATAGAGGAGGGGAGTTTATGGTAGACCGAGTCAAAAATGGTGATGAAATAAATATTGAAAAGGTTTATGTACTATGGACACCCATAACCAACAATGACAACTTAGGCTAAATAACAGTTTTTTTTTTTCATAATGTTTATTGTAGATATATCCCATTTTTTCATCTGCATGAATTAGTATATAAAATATCCTGAAATGAAAACTAGGTGTCATGTCATATAGGGAGATAAAAGATATGGCCTGAAATATAGCTGGCTGGAAGAGAATGCATGAATTAGTAGTTCCAACAAGAGGAAACTCTTAATTGACAATCGCATTTATAATATTAAAGGTTAAATTTCTAGCCTTGTTCCACTTGATCATTAATTAAATAGTTTGAAATTGGATATTGATAACATTCTAGAGTTTACTGTTTGTGTCTAAGAAAGACAGATAGATTTTTCTAATATTGTACAGTATATATTTTAGAACAAAAAAACATATAAACTCATACTTGGAGTTGCCATGTTGGTGCTTGGCTTTGAATGGGATAGTTCTGTGATGCATTCTGTTGACCGCCAGGGTACTGTGTTGGCCCTTGGAAGTTGTTTTTCATTATTGTTATCTGTAAAAAAAATATATTTGTAGAAAAAAAAATTGCAATAATTTGATGCCTATTTTCATTTATGTAAAGTGCACTAGGTAACTAGGTAAATATTATAATAGTACAAAATTTGTAGTCAATTTCGCTTAAATCTATTAAATGTTTAGTTTTAATTCTTCCTTAAATGTAATGTTTCTGTGATATCAAATTTTAAATTTAGAGATAAGTTAGAAAAGGATGTCACAGTATTGACATTGATACTGCACATCCATTGTTTGATTTCTAAAATACAAAATTCTACAGAAATTCGAAGTTAACACTAACCGGTTTCTGCTGTTCATAATTTTGATTGCCAGGGTAACGTGCGGACACATTTGCACGATTAACTGGCTGATCGACAATCTCAATACTGCGCAACACATGTGAGCGAGAATCCATATGATGTGGTTGTTGCTGTGAACAATACAATTATTGTGATAAATAATATGTCCTTCTCCATCTCATATAGTGCATGTATGCCTTAGGCCAATAGTTTGAGTCATTAAAGCATCAAAATATGACAAACAAGCTATTATTAGTATAAAGACCGACACCAGCCTCTCACAAAGATTGTTTTAAATTGTAACCTATATAGCTGTAAATTTTGTTGTTATTTTGTAAGAGAAATAAATATATATTTACAATTTACAATACTGAAAGATTATGCGAGTACATACTGGGTCAGGCATTAGTGCTTTTGGTGCCATTGGTCGCACTCCACCTGTATACATAGGTTCCTGTACAGGCATCCTGTTGGAAAAGGGTTGCACCATCCTCTGTGTCTGTGGCTGAAAAGAAATCATTAAATTAGTTCTCTATATTAAGTAACTTGGAATTAACAAGTTAACCACCTGATAAAAGTGTTAACTGGACAAATAGCATGAGGATGTAAAAGAACTCACACTCACATCCATGGTACACCTCATTCATTACTGTTCCTAAGGTGTCAGGCCTTCTTAACCTGTAATTTTACTGTTATATCCTACCCTATCCTAATTTAAAAGTCATGTTAGCACTTCTGTTTGATAACAAAAATACAAATAATACAAATTAGATAGATAAGAGGTGCTGAATGCAAAACACAACTTTAGTACAAGTACTTTTATACAATTTTTTTCCAAAAAACCTAATACTCTGTATCGTCTTTTTATATTCTAGTTTTCTTCAAGCACTTTTTCAATTAAAAGTCTTCTAACACCCTTCCATCAGGCAAACAATCCACCTGATGGCTGAGGTCTTATTAATTTTTCTAACGGTACAAAAAAAATTACCTGCTGATGTATATAAGGCTGGTTTGGTGTTGATTGTTGATAATTAAAATTATTTGTTGTATTTGCCGATTGATTTTGTGGCCATTGGTTAGTTGCCCACGGTTGTGTAGGCTGACTTGGTCTAGACTGATTGTAATCTGTCATATGACTGAGATAATCATTTCTTGGTGGAAAGTTGTCCCTCTGTTCAAAGGCCGGCTGTGGAGCTGAGTTCAATGACTGAAATAAATTTGAATTTCATTTTAAACAATTTAGAATGGTAAACAGACAACCCATTTGATGAAAGTGGTAACTATCACCTATAGACATCACAAACTCCTCAGTAATTAATACCTATTTTATATAGATTATAGTTTTTTTATGAATGATAATAAAATTGTAACTACACCTGTGCTATAGTTATTGATGATGGGGTATTAGTGAGGGATGATAGATAAGGAAGAAAGCAGGTCATTTAGCTCTTCATGGTAAATTCTTCAGAAATTTTATTACCATACTATACTATTATTAGCTATGCAAACACAGTTATTTCAGAATGAAAATATGAGTAGGATAGAAGTACACAAGCAGTATCCCACAGATACAATAATTAATTTTACAATAATATCTACTATATTATATTTTTTTCTTAAAACTCTATATCTTATAATTTAAGACTACTGTACAATAAATAAATGTTATGTGGTCCCGACATTAATTGGCTACCCCTTCCATTCCCATAGGTATCATAAGAGGTGACTAACGGGACTTAATGGTCGGGGAATGGGCAGCCACATCTCTCTTAAAACATCATCAAGGCCTAAATGTATTTGCCAACTCGCCTGTCAAGCATGACAACTACTAGCGAAACCACCAGGCCAATGTTCAGCAGTAGACAGTTAACAGGTAATGTTATAATAAAAAAGAGCCACTTTTAAGCTGTATTGGACAAGTGATGATAAGCAGTTGAAATTAAATTATTAAGCTAAATTCAAACAATATTAACAGTTACACTAGATCCATACTATAACGCTGATCATGGTTTCTTTTTGGTGTTATTTCAGTTTTCTAAGTAGAAACACTTTAGGAATGATTGTGAATGGATTAGAATTCTGAATAGAACTAGTGTGATAATATAAATATACATGCATTGTTTCTTAAGACATAATATTTTATCAGACAGATACTGCATAAAGAATTAACCATAACAGGCGCTTCAGTATGAATCTGACTTTATGATCTAAGTATACCTATTGAAAATGTTAATAACTTACAGCTTTACCAACAGGCACTACCCTTAACATTTGTCCGCCCATCCTGTATCCATTTAAACATTTCATCAAATGAGCGCCTTCCGACTCGTCCGCAACGCCAATTCTGATTTTTTTACATCCATCTTCATCGCTAACTAAATTATCCAGTATGAAGTCGGCGAGGTTACATTCACGTTTTATAACAACTTTAACATCATGATATTTCGTCTGTAAATACAATGTGTATGTGTTGTTAATTATTATTAGTTTATAAGAACAAGAAATTAGCACAACACAAATGATCAAAAATAAACTTACAGCCAGAGGTAAGCCATGAATTGTGAGCATCATCTTGATAATTATCAAATTCCACTATTCTATTCCGTAAATTTTTTTAATGTTTTGACGTTAAACAAAAGAAACAATTGTAATTATTGTGCTTAGAAATTCAATTACTACATTTCATTAAATATAAGATCAGTAGATAAAATGAAATATGAAACGTAGAAATGGTAAAAAATTTAGTTCATTCTATAAACCTTCATTCGCATCAATTTATTTATTATCATTAATGTATTGAACGAATGATTGTCTCGATAACATACTCTTTGTCACAGATAAAAATATCACCACTTTGATCAAAAACGATCACTACAGACTAGGAACATCTTAGAGTCTATGATTTTAATAAATTAATTCATGACCATGTATACGACATTTTCAGTTACAAACATAAAATAAGATTTGCGATAGGAGTAACATAAAAAAATATTAATTATTACCTACTAAATTACTAAATACTAAATTTTGTAACATAAGAGAGGATGTAACCTTAAATATTATTTATAGTGTTTACAACGAAATTAAAAATAGGCATACAGTAAGCTATATTAGATAATAAATTAGATGGTATCATTTACGTCTGTATTTACATCTTTCTTTTTTTTTTCGTAAATTCTATATAGCATTAGGAAAGTTGACAACTTTCTTTTTTACTGAGATAATTTTGCCTTTAAGTGATTTAATATATGTGTTATACCATAAAACTTTGTCAAATCCACGTTAAATCCTAGCTCTCTAGTCTATGGTTATTCATGTCTTATTTATAAAAAAAAAGATTACCTATACTCTAGCATTTTCTTATTCGGCTTGTCGTAAATTTAATTCATGGTATTCCTTTTATTTCCTCATAAGTTTTAAATATTCCACATTCATTAGAATGTTATTAACTATTCACAACTTACCTGCTAATGTGAGTATTTAATTTGGACGACACAAAAAGAGTACTTTTTAGCTCGACATCGACTAAGGTGAAAATAGCACATTTTATTCTCGAAAAATACATTTTTTAACCATTCATTTTATTGTTATCGTATGATATTGTATAATATATAACAAATATTAACATCCATGACGTTTAGTATCAAAGCAAAATGTTATGCTTGTTATATTTACAATTTTTTTTATTAATATGTGATAGAAAATACAAATGAAATCTTGCATATATCGTGTCTTGCTATTAACCAAATTATTTCGGGTGATTAGACGCCCTTACAATCTTATGGATGACTATATCACATCTTTGCCCGCGTATAAAGAAATAAAAAGAAATCTATATATTAAATCGTTAATCTAGAATAAACCGCCCCTAAGGATATTCACGGAATATATGACCTAATTTCATATTCCATTTAAATCTATTCAACAGTTAATTTATTTATTAGATGCACAAGACAGGTTTACAACTAAACATTTAATAGCATAATAGGAAACATTAACAAGTAACCTTATATTTAAATATTAATATAGCATTATTGAATACTTGTAAACATTAATCAATGTTTACATATAAACATATAAAAATTATTTTATAAGTTATCTATACTTTATAATTAATTTTATTTTATTGAATTACCTATCATTATTTATTGGAATGCTAACAGTGTATACCTGCAGTAAGGGTTACTATTCTATTTGCATCCCATTAATCAAGATCTTATATCATATCTAATAATCTTAATCTTAATAATCTTATATAATTATACTGAATCGTACTGACATATTTATATTTTTCAGGCCCGCTATTGTGATGTGAAAGCTCTAATTATTGAGAAATGCAACTTGACAGATATAATATTAGACAAACTTTTACCTGAGGGTAGCAGTAAGAAAATAACAGTTGGTGTGACTAGTGAATATGATGCAAATCTGTTGTATTCTAAATTGAATGGATTGTATGTAGAAGGACTACAATTGTATGTTGAAGATATAGGACAAAAAAACCCTCCAAGAGTATGTATATATTTATTATTATTATTTCAGCCATTAACTGTCCACTGCTGGACATAAGCCTTCCATGTATAGGCGGGTTTTGCCAGTAGTTGCCACTCTTGGCAGGTGGGTTGATAACTGCAGTCCATGATGTTCATGGGAAAGAAAGGGGTGGCCCATTATATTCCAGGCCACACTGCGGTTATATGTATATATAGTATGATGTAATTAAAATAGAATATGCTCACAACAAATGTAATAGTCGAGGGCATTTGTCTGTTGTAGTTATAGCACAGAATACACAGAAGATAAGCTACTAGAAAACATGCTGGGACAGGAGCACTACTATAAGCAATTGTTTCTTGTTTGCCTAGATCACTACTTACTGTCATGTAAATGCAGAGTTGGGATAATCCAATCTATACTGATTTATTTAGTGCCATAAATTGAGAGTTATGTAATGCATGTCTCTTTATGCAAAAATGTTTACTATATAGTATGCAATAACAATAATAAAAAAATATCTTTGGTATAACTTTTTTTAATTGCAACTTAGAATGGCAAACAAGCTGACGGCCCACCTGATGGAAAGTGGTAGCCATCGCCTATAGACATGAGTAGTACCATGGACATAACAGAGTATACTGTTTCACCCATGATACTACATGATACTGACTTCATAATTTAAAAAATAGGCTTGGTATATATGAATTATGATAAAAAAGGGTAGTTTTTTAATTTATTTACAACCCTTCTGCATTTTTTAACACATCAAAACAGCTTTCCTTCTGTTTATTCTGTAATTATGGTGAATCTAAAAGTTAATGTGTATTATTATGAACAGTTAATTAAATTTGTATTAATTAAATAAATACAATCAAATTTAAATTAAAAATTATATTTTATGGTGATATGGTGATGATTATTAAAATATAAGTTGCTATACTTATAGAGGAGGGAAACAATTGATATTGTTACTCACATTCCTGGCGTAGCATAGCTGTGTTTACATGGCTGTATTTTGGATTAAAGTGTAGGATATGACAATGAAGTTAAATGTATGTATGGGTATGAAGCACAAAATTTTAGCCTTCAGGAATGTTATGTTCTGTATTATATTATAATAATAATAATAGTGACAACATACTCGGTGATGTCTATGGTACAGTTTGGGTCTTAAGGCAATGGTCACCATTTTTCATCAGATGGGCTAGCTTGTTTCGTAGATACATAAAGATTGTCATGCAGAAATTTATAATCCTGCATTCAATATTTTTTTCAACATCTGTACATACATGATAATAAATCTACACTATATTAATATTATAAAGAGGAAAGATTTGTATTTTTGTGTGTGTGTTTGTAATGAATAAACTCAAAAACTACTTTGCTGATTTTAAAAATTCTTTTACAATTAGAAAGCTACATTCACCCTGAATAACAAAGGTTATATTTATTGCTAGAAAAGATTAGGGATCCGTACTAAAACTAGTTACGTAACTTAAGGTTTAAAAAAAATATACTATAAAATATCGTTCGTCGCATGCGTTGCGGAAACTATTGATGATAGAACAAAAGTATGTTCTACAATATTGAAGAAAATATCAATAACTACAAAAAACTGTGCTATACCATATGTCCAACTATTATTGTTATGTCACAATAATAATTTTTTATAATGTTGTAAAAATGTCCACCCGCGCGAAGCTGGGATGGGCCACTAGTGTATTATATTATTATTAATTTATTATTTACAGGTAAACATGTCAGATTCAAGACAGGAGAGAAGATATGACAGTTATGACCAAAACCAACAGGGTCAATACAATTATCAACAATATAGTAACCAAACACCACAGAACTATCAAAATAATCAGGCAGGTCTGAACCCATATCGTGCAATATCATCGTCAGTACCTTATAACCAACAAATGGCTAAGCCACTTATGCCTCCAATACCTGTGAGTATTGTTACACATATTACCTCTTAATTAACCCTAAAGTTGTAGAATGGAAGCAATTTAGACTTAAAATATGTATGTATTAAAACCAAATTTGTTTCCAATTTTTTAAGTCTATGCGCATACAGTTAAGATTGTAAGAAATAATACTCAATGAGATATTCAGTTTTTGCTTAAGTCTGTATATGTTAGTTTTTATATATATGTATGTCTTGTAAGCATTTAAGAGGAGTCAATTCTGACTGACTAGCAAACTCAACTCTGAATATGTTGTAGCTCTTACAATAGATATGCATTATGACTCACATGCAAAGCAATCGAAAGGAAATTTTATGTCTATGTATGTAAGCTTTTTTCATCAGGTTCTATGTGACTTGTATATGACCATTAAAATGTGTAAATATATATTTGCACACAAAAACCGTCCAGTTTATTGGATAACATAGAAGTACAGTATTTATTTGGTACTGATTCTCTATATAATGTACCGACAATATAGAGGTCTTAGAGAATGCATAGGCGGCAAGGTAGTATGTCTGCAGGTCTGTACTGGATAATATAGAAGTGCTGTAGGGAGGGAAGAACATACCTGCCCATACTACTATGGCACCCAAACTTTGAAGGTGTTATAGATGGTAGATCCTCCTAAGTACTTTGCCACAAGTTCCAACTGCAAGAAGTTGGGGTTAGATTATGTGACAAGGCACCATTTCAGAGGTACTTGGAGAAAAGAAAATAATGTGGATGCGGTGAGGGCGCGGGCATGCTGCCTTACGTAGTAATGTTTTAAGGGTTCACACTTCATGTTTCTTATTTCATGTTCCATACACAATTGAAAAATGCAATTTCTTATTGTGGAGGGAATTGATCAATTCCAAATCACATTAAGACTGCATCTGCAATAACACTATATGCATATGTAGGGTAGATGTATCGGGTAATTTCTAAGTACATTCAGGAATTCTATAAGTTATTTGTGTCGTATTGTGTTTGGATTGCAAGGCTAAGGAATCAATGTAAGCTGATGGTAGAAGATATATCACATTTGGAAAACCCATGTCATGCCATGTCTATAGACGATAGTTATAATTTTCTGTCAAGTAGTGTGTTTGTTTTTTTACTACTAAATTTAAAATAATTAGTAATTAATCATAACCATATTGAAATCAAACAAATTTGGATACAACTATTATCCTATAAGCGGAAGATTTGTTTTTTGCTTGAATATGTTGCGACACCAGTGAGGCATGATAAGTGAGGATAAAAGCAGGTCACTTAGCCCATTGTGACGAATTTTACACGAATCAATTACAATAAGTCCCAGGGGGAACGGCGTAGAGATTGACTTGATAGTATATACTGCAAGCAATTGGGTTGTTAGACCCAGTTTCTAACAATTTCTTTGCCCTTAGAAGAACATATTAGCCTACAGTTAGTTACCAGAGGGAAACTGTACAAAAGTCGTTTGCTTGGGTACCTCTGTCCCATTCGTGTTTCAACCGTAAAGTAGTTGTGTTTGCATGGCCGTGTTTTGGTTTGAAGAGGGGGTAATGGCGTGAATTTACTGGGTACAGAGGAATAACACCTGAGTCCTTAGGAATGGCAACGCATGGAGGGTATCATGGGCGAAACAGTATACTCTATTATATCCATGGTACTGCTCATGTCTATAGGCGACGGTTACCACCTTCCATCAGGTAGGCCATCAGTTTGTCTGCCATTTATATATATATATATATATATAATAGTTGTATAAAAAAAACGCTTTCCAGGCTACTTGGCTAAGCGTTTTATTTCGAGTTTTCTTTCTCTTACATTGGTGTACGTGCTTTATTCCCTAATCAACTTCTTTAGCATTCCAGGTATGAAAAGAAATCAAACACACTGATTAAAATCAGCCATCTACCCTATGTGTTGAGATTAATCAATGTTATCAGACCATAATTAGATATATAACACTTATGTAAACATTTATGGTCTTCTGGAAATAAGACTTATTTAGACTCCAAGCTATGCATAAGTTTGGAGTTCTTGGTTTGGATAATCAGTTTTATCCGATATTTTCTTATTTGAAAAAGATGATTTACAACCAATTGATTTCAATATTAGTCCTGGGTTCGAATCCTGGTTAATACCTCTATGTTTCCCATTATGCTTCGAGTTGGGAATCTCGCGCACTATACAGCTACAATCGAGGCCCGTCAGAGTTGTGGCCGCGAAAGTTTCGGCTATATTATGGCCGAGAACTCGAGGTCCTTTCGGGTCGTGATTCCGCGATGTGTACTGCTGAGCTTGCTCAGTAAGTTATTAATTCGGTTGTTATATTCGAGGTAGAATAGAGGTCTACTAAGACCTCTTACTAGAAATTGAGTGACGTTCAGAATGAACGGTTCGAAACAAACATTTGTTTCTTTGGTTTTATTTTTCGAATAAATCACTGCAGTGGCTAGGCGAATAGTTGCGCTGTATTTGAGCATTGACATTTGGCTCTGGCCACTGCGGCCATTATACTCGTACTTCGTAGTGTCGGTGTAGTGCGCGATGTTCCACAATATCAGAGTTGGAGTCGTTTCTCCAGCATTAGGACGTAAATACTGTTGGTTTTTGTGGATCGAGTTGGACGTTATAATTCGTCGAACTTGGTCCTAAACGCATAACCACGAGTGATGATTCGTCCTTTTATTATAAGTTGGTTACATTTTTCATAATACGTATGTAGTCTGCACTATATCATGTGTGTGAAAAAAGTATCTAGCGATCACTTATCGTTTTGTGTCTGACCACTTCGCAGAACAATTACATGAGTTACAATATACAACAGCAGCAGCCAACTCCTTTGCTAGTCCAGTATCCAGTTCCCGTTCCCATTCAGCAGGGAAGTGGTAATAATTATTCGTTTAATCGAAGCGACGGCAATCGTTCGTATAATACGGATGACAGGAGATCTAATAACGATTCATCGTATACCAATCGTAATTCGGGCTGGGACCAGTCGGATCGAGATAATAAGGGACGGGTTCAGATGTGGGATGGTAACAAAGACTCCAAGTATAAGCCAGAAGATGCATTTAATAAAGATCACGACGATGTAAAGGGAAGGAAGCGAACTTTTGATGATTACGATCAATCGCGCGGTGGCCCCGCTAAATTTCAGCGGAACACCCCGTTTAATAATCCCCCGAGAGCTTTGCCTAATCAAGAAGCATCTACTTCAAATATTTACGGCAAACACGCGACTAATAACTATAGCAATAATTCGAATAAACCGAATGTGAATACCAAACCTAATATACCAAAATCCTATTTTCGCATTGAAGGACCTAGCACTTTCTACCAGAAAGATACTTTTAAGGGCAATTATTATAAATCGACTCTGAAGCCCGAAATAGACCAAGTCAAAAGATTACAAATGACGCCAGCTGAAGTCAAGGAGTCACGCAAAAAGGCTGCCAACAGGGATGACACATTCCGTCATCAAGCGGTCATTGAAATCGCTACAGAACTGTTAAATGCACGAGGCTTTACCAGTGTGGCTAGAAAGAAAGTAGGATTCATAGAGATGAAAAAAATTATTCGTAAGCGACTCGACCAAGTGTTGGGCGATAAAATTGGATTGGAGAAAAATTTGATGAAACTAAAATATAAAAAGAGTTTCCCCTTTGAAGCTGATCAAAAACTTTGTGCTTTGTACACGGAGAGTCGGCCCGCAGAAGGAACTCTTGCTCCCTCTTCAGGTAAATGATTGATAAAACTTTATCAAAACACCATTTATTAAAATATGATAAATATCATATTTTTTGGAAGAATAAAATAGAAGCGGTTCGTGCTTCTTTTTGCAAATAAATAAGATGTTCATCATATTTTAATTAAATATAAATCACTAAAGATATTTTGCATTAAACGAGTGTCAGTGTTAATCACATTTATATAACTTTATGAATCCAATACATTTTAGATTGTGATTCGAAAATCACGTTTCCATTTGAAAACTGTGATTTTTTCGACGTTCAGTGACAAATCAATTACAATAACAGGTATTTTTTTCCTTATTTCACGATTTTTAAATACGAAACAGATGAGACAGACGGATAAATTATGTAATCCAAAACAATGCAGTTATCTGTATTAATTATTAATCCCATACGAGCATGAACAATTTCATTCTGTATATGTTTCATTTCTATTATTATTATTTATAATTTCTTTTATAATATTGTATGAAAAGATTGATGAATATGGAAGAAGCGAAAGAGGTTTGTTTGAATCGAAGCCAAATGCTTGTCGAACCATTGTTTCTGCCTACCCTAATGGGAGACAGGCGTGACAGACATGTATGTATATATATTACTGCAGTTTTTTTTTTCTCTAATAATTTTTCATTAAAAAAAGTATTTAAAATGAATAAATCGACTACCATAAGTTTATTGGGGATTAACCGGATTTGAATATATATCGGCTGTGATGTATTTATGATTAAATTCTAACTATGTCGAGATTAAGACAGCATTCAATCATCATCATCGTTAGAAAGTGCCTTAATCACAATATTTATTGGCACACTAATCTATCACTAATCTTCATTTACATTAAAAAAATCTCTAAATACAGAAAATTCTGGTACTGAGGCATAATACCTTAATGCTCAGGAATGACAACGCATGAAGCGTATCAGACTGAAACAGTTTTATCTGTTATGTCCATGGTACTGTTCGTGTCTAAAGTCAACGGTTACCACTTTCCATCAATTGGGGCTTGTTTGCCTCTCTTAGTTGCATAAAAAAAACATTTTAGTTTACTCTTGTAAACGTGGTCAAATTTGCTAATGGTGGTAAAATCAACTGATTATATTATATTGGTGATTGGATCTGGCTACGCACAGGTAGATAGAGTTTTCGAAAATTATATCAAAATTTCGAAAATTGTTTAGAGGTTTGTCTATTACAAACAAACAAACAAATCTATCTTTATAATATTAGTATAGATAATCTATTTTTACCACCAAACTAATGCTAAACAAACTTTATCTCCTTCATTGTCCAATTTATCCTTCAACAATCCAAACCTTTCCAAATACTGCCAAAAATTTATATTATTTTTGTCAATTTCGCCACAATGGTTATTAGTTTGAACGCGTTAAGTCTATAGACTTAATGAGATTTGTCAGTAAGTTAGATGCAGTTGCAATATCAGATGTAATTTTGGATTTTGCTAACGTTGGAAATTAGTTGTCGAGCCCAACTAACTTTCATGTAACATCAAAAGCAACTAGACTTTTGGATGATCTAAAGGCAAAATCAGCTTTATGGTGATACAGCCGTTAACTGTACAGTGCTGATCATAGGCCTCCCCATGGGAGGTTCTGCTAGTAGTTGCCATGCTTGGCAGGCGGGTTGGCAACCGCATCACTTTGGTGATGTTTTAAAAGGGACGCTGATGCATCCCTCGACCATTAAGTTCTCTTAAGGGCCGCTTACGATATATACGAGAATGGAAGGCGTAGCCTATTCAATTTTGAGACCGTACAGTTAACACATAGCTTTATACACTAAATTAGTCTCAACCACGCCCGCAAGCCTAAGCTTATGGATTCAATGGATAGAAATACCGTATTAATAGAATCCACAAGTTTGTGTTCCGCTTGCGTTTGTCAGGTAGTGTTCGTCTCCGATCCGGTCTAGTGTCAATTTGGTGTATAAATCATAGGGAGTGTTTGTTAACACTGCTGACCGGGAATTCCGTCATGGTTGAAATCTTTGGAATTAAACTACAACTGTGATCAAACTCTAAATACAAAAAGTTTTTTTGGGCATGAACGCTTTGTAATCCAAACGGTGTTGTTCGTCGTGGTAGGAGGACGTACCTCTACGCTACGCTAATGCAATGACGAGTTTACCACCGGTCAGCAAGGTTTGGATGTGAAAAGACGGGTTAACTCGTCACCGGTCTGCAAAGTGTTAAATGCTTAAACTTCATCCAAAGTTTGTGCATGGTTTAATATGTAGTCTGACGCAAAATTTCGGTATCTATTATACTTTCCACACACTGTAAATTCAAGCGTGTTGGTATGTTTGACTTACCTAATCTTCAAATGTTTGTAGACGCTTGGAGGCTTATCATAAGTGAAAAGGGAAGCGTGTGGACACGACCTAAACGGTCGTTAGGTTCCGAAGTTTTAAAGCCAAATTATGTTATATAAAGCCAATATATGTTAATATTTTTGATGTTATCTCAAAAATATTAACCTGGGTCTCTTCCTGGAAGACTCCTTTCACTATCAGATCACTTTGTCGAGTCAAAAGTCGAAACTGACAAAGATCTGGTAGATGTGTAGAGTGCCGGTTTTGGGAATCTGATGTAAATCACATGGTGTTTAACATCATATTCATGCCGATCAGATAGTAAATCTGAATGAAATCACAAAAGGGAAATCTTACTACATAGAAAAAAAGATGTTCCCAGTGATTATTTATTTTATATATTTAAATAATTTTGACCAAATGAAAATATGGTGATAAGCGGATTCGATGTTCACATTGTTTTCACAATGTCCATGTACGTAAGATATTGATGGGGAACTATATAAACTCTTCAGTTCTATTTTAGAGGTATCTATAAAAATATTATATAACTTCAAACTGTGAAAATATTGTAATATTACACTTTAAACAAGCATTAACGACTTACCTCTCAGTGCTTTTAATTTTTCTATATCCTTACATATTTATACCAATTGTATTAAAAATCGAAATCTGCTATTTCCATTAATCCCATAAATAGGAATTTCTATATTTTAATGATATTATTTATTGGTTTAGAGATTTTCAAGTTTATTCTATAGTTGTGCTTTTTATAGGGATGAATGCCATTCCTTTGAAGGTATCTCTAAAATTTAAAAGCTATTAGTAACTTAACGAAACTATGGTATTATTGTTTTTGAACGACATTTATAATATATAGATGATTTGGCAATAAAATTACTGAATATGAAGGCAGATTAGTCTCTTGTGATCACAATCATGTCACAATCATCTTGTGCTAATGTTTACAATATAAATAATTTATTTCTTCAAGCAAAGATAGTTTGGTATGTTTACAATACGTTAAATATTATGAGTAAGTAAAAATGCCAACATTTACAGATCCGAAAACCACAAAGGTAAATAATACTTTATTTACAAAAGAAGATGAAAAGCGATACCAAGGTCTCGTCGAAGCCAAGAAGCCCGCAGCAGCAGCTGCAGCTGCAACCACAGCTGATTCTGCCACCACAGCTGTTAAACCAGATCAAACTGCTACACCAAATCAAACGAATCAAGCCCCCGCGAAGCCAGGAGCCCCTGCTAGACCCGCCCCGATTAGTTGGGTCCAAAAATCGGCATTCACTCCGAAGCCAGCCCCAAAGAAGAAATCAGCTCCCGCATCTTTCTTGAAGCCAGGTTAGTTCCGTTAAAGCCATCATAATAAAGCTCTTTAAACATCGTACCTCTGTTTTTATACAATAGTGGAATGTAATTCCACAAGGAAACATACTTCCTTTATGATATATGCATATAAGGGATCGATATGGTTTATTACGTTGTCATTTCCTTGAAAATCTTTGTAAAATTTGAGCAAATATCACGTAAGTAATACTACCATCTTTAGGACCTCTTTTTTGAAGTTGATTGTTAATGAAAAAAATATTTTATACATATAACTATATTTTTATTTATTATTTTACTTTTAGAATAATATCATAATATTGATCTTATATTTGAACGTAATTTTGAAAAAATAAAACATAATAAACTCTATATTTTAAGTAGTAAAAGTGTCTTAGTCAATTTTGCATTCCGTTAAAAAAAATTCAAATCTCCACATTATTCTATTGGTTATTTTAAGGAGAAACTTGTAAATAATAAGCTAATTGCATAACATTACAGTTAAGACAATTTATTTACCAGAGGGAGACTTTGTACAAAAGTCGATTGCTTGTGTACCTCTGTCCCATTCGTGTTTCAACCGTAAAGCAGTTGTGTTTGCATGGCTGTGTTTCGGTTTGAAGGGTGGGATATGGCGTGAATTTACAGGGTACAGAGGAATAACATCTGAGTCCTCAGGAATGGCAATGCATGGGGGGTATCATGAGCGAAACAGTATACTCTGTTATGTCCATGGTACTGCTCATGTCTCTAGGCGACGGTTACACTTTCCATCAGGTGGGCCGTCAGCTTGTTTGCCATTCTAAGTTGTATAAAAAAAATATTTTCGTAATGAGAAAAAATTATGATGTATGAAAAATATTCAGTCATACACATTTTTTATGGAACTCTTGGATGTTAATTAAATTATTTAAATGTTACTTTACTGACTGTTGTTTTTTTTTTTTTTGCAGATAAAAAGACTGCGTGTGGTAAGTGAAACTCATTATTATCATTTCAGTTATTATGAGGAAGTTCTATGATCTTGAGATATCTACTTCCATCGATTTCCTGTTGGACTTTATAGATCGTGCTCGTTTAGTGGAGGGCCGCGAATTATAAAAGCGAACTCTTTCTCTCTCTCCTCCTCCGTACATTTGTATATGAAAAGCCAGGGAGATCCACTGTTCATATCAATTGAATTTAATGCGATCCTAGTGGTCTTATAGCATTACTCTTAGACCTCAGTGTTTTTTTTTGGACCTAGGCTGGCTCCTACACTTAAACCCCACTCTATAAGCCCTTAAGATTTGTAGAGGAAAATTTCAAATAAATATATCATAATGTTATAACCTGTCAATCAAGTCAATAAACCTATAATATATATATATATATATATATATATATATATATATATATATATATATATATATACTAGCTGACACCGTAAACGTTGTTTTACCAAAATTGTGAAATATAAAAATCGCGATTAAAAGACAGGGGTTGATCGTAAAACGATGAAAATTTAAAGTTGTGTGTATTTTTTCATAATAAAATAAAAATGGAAAAATTTGTTAAAAAAATAAAAAAAAAATTTTGGTGAGGGTCACCCTTATCATTGAGGGGTATGAAAAATAGATGTTGGCCGATTCTCAGACCTATCCAATATGCACACAAAATTTCATAAAAATCGGTAAAGCCGTTTCGGAGGAGTTTGGTAACAAACACTGTGATAGAGAATTTTATATATAACTTACAGATTCAATAAAGAGAATGATAACATACATTTTTGATTGTTTTTTTATTTCACATTTTTATTAAAGCACTATTAGGTAATAGTGCACCATATTGTAAATGTTCTAAAACAACAAAATGCTTAAATTAATATTATATTGTAAAATCTTTATTGTACACAATTTATACTGAATACATTAAAAGATTTAATATACAATGGCGGACTTATCCCATAAAGGGATCTCTTACGAACTTAATTAATATTTTTTTCCCTAATCAACAGAACAAAGGCAGCTGATGAAACAAGAATATCTATCAGACAACTGTTACGTTTTGCCGCCAATATTGAATGAAGCCCTCGATAAGGAGATGAAGGCTTTATCCGATTTGGTAAGTTGAACTACAACGTGACGTAACTAACAACAATTATAATATGGCAGTGAATTTACAGAGTTCAGAGGAATAACACCTGAGTCCTTAGGAATGGCAACGCATGGGGTTATCATGAGTGAAACAGTATACTCTGTTATGTCCATAGTACTGCTCATGTCTATAAGCGACGGTTACCACTTTCCATCAAGTGGGCCGTTAGTTTATTTGCCATTCTAAGTTGCATAAAAAAATTATAAGGGAGAAGGTATTGTTAGTAATGTGAACAACCAGTCCTATTGCTAGCAATATATCCTGTCAGGTCGACCTTTACGTGGTCCCGCCTGGAAACCGTTACACAGAGAATAGTGAGAGATGATAGGTGTGAATGAAAAAGCAGGTCAATTAGCCCATCGTGATGAATTCACTTGAAATTCAGCACGATGGTTTCCAGGGGGGACCACGTGGAGGTTGACCTTTTTGGGCATATTGCTAACAATGAGACTGGTAGTGTGCATTATTAACACCCCCCCCCCCCCTGCGTATACTGTTAGTGCAGGTTAGGTTACCATTTCATTATGATCCATTAAAAAAAAATCAATTATGACTAGACTATTATGAAATGATTTTAAGAAAATGTTTCACCTATTTTATTTAGAAAAGAAAACCATGCGACACCGGGGTTGGTTGCTAGTAAATTAAAAGTAAATTTGAATATTCTTTTTTTTTTTACATCAGTCTTCTTACCACAAAAAAAAATTTAATTAGAAATAGATAGATATACATTCAATACACGTTTAGACATCTTTCAACAAAAGCGTGTCTAACGTCTGTTTATTTCTACAAAAAGACTTAATAAGAAATAAAAAGTGTTTAAATAGTAATTATTATAATAATCTGTAGATAGAAATTGCAAATAAACATCACTACACTGACAACAATATATAAACACAGTTATTATTATTATATATATATATATATATATATATATATATATATATATATATATATATATATATATATACGAGGTCTGTCCGGAAAGTTCGTATAAAAGTGTTCTGGAATGCGAGAAAGAGGAGTGGGGAGGCCAGGTAAGCGCAGGACCCCCTCCTTATGTCCCTAACAATGCTTCAGTTCTGGTCTGACCGCCGTGCGGTGCGAACTGGCTTGTCACGCCATCTGTGAAGTTACCTCTTAACGAAACCCCGTCGGCATGGAGCCCGCTTCCGTTGAAGAGCAGCGCGTCGTAATCAAGTTTCTCTCGAAACTCGGCAAGAATGGCCGTGAAATTTTTGCCGATCTAATTCGATAAGACATCCGGGGAACCACGAACAAAAAAATCAAGAAAATCCCGCTCAAATGTCAAGACAATGTTGATTGTTTTTTTCGATGGTCGGGGGATTGTCCATCAAGAATTCGTCCCTCCAGGCCAGACAGTTGATGAAAAATTCTACGTCGATGTGCTCAGACGCCTCAAAGCTCGTGTGGCACGAGTTCGTCCAGAATTGGCGCGAGAGGGGCGTTGGATTCTTCACCACGACAATGCCCCTGCCCACACCTCTCTTGTTGTCCGTGAGTTTTTGAGTAAAAATTCCATTACGGTGACCGAACACCCCCCTATTCGCCGGATTTGGCCCCGTGTGACTTCTTCTTGTTCCCAAAAACCAAATTGGTACTTCGGGGGCGGCATTTGGGGGACATAAATGAGATAAAAAAAGCTACGACGGGGCAGCTGAGAAACCTACAACCAGAGGACTTTCAAGGAGCCTTCTCACAGTGGAAACGGCGTTGGCACAAGTGCATTATGTCACAGGGGGAGTACTTTGAAGGGGATAAAATTGATTTACCTGAATAAATTGTAAAATAAAATTTTTAAAAAACTTTTATACGTACTTTCCGGACAAACCTCGTATATATATATATATATATATATATATATATATATATATATATATATATATATATATATATATATATATATATATATATATATATATATATATATATATATATATATATATATATATATATATGTATAATAACAGGTGTGTCATTTATTGTGGCTTTACATTTTAGTACCTGGAGACATGCAAGCCTGCAAGCAATACTTCAGATGAGGCCAGTGTCCTTAAAAAAGTCGTCGAGGCCTTGGGTGAATTCGAATGGGTAAGGCATTGAAAAAATAATTATTTATTTCTAGTTAGAAAAAAAAAGAACATTTTCGCGAAAGTATTAATTTATGAACGATTAACTTAACAACCGTAAACTTAATTTATGATAGTTTTGACTTTAGTAGAAATTTAGTTCATATTGGTCTTTAGAGTAAAAGATTTCACTGAAATATCAAATCGAAATTTTAATTTTAGAAATAGGTACTGAATATGGCTTCTTAGAATCGACCCCAGTAACTGTAAAGGGAAGATTTGATATCAATTTCTTCATTCACTCGTGCGAAAACGAGGTGGGCTGGGTGAGCTAGGTTAAAATAAATTCAAAATTTCTGTGGTTTCCATATGTATTCGTCTACGGCCTCTACCGACGAATATTCCACATTTATATGTAATTTAAATTTCAGGCGATAAAACTACAACTAACAAAGCGATTGCTGAACATTCGGACAAACCTGAGTCTTCGTATATTCTCGTTGGGGAAGCGTACCACGCGTGAAGCAGTGGCGATGTTCCTGGTCCGATACGGCGTGATTGCTGTGAAGAAGTCCGGAAATAATAAAGATTTCTTCATAGCCGACTGTGACTCTTACGAGAGTTACGACGAACTGTGCGCCATGGGAAATATCCTGATGGATTCAGGTAAGCGGCTAGTCCAATCTGTTGGTTTTTGAGTGAAAAACAAAAATATCTACTTATTGCAGATCAAAAATGATTTATATATTTTTCCGAAAAAATACAGACTTCCGTTATAAACGAAGAGCTGTAGATACAACAATATCAATGTGTGCATTCATACTACAGTCCAGTCGGGCGGAGAAGGATTGTTAGTAATAGGGATGTTAATTCCCATTGCTAACAATAAACCTAGACAGGTCGATCTCCACGCGTTTCTCCTGGAAACCATCGTGAATAATTATAGTCAAATTCATCGCAATGGGTCAAGTGACCTGACTTTATCCTTACCTATCATTCCTCACTGGTGCCCCGCCAGTGTATACTGATAGAGCGGATGGGGTTACCATTTCATTATTATTTATTAAAAAAAACTACAGTCTAGTGTAGTTCCATTTCAGTCCTGATCAGTCTGGAAGTGTTTCTACTTAATAATATTCTACCAGACTGAGAATGTTTTTTTTTATTAGTATACACAAAGGTTACAATAAATAACATTTAAAACATTTATAGAAAAACAATAGTATGAATTAGATTGAGACCCAGACAGGTGTACACACAGCATGGTTAAAGCAGTTAAGAAACTGTATTAAATAACAACCAAATGCAAATAATAAAAACATATAAAAATGTAGACATGTCAAAGAGACTTAATGGCTGTTTGTAAAATGTTTTTGAAGGTATTCAGACACGACATAACTATTATAATTCGGTACATCTAGCCTTCTTGATAGATATGGAAAAATAAGAATGAGTAATTTGTTAATGTTAAGATTTGGATTGTAATTCATAGCTGTTGTTTATGGTCTTGCAGTTTAAGATTTTATTCTTACTTTACATGATTAAAGAACGTTGCCAATTGCAGAATCCTTTTCTAGCAAAAATAATTGTGTTAGAATACAGTTCGTTGAACCCTCCAATTTCTCTGTTCATCGTGTACAAGGGAGCGGGTGTGAAGATATCTTCACGCTTGATAATAGTACAGTTGTTAATGGTGATTTATCACTTCCAGGTCAGACAACATTAGCAGCGAAACCTCTGCACGTGACCATGCCAGTTAAGTACTGGAACAAAAATCTGCAGAAGAAAACTTCAGAATACAATCCGCCTGGAGGCTACCAGAAAAATAAAGAATTTTACGAAGATTTAGATGTGAATTTTGGCCCCCCAGCTGATGCAGTGAAAAGTGAGCGTAATGATAATAACGCTAGTGAAGACAGCAAGACTGCTGCAGAAACAAGTGATGATTTGATTGAAGTAACCAGTGTTGATAATAAAGAAATAATTGATGTTGACGCTGAAGAATGTAATGACGGTGATAAAGACGAAGGTATAAAAGCCAATGGAAATGAAAATGGCGCTGACTTCGAAAGCAATGATAATACTGGTGAAAAAGTTGCTGATGAAGGTACCAACGAGGATACATCTAAAGATGTCACTGGTGAGGAGGATGTTGATGATATTGAATTGAATGAGGATGATTTAGAAGATTATTGATTAAATAGTGTGTGAGTGAAAAAATAATATATCTATCTATTTTAAGTCTAGTATGGTCTGCATATTGGATACAGAGATTATAAATGTTTTGTCATAGTTTACGAGTACATTTTACCTGTTAAAATGAAGCAATTATTTTATTTGGTGCCTCTACCGTTCTTCTATTGTAATACATTTAGACTCTGAAGTAGACAAATTAATAACAAAAACAGTAAATATTAAATAAATTATATATCTGTCTATCTAAATTGTTTAAATGTAACTGTAACAAGAACTGCATCAATAGTATCTATTATTATTAGATAAGTACATAGATAGTAAGTTTAATATAGCAATATGCTAGATTGGTAACATTCTGTTTTTCAATAAAAAGTATTTCATTTATATTTTTTGTTTCTTTGAATCAATATTAATATACCATATGAATCATCTTTTTCTTTTTTGTACAATTTAGAATGGCAAACAAGCTGACGGTTCACCTGATGTGAAGTGGTAACCATTGCCTATAGACATGAGCAGTACCATGGACATAACAGAGTAAACTGTTTCGCCCATGATACTCCCCATGCGTTGCCATTCCTGAGGACGCAGGTGTTATTCCTCTGTACCCAGTAAATTCATCTCATAACAAATCGCTAACCAAAAATCTTCCACCGCATCGCTATCGTGGTATAGTCTTCTTCGAGTTCCACTCTTATCAGAAATTGGACAACAAAAAGGAAATCCTAATTTTTTTCCTGAGCCTGTCCAATACTTTAATATTTGTGACTCGGTCACGCCATGAGAGTTTCTTAATTGTGATTTGTCTGAGAGTCCATATCTCATAGCGTAGAGAATATAGAGCATCTTATTATACGTAATCTTAGATTAATATTTAAGTCTCGATCACACAGTACAACTAATTTAAAAAAAAGTCGAACGAGCCATCTTAATCAGAACTTTGATTTCTTAAACAGGGTCTCCAGTTTAAACTTATTAACCTGTTATATTAATTGCGTCCTTATGAATAATAAGGGTGATATAGTAAAAATGTTAATTATGTATATACTAGTTGTTTCTCGCGACTTTGCACGTATACATCAATTTATAAAGCATCCTTTGTGCTAAAATATATATAGGGATATAATCTATTCGTGTAGCAAATTTCATTCAAATCCGTAAAGTACACTGGCGGGACACCAGTGATAGATGACTGATGAGGATGAAAGCAGGTCTAACTGACCCATCCTGACGAATTCAACTAAAATTAGCCACGATGGTTTCCAAGGGAAACCACGTGGAGTTCGACCGGATAGGGTATATTGCTAGTAATGGGGCTATTTGTTCCCATTACTAATAATCCCTTTCCCTTCGCCTTATTGCGGTTGCCAACCCGCCTACCAGCGTGGCAATTACTTGTAAAATCCCCAAAGGAGGAGACCTATGTACAGCACTGAATAATTACCGGATAATATGATGCGATTCCTGTGGACTAAGGTGTGTTTTCCTACCTTGCAATCATCAATCTCAATGCTTTATTTCATCTTTCATTCCGAAATATAATCATACGCACGCTACGCAGCTGCACGGTACGCAGCTGATTAGCAGCAAAAAGATGAGTGGAATAGAGGTATCCAAGACAATGACTTTTGTATGAATTATGAAGTTTCTTGGACAATCGATTAAATTGATCATAAAAGGAAGGAGTCTTTATACTAAAAAAATACTGCCATCTATCGTCTATTGCTGAAAATACAAAGATCAATGCAACGAATTGCACTTTATATCATCTCAATATGTATACATATTTGTAAATAAATAAATTATGTATTTATGTATTTGTAAGCGCTGAAAGTCTAAAGTAGCGAATTTTGAATTCGTTGTATCAAGTGGTTCTGTAAGATTTGGTATACTGGTGCAGAATTGAAAGTTCTTGAATAATCCGTGAAACCACTGAAAAGCTCAACGCGAATAATTGTGCGATCACCTTTATATAAAATACCTACGAAAAAGACTTGTTTATTCGGTGACTCAATTTGTGAGTCATTTTTAACTTGCGATTATAATATTGATTTTATTTGGTGCCTAAAAGTAACCACTTGTGTATAACAAATTTATCTACTTGGTAAGTAATGACTTAGGCTAAGGGCTTAGGTTATATTAAAAAAAAAATTATATTATTTATCGCATATTAACGAGATAGGCCCTCTATTATGTACCTACAATGAGTTTTCTTTGCCAATAATTTTATTACTAAATTACTATGTGATATGTAAAAATATAAATTATAATTTTCTTAGGGTTTTCAGTAATAGGTATTCGATCTCGATTCGATCTTTGATTAAGATAACCTGCTTTTTCTATGATTAGACTAGGCGAGGCATTTTGGACATATTTTTCATATATTTAATAGATTTTAAAATTTGTTAAAACTTTGGATCAATATCGATCTATTTTCCTGTTGTACTTTGAAGATTAGGTCTGTTCAACGTTTTCATAGTTCAATCTAAGATTTTCTATTTGGATATGATTTATATAATTGATATTTTTATTCAACATTAAAAACCTCAATAGAGAATTTTTTTATAACATTCCTATTCCTTATAAATATGAAAAGATATCAGATATAAAAAAAAGTTACATTAATTTTACGAAATACTTAGTTTTATTTATCGGTTTCCATGGATCGATTTAAGACCTATTGATCGAATAGATTGAAACTATCTATATTTGTGTTAATTACCAATTTCAGATCAGTGTTGCCAATTTACGTAATCGGTTTTCTGCCTGATTACCAACGTTATGCTATTTAATAGAGTATGTGAATTATAAATTTTGGATAGTATCTGCGGAATACCAGATACGAAACTTTTATAATAAGATTACTAATACGAGATACCATTTGTAATGGTTATGCAAAACAGGATCGGAAATGTTTCTTTTTTTTCTTGCCCTGTGTACGCTTTTATTTTTGAATGACTCAAATTATTTACCATATCAGAAGCAGTAGTAATGTTTTTATTAACTGTTAGAATTAAATAGTTATATCACTGTTGTACAAGGAGAAAAAAGAGGTAGATTTTTGAATATTTGCTAAATTACATGATTTTATTGCCTTTTTAAAATGCATATAACATTTCTGTGCAATTCTCTTTCTATGATGTGAATAATCAAAATATCTTTTTAAAAAAAAATCTATAGAACTAGATTTTTTTTATATTGAAATATAAAATATTATTAATTATTAGTCTATGTTTAAAATAATTGTATAAAACATAGATATAGGCAAGTTAGTCTATGTATGAGTACAAGGTAATACACGTTAATCTTACAAAATTAATATTTTTATTTTTGTTTATAGGTATCACAGAAAAAAATACTTATATTAATTATGACTCGTATAGAAACTTACGTATTTTTTGATTTGGAAACCACAGGATTACCAAAAGAAGAAAGGAACCGCACAAAAATAACAGACCTCTGTTTTATTGCTACATCTAGAAATGATATAGAAAGTACAAAACACGGTGATACACCGCCTGTTTGCAAACTATGTTTACTTTTTAATCCAGAGAAAGAAGTAAATCCTAAAGCAGCAAGCATAACAGGACTAACAAGAGAATATTTAAAGAACTGTTGTACATTTTCTGAAAAAATAAACACGATAATTGCATTTTTAAATGATCTGAAAAAACCTATTTGCTTAATCGCCCATAATGGGAATTGTTTTGATTTTAAAATTCTCTTGATGGAATTTGCAAGTGCTGGAAGGTCTCTTCCTGAAGATCTACTTTGTGTAGATTCACTGATTGGCTTTAGAAAATTATTAAAGGGTACTCAAATAAATTACATTAAATTGAAAACTCAAGATAATGATATTATAACGGATGACGAGGATGAGAGTTGGCCAGCTCTAAATATTAGCAATAGTGATTGGAATGAAATTGATAATTTAAGTACATCTCTATGTAAAATGTCTTTTGAAAACACAAAAAGTAGTTCACCAAGCCAGAAGGAATCTTTTAATCTGTCTGATATTTACAAAAGATTACTTAACAAAAAGGTCACAGATGCTCACAGAGCTGAAGTTGATTGTTTTATGTTATTGGAATCTGTTGTGGCCATAAAACATCTGTTTCTTCCATGGGCTGATGTAAACTTTAGAAATCTTAATGAGATAGTACCTTTTAAACCGTACTAAAATGGTTTCATTACATTTTAAATGTTGTATTTGTGTGGTATTATACTGATAACACTGGGATATAGAACAGTTTAAAATAACAAAAAATATTTTTATTACAATATTTTTATTACTTTAATTAAGTATTAATATTTTATACCTATGTTTGTAATCATGACATGATATTATACTATGAATTTGAATATATATTAAGAATATCGTCTTTATAATAATTTATTATTGTTGAATTAATATTAATGAAAAATTATATTCACAAATAGTTTCATTATTATTCTCTTATTTCCATCCTTCTTATACATAAAAACTGACATTTTCTACAAATCTATTTGAACTAAGAGAATGTTCTGTTTGATAATTTTACAAATAAAGCCGTATGTCTTTATTCATAAAAACATACTGGCTTTATTCATACAGCCATACGGCTTAATTCATAAAAACAAATAAATATAATAGGTACATTATAGGTAGGTAACTAGACTTATCTAACAAATCTAGTCAATGCTATACTACTTGACGCCATTCCAGTTTTTATTGTTCGGTGAAAATGTAATGATAATATCTATACGCTGGCAGTGCATCAGTGAGAGATGATAGTTGAGAATGAAAGCAGACCTGTTACCTCATGATGGTTTTCAGTGAGAACTGTATGGAGTGAACCTGATAAGTGTATGTTCCTATTAATGAGAGTTATCTTTTCCATCGCCGCATCATTGTCAGGCGAAAGAATATTTTGTGTACCAGTTAGGAGTATAATCAATAACAATCATTAAGTTTCATACAGTTTAACCTATAACTAAATTAAATTGTTTTAAAGATGGTTACGGACACTAAAAACTAATCACATCAAAAATACTCACTATTACAGCTTTATTTAAAAATAAAAGTTCAATAGTACATTGTAATACTCAGTGTATAGAAATTACTATCGATTAAATTACATTTACCTATTTTTATAATAGTTATTGATACAGTTATAATAAAATTGTTGTTTATAATTGGTTATATAAAATTATTAATTTAATACACTCGATTATTAGTGACTTTTATGATGGAAAAAAAAGAAAACGAATATCAGTAATATTATTGAGTATGATGCTCCTATCAATTACTGATTTATAATCGATTGATGTTTATCCAATAGAGTTGATCATCGATTATAACATATTTACTTAAACATCAAATAACGTTCCATCACTATTCGACAATTTTTTTGTCAACTATTTTCCTATTCGTATTTGGGAATATCTTTTTTACAAATTAAGCCTATAATTAGATATAAAATAAGACTACATCTTTAGATTTTAAGAAACCTCTCTTTAGTGCAGTGATTATCAATTTTATGGTCGTATTGAACAGTTATTCATTGATTCTAACCTAGTTAAAGCAAACCTAGAGTGTAAACAAACAATAAATATATACCGGGCTACCTTTTATACATACACTCTACTTTATTAATAAATATTACGATAAAAAACATATTTTTTTTTTCGATATGACAGTAATAGCCGTTCAGGGTGTTCCTAAAAAAGTAAGTACCAACTTTTTAAATTAAGAATGCAGAATTATTGTTATTAATTAAAAAAAAAATCATAATCTTCTTTGGATTATATACTGTTTATAGAATACAATTAATACAAATAGTGGAAATATAATATAAGGCTACCCAATGAACGATTTCTACCTAACCATCAGATCATGAGAAGTCTTATGATTATGTTCTGTTTTTCGATCTAAATCTGAATGATTATTAAGTTAATTTAATTAAAAATTTTTTCTGTAGAAAACAATAATTGCAGGGCTATTAATTGCTTAAATGTCAGAAAAATTTGAAAGAAATTGGGTCAGTGGGTATCCTTATGGATGGTTTTTGGTATATGAGTTGGTTATACCTAAATTTAATACTTAGCATCTAACAGCCCATAAATAATATAGTATAATTTGTAAAAATGATTATTTACATTTAATTTATTAGTATCATTTCTGCCATCTAAACTGTATATTTGAACTCACAGAAAAAAGGTTTAAAAAAAATTGAAAAAGAATAATATAAAAATAAAAAGGCCAGCTAGGCAAACTGCCAGCAATAATCTTATTATAATAAATTTTTACATTACAGTGGGACCTGAAAGGGCTGGTGAAGGTTTTGGCAAAAGTGGTAAGGGGCCAGTTTCAGGCTATAAACTTTCAGCCCAGTACCCGGCGCCAGCAGTGTAAAGTTGCCTATTTAAAACTTGCAAAATATTTAAATGCCGCACAGGTGGTGAATGTAATTAACAGGCATGACTTTAAGAAGGCCAATCTCTCTGCTTTCATACCTGACCATGTACCTGATGTAAGTAAAAATTTTAGTTTTTTTTTAAGTTGCCTTACTAGAATGGTATAAAGGAATTCTTGGTGAAATTTGTTTATCAGGGAGAAAGAGATTCTCAGTAACGAGTTCTAACAGCCCCACTGTTAGCAATATACCCTATCAGGTTGACCTCCACATAGTACCCCCTGAAAACTAGTGCTTAATTCTTGTTGAATTATTCAAGATGGGACAACTGACCTGCCGTCATCCTCGTCTAACATCTATCACTAGTTCCCCACTATCATATACTGATAGTGCAGGTAGGGTTACTATTCCATTTACACCTATTAAAAAACTTTATTCATCCATTGGTCACAGAGTTTTTATTGTATCATAATGGAATGGTAACTGTGTTTGCATTGTTGGCTTATATGGGTAGGGTATCAGTAAAAAATGATAGGTAAGGATGAAGTCAGTTCAATTAGTACATTATGGTAGTCATTAAAAATTATTTTCTATTTTATAAAAGCTTTTAATGTATAAACTTACATCACAAAGCCTAACTGCAGTTGCCATTCGGCCTGTCAAGTATGGCAACTACTGGTAAAACTCACCTTATGGGGAAGGCTTATTTTCAACAGTGGAGAGTTATGGGCTGAAATAATAAAAATATGTGAAACACTATGGACATCAGTAAACATACTGGCACACCCACAGTACACATGCATTGCCATTCCTGAATATTAAATGTTGCCATTGCACCCTGTATTTTCACTTATGTTTCCATACATTACATACAATAATTTGTTTATATTTTGCTTTCAGTTGCCAATGTCCACGAAACGGAAGGATGTAACAAAGAAGACAATGCGTAAAAAGAAAACACTAGACACTATTGAGCCTACATTAGTAAGAACGTTATTATTTCTTATTATAACTGACTTAATATTGTTCAGATTGATGGTTTGATCCCTATTCGTCCAATTTCGCTAACAGAGTCTCCCTTAAATTTTATTTCTTTATACAACTTAGAATGGCAAACAAGCTGACGGTCCACCTGATGGAAAATAGTAATCGTCGCGTATAGACATGAGCAGTATATTTTGTAGTAACAATATGTTTTGTTTATCAGGTTCTGAGTACCACGCACAATGAACTATTGTCAGAGTTACAATTCAAGTTCACTGGTTTGCTAGAGCTCAGTGAGAAGAGCAAACACAAGTTATTGACTGATATTGCACGGGTAATGTATAGTCTTATCCTTAAAAATTGTGTTCATTGTGTATATATATATATATATACGAGGTTTGTCCGGAAAGTACGTATAAAAGTTTTTTAAAAATTTTATTTTACAATTATTCAGGTAAATCAATTTTTATCCCCTTCAAAGTACTCCCCCTGTGACATAATGCACTTGTGCCAACGCCGTTTCCACTGTGAGAAGGCTCCTTGAAAGTCCTCTGGTTGTAGGTTTCTCAGCTGCCCCGTCGTAGCTTTTTTTATCTCATTTATGTCCCCCAAATGCCGCCCCCGAAGTACCAATTTGGTTTTTGGGAACAAGAAGAAGTCACACGGGGCCAAATCCGGCGAATAGGGGGGGTGTTCGGTCACCGTAATGGAATTTTTACTCAAAAACTCACGGACAACAAGAGAGGTGTGGGCAGGGGCATTGTCGTGGTGAAGAATCCAACGCCCCTCTCGCGCCAATTCTGGACGAACTCGTGCCACACGAGCTTTGAGGCGTCTGAGCACATCGACGTAGAATTTTCCATCAACTGTCTGGCCTGGAGGGACGAATTCTTGATGGACAATCCCCCGAACATCGAAAAAAACAATCAACATTGTCTTGACATTTGAGCGGGATTTTCTTGATTTTTTTGTTCGTGGTTCCCCGGATGTCTTATCGAATTAGATCGGCAAAAATTTCACGGCCATTCTTGCCGAGTTTCGAGAGAAACTTGATTACGACGCGCTGCTCTTCAACGGAAGCGGGCTCCATGCCGACGGGGTTTCGTTAAGAGGTAACTTCACAGATGGCGTGACAAGCCAGTTCGCACCGCACGGCGGTCAGACCAGAACTGAAGCATTGTTAGGGACATAAGGAAGGGGTCCTGCGCTTACCTGGCCTCCCCACTCCTCTTTCTCGCATTCCAGAACACTTTTATACGAACTTTCCGGACAGACCTCGTATATATAAAATTATATATATGTGTATAATGTATAATATATATTTATGAACTTACTATGTTTGTCGTTTCTGACAATTGTTTAATTATTAAAATTAACAGTAAACAATTGAATTGACAATAAAATTCCGCTCAGGACTAAGGATTCGGGATAGTCTTAAAACTAGTCGAGTTTTTTCGATCAAATTACACATTAAGTTCTACCGGTAGTTATTACATTAAATAAAAATTCCATTATACATGTATATATACAATGAAATCACTTTCCATGAGGTGGACAGTCTGTTTGTTTGCCGAATAGAATCACAAACAAGCTGACCGCCCACCTGATGAAAAGTGTTAACCATCGCCTATACACATTAAAGGAACTATTAACTTCATGAATACATTTCCAACAATTTTTACATTTCCAGATAATTTTGGAACGTCTTAAACAAATATCAGATTCGGACAGTACTGCGGTCTCTCAAGGTGGTTTCCATCTCAGCAAGCTCTACCGGAAGATGCACCCTCACACCGGGGACTTTCAAATGATCATGTCCACTTTGCATACCATCGAAGACGCTGAGGGCGTGCCCCGCTCTCAGATACAAGAGAATGAATTGATTTCTGTGCACGCCGAGCCTAAAAGTACTTTGTTTTTTATTTATTTGTTCATGGCAAATGGAGATGTCTCATATTGAGGCAAGTCATTGTACAGCATCTCAAATAATAAAAAAAAAAAAAAATAAAAGTAGGAGAATTTTTTTACAACATAGGGAGCAAACGAGCATGCGGCTCACCCGATGGTAAGTGACTACCACCACCCATGATCACAGACAACACCAACGCCATTGCAGGTGTGCTGCCGGCCTTTTAAAAAGGAATATGCTCTTTTCTTGAAGGTTATGATTATTAGATAAAATGACATGAAATTAATTTATTAAGTAGTTTTCTGGTATAGAAGTTTTTTTTATATATATAATGTGCACTGACAGGTCCCAGAATTTATACAAATCTGAAAAATATATATATAAGTATTATAAATTTGAGATTTGTAAAAATGTATGTTAGTTTTTGGTACTAAATTACGTTTAAATGGCTAAACGAATTTGAAATTTGGTACACGGGTAGAATATATGGGAGACTTAATATTCTGATTCAAGCGGCCGAACCCGCGGGAAACGGTTTGTGTATAATATTATTTTTATTATAATTTTCAATTTTGTTAACCCGTTTTTATTTTTATGCCAAACGACGACGAGTTCCTCAGCCCCCTCAAGAGGGCTCAGGTTTGTGCACCATGTGAATTATTTATGAACAGTTTAATTTCAGTTATTGATAACGTGCCCATGGATAAAGTGCATTCAATAGGCAGCAGATATACGGACAAGATAACGAGAAAGGTAAACTAACCAAAACTAAAACTAACATGCTTTATTTAGACTTATAATTTTCGTGTTTATATAATCAGAAACCATTATCGACTGTATTTATAAGAGACTTAGCATGTAAATTATTTTTAAGAGAGTTGTGGATTTTTGTATTAAATACAAATAAAACAAAATGCTATAAAATGACCTGTTTATGGGACATTTAAGTAATATTTTAATAATGCAATTTTGGAAAGTTGTGACCTTTCCTGTTCCTCGTGTAACGCGTCGTAACATAGTTTATCACCCCCCCCCACCCTAAACGTTACATAACACTGAAGTCTTGAATCTAAATTTTTATCTAAAAGTCACAACACTAATTAATACTGATAACGAAAACAAAATAAATAAATGACTTACAATACATTCGAGGAATTCCCCACAAACCATAAACAAAAAGGGTTGCCAACTTGGGTGATTTTAATTCGCTAGTTTTTTTTTTTTTAAATAAAAAATTTTGCTTAACGTGTAGTTCGAACATTCATAATTTTTATTCTTTTGAAAAATTTCCAATAATCAATAATGTATTATATATGAATGTAGAGTATACATATAAGTAATCTTATTGCAGGTCAATGATCATATAAAGGGTCTGGAAATTGAAGACGCAACAGGTGCCTCCGAAGAGGTTATCGCTCGGAGAAAAGTGCGGCTGGAGCTTAAAAATATCGCGATGTATATACCAATGGTATGACCGCTTCTCTTTTGTTTTATAATAATACTAGTTGACCCCTCCAGGCTTTCCATGTGTATACAGGTAGATCTCTAATTTTTTAACCAATTTCAAAAAGAAATAGGTTCTCAATTCGTTTGTTTTTTTATGTTTGTTTCTTCACAAAAATATGAGTTACCACACCCTAACGCTACTTACCCTACCCAGCTGCTGCTATAAATTACTCAATAGTTACTATATCTCATAATGCTTATTATATAGATACAAGTTATAATAATAATAATAATAATAATACTCAAATAATAATCAAACCGAACTCGAAGCCCTGGATCGGAAAGTCCGCACAACTATGACCCTCCATAGAATGCATCACCCGAAATCGTCAGTCATGAGGCTGTATATCCCGCGGAAAGCTGGTGGTCGAGGCTTGTTAAGCGTTAAGACCATGCACAACCGCGAGATTGACAGCCTCAGGACATATTTTCTGGAGAAAAGAGACGAGGGTTTGCATAGAGAGGTCATAGAATGTGACAAAGGATTCACCCCTCTTTCTCTGGCTAAAGAGGACTGGCGAAAACCCGAAGTTTTGGGTACCTCTCAGCGGGAGGCCGTATGGAAAGAGAAGGAGTTGCACGGAAGGTTCTTCAAAGCCCTTCACGGGCCGTACGTAAACACGAAAACCTCCGTGCACTGGCTACAGTTCGGTGATCTCTTCGGAGAGACCGAGGGTTTTGTCTGTGCAATACAGGATCAGGTGGTTAAGACGAACAATTACCGAAAGCACATTCTGAAGGATGGCACTGAGGACATCTGTCGAGCATGTCGCCATCCCGGAGAGTCACTCAGACATGTGCTTTCGGGTTGTTCAGCTCTTGCCAACACTGAGTACTTGCACAGACACAACCAGGTAGCCAAAATACTCCATCAAGAGCTAGCTCTGAAGTACGGCCTCGCGAATGAGAGGTTGCCGTACTATAAGTATGAGCCCCAGCCGGTCTTCGAAAGCGACAGCGTAAGGCTCTACTGGGACCGATCCATCATCACGGACAGGACCGTTCTTGCGAACAAACCTGATATCGTGGTGATGGATCGGGCACTCTCGAGGGTGTTTTTGGTGGATGTCACCATACCGCATGACGAGAACCTCGTGAAAGCCGAAACCGAGAAGAAGAGAAAATATCTCGACCTGGCTCACGAGGTGACCGAAATGTGGGGGGTGACATCTACCGAAATCATCCCAATCGTTATGTCGGTGAACGGTCTTATCCCAACCAGTCTCGAACAACATCTCAGACGGTTGGGATTCAGAGGCGGTTCACTTCCGGGAAAGATGCAGAAAGCGGTGCTCTTAGATTCTGCCCGCATTGTACGCCGGTTTCTCTCCCTGGGGCCCTGAACCCCGGCCGACTGTGCTTCTGCCGGGGGTTAGTTGCCATCTCCTCTCCTTAAGAGGGGAGATGAGAATTTTAGTGAAATTTAAAAAATAATAATAATAAACTCTTTATTGCGCACAGTAAAGATGTATACAAGGAGTATTTATACAGAACGTGCATATACAAAAGGCGGCCTTATCGCTACAAGCAATCTCTTACAGACAACCTGGACATTATACAGATACTTACAGATTGATTCAATAGAAATTTCATCAAAATCGGTTCAGTAGGTTAGTTTTTCAATCATAATAACTGGTTTTGTCACAGTTGAAATAGATTTTTCTGTAACACAATCTTTTTTTAAAATAAAATATAACTCATGTTATTCACTAGTAATGTAGTTTTCTGTAGATGAAAGAATTTTTAAAATTTATAGATTTTTTTTTAATGTTTATCCATTACAAACAAATAAATCAAATCCTGTATAGAGGAGCTTAGTAGACAAGTCACTCTCTTGCAGGATGTAGCTGACCGAGTTATTTTACTCTACCTCCACTTACCGGCTCCATTTTTTCTTATCGGGACAATAATTATACTTACTGTCTCTCAAGCTACATAATTTTCGAACGAATCAATTTTCGAAACGGTCGAGCGGTATCGGAGTTTAGTCTGTGGTGTGATTAAACATCCGTGACATGCGATTTTTATATTAATACTTAAGATGGAAGACTGGCGTGACCAATATGTATATATCTATGTAAAATTTAGGTTTAAAGAGTTTTTGTAATCATTACCAGGCTGGTTTCCATTAATATAAATTCAGAGGCACAATTTGTTAATGAAAGTGTTTATTTCATAGGATAGTTATGAATTAAAATATAGTTATGTATGCCACTAAGAGGGAGACTTTGTACAAAAGTCGATTGCTTGGGTACCTCTGTCCCAATCGTGTTTCAACCGTGAAGCAGTTGTGTTTGCATGGCTGTGTTTCGGTTTGAAGGGTGGGATATGGCGTGAATTTACTGGGTACAGAGGAATAACACCTAAGTCCTCAGGAATAGCAACGCATGGGGGGTACATGGGCGAAACAGTATGTGTGTGTACTGTTATGTCCATGGTACTGCTCATGTCTATAGGCGACGGTTAGCACTTCCCATCAGGTGGGCCGTCAGCTTGTTTGCCATTCTAAGTTGCATAAAAAAATAATATGATAAACAGTAGCAAAATAAGTTGTCAATGTGGTCGATTCTGGGGCATCATTTCATTAAACTTAGGTCTAAAATTAAAATTTCAATTTAATATCACAGCGACATCTTTATTGTAAGGACCAACATGAATTAATTTTTTAATATATGAAAGTCAAAATAACTGTATTTTTAATTTATGATGGCCCATAAAACAGTAATTCTGCGAAAATATAAAGTAATGTGATAGGTTTAGATAGAGAAATGAAACCATACAATGTGGCAAATGTTTATTTTTTTTTTTTTCAGATAATAAAACAAACAATAACGGACAACTTAAATCTGTCGGCCAACAAGTACCAGAGAGTTCGAGTAAGTATCAATTATTGTAATAATTTTTTTTATACCATAAAGGTGGCAAATAAGCTTAAAACCCGTGTGATGGTAAATGGTCACTGTAGCCTATGGACGCCTGCAATATTAGGGGTGTCACGTGTGCCGAACCCGAAGAAATCTTAATATATCTTTTTTGAAGAACCTTATACTGTTGTTTCTAAGGAAAACCTCGGCAGGAAGTTTATTTCACAGCCTGAGGAGGAGAATATTTTCTTGAAACTGCACTACATGTGACCATTTAGTTATAGTAATAATAAGTACCTATTCAATCAATTGTGGGAATGTAATACAAAATAATTGTTCACAAAAGTTGATTGATCTTAGCTCTCTAGAACTCGAACCCCTAGCATTGCGTTGAGACGTTGCGTTTCTTCTGCGACCAGCTTTTTTAATGGGTGAAAATGGTATGGTAACCCCGCCTGCGCTATTGGTCTACACTGGCGGGGCACCAGTTAGATAACATTAGGTCAATTAGCCCATCGTGATAAATTAGTCACGATAGTTTCCAATGGGAACCGCGTGGAGGTCGATCTGATAGGGTATATTGATAGCAATGGGCACTAACCTCTCCATTACTAACAATCCCTTCTCTCCGATTAATACCAGCTGCTGAATTTCATTATCTTACAACCTTCCAGAAGCTAGTTTCTTCTCAACCATCTAGTTGAGTAGTAATCCTGCACATTGCGTTTCTGTATACATTGCCTTCCACACACAACCAAATATGGAACCCAGCAGCAGTATTTCCGAACAAATATTGTAATATTAATATCACTGAAATCTTCAAGAAAATCACATACTGCTTTTTAAACAGTCGGCAATACAACTACAATTTTTCTTACGTTGCGGGTGCCTATGGGCGGTAATGACTTACCATCAGGTGTGCCGCATGTTCGTTAGCCTCTAAGCCTATATAAAAGCTGGATTTTTTCATTGATGACAATGGATTGGTATGCCCTCACTGGTACTCCACCGATGTACACCGGCGGGGCATTAGTGAGGAATGATGGATGAGGGTAAAAAGACAGATCAGTTAGCTCATCGTGATGAATACATCTGGAATTCAGTACGATGGTTTCTAGGGGAGAACACTTGGAGGTCGACCTGGTTGGTTATATTGCTATTAACTAGTTCTAGCCCTTAGTCGCCTTAACTACCAATCCCTTTCTCTCCAAAACTAGATTAGACCTTGGTACGATGATAATCAATCTCTCCGATGCAGGTCTACGGAGAACCATACCTACCTCTTCAAGACCAGCTGAGTCCCGTGTTGCGGCGCTTTAAAGCGAACAAGATCCACAGATCGGACCGTTTGTATAACATATTGCGGTTTGTTGTGCCCATAACCCAGTTCCCAAGACTCGTCACACTGATGGATGGCAAAGTACTTGGTGAGTATGAACAATGTGTACACTATTTTACTAATAAATCTGTAATTAAACGATATCTTTAAATAGGACATGTTTAAGGAAAATTGATTTGTTAGTTTTAATAATAAACGATAAAAAACAAATAATTTATTTTTGTTATCTGTTTGCATGTTTACGCAAAGTACTATAATTACTGCACCAAATTGAATGTGGTTATCAGTTATTCCTGAACGTGCAACTTAAAATCTCTAAGTGGTCATACTTGCAAGAGCAATATGTACGAAGTTGCGGATAAAAGCTCTTATGATAAAATTGCAAGAGCTGAAAAATTTGTATAAAACTCGTTTGCTTGGGCATTCTGTCCCATTCGTGTTTCTACCGTAAAGCAGTTTTGTTTGCATGGCTTTGTTTCAGTTTGAAAGGTGGGATATGGCAGTAAATTTATAGAGTACAGAGGAATAACACCTAAGTTTTCAATTCTGTAAACAATAATTGTTACCACATTTTAATATTCATGATTTAATATTCGCGTAGCATTTGGTGAAACTAGATTTAGAGTAAAATTTAGAAAACAAGTGTTTTTCTACCATAAAATTCCGTCTAATAACAAAAAATAGTATCTAATTAATTTTTGAAAAGTTTTAATCGGTAACCGTTCAGAAATTTATTATAATACCTTTTTTTTATACGTCTTAGAATGGCAAACAAGCTGACGGCCTACCTGATGGAAAGTGGTAAACGTCGCCTATAGATATGAACAATACCATGGACATAACAGAGTATACTGTTTCGCCCATTATACCCCCCATGCGTTGTCATTCCTGAGGACTCGGATGTTATTCTTTATTATTGTTATTGTTTTTGTGGAAGGTACAAGTTTTTGTTCAATTAACTCTGTTCATAAGCTTAGTTTAGCAATAGATGTCACTGTACAAGATCTGCAGAAAATATGTATTAAAATATTATATGTAATACAAAGTGTAATAAATCCTAATATTATCAATGATACAGGTGGAGGGAAGCTGATAATCAGGTCATCAGATACACCGGTATTTAAAGTTTCTGAAAATTTTATAACGGAAATGAAGGAGAATTATGGGATAGAGTACAGTCAGGAAGAAGAAAAGATTGACGACGATGTGAATCCAGATAATGATGGTCAAGACCAACCTGAGGAAGGCCAGGAAAACGCGGAACAGAATTGGGATGAACCTTGGGAATAAAGTGTACCGCTCTAAAATGATAATTTTAATAAATTATATTATAAGTCTGTTTTTATAAATTTATCTTATATGCTCACTTACTGGGATAAAAAATAAATTAGTCCTCCATCTTATATAGTTCGTGTATACCAAATTTCATAGTAATTGGTTGATGCCCTTACAGACAAACTAGTTATTTTTATATTACTACTAAATATTTTTTTAATTCCTAATTTGATCTCATAGAGCACCGTGAGGTGATGCATAATGGCCATAGTGACAGATTTTATGCTTCATCATCATCATTTTAGCCATTATCCGTCCACTGCTGGACATAAGCCCCAACCATAGGGCGTTGTATTTATATTGGTCGTATTTAGGATATACATAAATACATATATTTTTTTTATTTATGTACACTTTATTGCACCATTTATAAAATAGTAAACTCATTTAACTGTAATAAGAAATGACACAAAAGGCGGCCTTATCGCTAAGCAATCTCTTCCAGACAACCTTTGGGTAGAGAACATTGAGAAAAGAAAGAAAAACAAAGGGTAGGTGGTGCACTATTATATATAAACAAATATATATACATATATATGTATATACACACACACATATATATATATATACATATATATATATATATATATACATATATATATATATATATACATATATATATATATATATACATAAATATATATATATATATATACATAAACAAATACATACATAAACATACACAAACTTAAAAGTACACATACAACAGGAGATAGTGACACTGTCATCATAGTCGTAGACTACTGACGGATCTGACAAAGATTAAATATATAGATCCGTCGGTATTCTACAACTATGACAACATAGGTGCATAATCGAATAGTAAATTTAAAAAAGAACAGATGTAATAATTATATACCCATTCATGCTTATTAAAATTATGATATAAGCCTTCATCAAAAACCTTTATAGAGAACGATTTTAAGCTTTTACGATTTTATCTATAGATTTCCAACAATATATTTGAAGTTTTCACTGAATTAAATACTATGATGAGTATATCATTTAACTTTTATGAAAGTAATGTCCTTGTCTCCGAGATTTTTTTATTACTATACCTATTTACTCCCCTATAATCGAGTGTATAGGCTTAAGTACTAGAATTCTGTAACTGTGGTTATTCTTTCATAATAGGAATGTTAATGTTGATTTTTCAACTATTCATGCCATTTGCGTGTGGTAGAATTTGTGATTTAAATTTTTTTAGAATTTGTGATTGGTTGGGTTGGGTTGTTTTGTGTGTATGATCTTATTATAATAAAAGAATATAAATATTAAAAAGTTATTTATTATGTGAGTGTTTCTTCCGAGCGTATATATTCACCAATGTCTGCTTGGTGGAAAGCAATTGTCGCTAATGGATCTGCATGTCTGCACTCCATTGTGTTTCGAGCTGCAACTCCAAATCCAATAGGTATGTCTGACATAGTGTATATAACTACACCCTGGTGTTTGGGGGTATTTTCTGTAATTCGTCCTAACCCTGTAATCAAGATTTAATAATGTTAGCAATAGTTTTTTTCCTATGCAAAAATAGAAGTCTTAAGTTCGTTAATACTTTATAGCAATTACAAATGTGCTGTTAATCGAAATAATGCCGCCCAGATATTTATTAATAGCAAGTGCCTATAGGCTATAAGCCTATGCCTACTCTAGAATTGTCTGTTGCCCATTCTAAAGTGTAAGGCTTTTAATTATCGACAAAGACATGTGACATAATGTGCCTTATGCCTTAGAGATCTCTTTTTTTACTGTCACTGCAACACTAGAGCTTTCACATGCCTATTACTGGTTCTGAAAAAACAATATCCCTCCTGGAAAATAAATATATTAATGCCAGTGCCACACTTATATGTTAATCCAGCAAGGTATGTTGAGAAAGAAAATCAATTTCCAGGGCTTAGTCATTATTTATATAGTTCAGAATAGGGTTTTTTAATGGATGATATATGATGATGGTTTTGTGTGCGCTAATGGTGCTGGTGGGGCACTAATAAAGTGAGAATGAAAAGACAGATTCGCCAATCATGTTGAATATACCTGGAACTCGGCATGATGGTTTCAAGGGGAAACCACATAGGGGTTGACCTGAGGGGGTATACTGCTAGCAATAGGACTGGTAATTTGCATTACTAACAAAAGTTTAGAATAGATTTCTGTGACTTCTATGTGAGATGAGTATTACAGAATAAAATAATAATCTCCAAGATACACAGTTACATTCCATTCATCACATTATCACTTTCATTTTTAGTCCTCTTTAGTATGTTCTTATGGTTTTATATATATCTGTGCCATTTCATAATAATTTTCAAGTTGTCTTTTATATTGAAACAGTTTACTCCTGTATTGATCCTATAATAACAAATATGTACTTAATTTTCTGGAAGTAATTCAAGTCATACATACCACTTTTTATTACATGATGGCCATACAAGAATTGCTGTTCTGCTGATGGTTTGACCCAAATCTTGTACGACGCATAAGGAGCTATATAATTCAGGGCGGTTATGTGCAATCTGAATTTATTTGTCTTTGTGAATTTTCCAAAACATGTTCCTGCTGATATTAAATGGTCCGGTTTGACAGTTTGCGCTAGTTGTAATAGACGTTCCGATATGTAATAAACGCGGTCTTTTTTCTCTCTAAAACAATATGTACCATCAGGTCTGTCTATTAAGAGTTTTACATTAACACCGATGCTGAAAAAAATAAGTAGGTAATATTAGTTATTTTCATTTATTAAATCAACATTAAATCCAATTATACAACTATTGCTAATCTTACTATTTTGTTAGTTTTTCGAACAATATCCTTGTTCTTTCTTCTGATAACACTTTCATTGTATTTTTAATATGTAATAAGTACCTATTTCATTAATTTTTCACAAATAAAACTATAAAACACGCGGCAGTAATAAACATGTGAATATGACATTGACAGTATATGACTAACAGATTATATTAAAGCCGACTCAAAGAAACAGAGTGCCATAAAAGTGCTATTCACGTATCCATGCAAAATGAAATGGTTTTTAAATTGAAATGATAACATTTTTCTAGGACCCTTATAAATGACACTGTAAAAATATAAATAGCCACCGACTACCATTGAAGAAAAATGTATAATTTTAGTTTGTTTTTAGGTGTGTGTATATGTATGTGTGTTGTGTGAGAGAGAAGAAACAGCATAGATTAAGAAGTGTATCTAAAATTCCTCTAGTATATTTATTTTATTTCTACAAAATTTCAAATTTTTAGTCCAAATCTGGTACCTAAAATTGTTTAAAAAGATGTTCCACTTAATGTTCTCATCAGATAATTATTATATAAATACATGTTTTATTTATTATATTGTGTTTATTTTCATTACTATGAAAGGCCCAATACATACAATAAACCAATTTCATTGGTTACAATGTAGTATATTTTTAGCATACTAGTCAGTATACCTACTATTTTGTTTGTGTTCTTATCTATCCTAAAAATAACAATAGTGCTATCCTTAGTCTATGGTTTCCCAGCTTTCATTCAATCATGTTTTTATCAATCGAATGATCACTTGCGTTTTCATTCACATGAGTTGAGAGTAGCCGAATGCCGAATAGGTACTAAAAGAGTACTTTTTGCCGAATATTGTAGTGGAGGTAGGTAAGTATTTTTGTATTATTTTTTAACAACTTATATTTATCCAAAATAACTTGTTATTTTAGAAAAGTTAAACGTATTATCATATTCTATGTATAGAAACATGCTTTTTACAATTAAAAAAGTATTATGTTTAATTTAATAATAAGATATTCTTGTTTAAAACATGCATTGAGCGCCCTTGAAGTGATGTAAACACAACGCACTAGGTATGATAGAAAAACGATAACTTCATAAGTGACATTTTTCAGAATCGTCAAGATTTGTTTTGCTAATTTATAAAAAAGTTACTTTTTTGTATTCATATCCATATGGATTTTATCAGAATTTAATAATTACATGACATTTATTACTGAAAGCATCAAAAAAGAAAATAATTGATATTTTTGAGTTAGGTCTGTTTTATACTGAGAATAGTTTTCTAAAAAGTTTAATTCACTAATATCCATGAAAAGTTCAAGGGAAAATGTTCGATATCAGTGATTTGTTCTCAATAGTGATATGTGTAAACAATGGGAAAGTTTTTAGGTATTATGTTATATTTTTTAGTTATTATGTATATATAAATAATATAAATAAACACTTCTAAAATATTATTTTATTCTGTATGATAATTTTATTTATAAGCAGAGAATTGTATGCAAAATATGGTAATATCTCGAATTTGTGTAATTTTAAGTTACAACGATTTTGTACTATGAGTGCGATAACATAACCAAACATACACGCATATGTATAAATTGCATACATAGTTTACAGACGGCTGTGTTTCCTAATTATTTAGGTGATTTAGGCTAGCCACTAACTGTCGTTATGTACCAAGTTTATATATGTATGACCACTACTGATAAATAAATTTTATTTAGGTACATATAATGCATTTCTTTTATTAATGTGTAAATTATTACTATGACTGACTCTACCATGTGTTGTTATTGTTTCTTTTTTTATTGGGTGAAAATGGCATGGCGCAGGCGGGTTTACCTGCTTGCGCTATTGGTATACACTGGCGGGGTACCAGTAAGAGGTGATGATAGGTGAGGATGAAAAGGCAGATCTGTTAACCCATCGTGACAAATTCAACGATAAATTAGTCACGATAGTTTCATCGACCCGATAGGGTATTTTGATACCAATGGGGACTAATTTCCCCATTACTAACAATCCCTTTTCCCCACTATGTGTTGTTTTTTTTGTGGATGATAATGGAATGGAAAACCCGCCTGCGCTCGACGAAATAAAATCAATGAATATGGTTTCTAGTGGGAACCGCGTGGAGGTCGACCTGGTAGTGTATTTTGATAGCAATGGGGACTAACCTCCCCATAACTAAGAATCCCTTCCCCCCAGTCAGGTGGTCCCCTGTTTTTCGTAAGAAATATTACTATATTTATTACGGATTATTGCCGAGATCAGGATTTGTTTTAAACTGGTTTCATGTGAAGTCAAGGCGCGGAACTTTGTATCGGATACAAAAGGTTAAGCTGTCCTTTAGTACCGGCATATTTAAGATTATTCATAAGAGTGGGGGAGGTAGGGGGGCGCTGATCTTTAAAAAATGCACATGATGTATCTCAGATATGTCTTCGTGAAATTTCGTGTTCATCATGATATGCGTGAAGCAGTTTAGAATGTCTGGTTTCCGTCCTGTAGGATGGGAGCGGAGGTGAACAGGAGGGTGTCCACCTTGTGGTGTACTTGGTGGGCACGGCCTACCAAGCCCCCCTTAAATCCACCTATGTCTTTTAAGTTAATACCTACATTCTTTGATGAATTTATTTGTATATTTGGTTGTATATTTTATATTTAAAAAACAAGTAAGTAGTTTTTGAAGTCACTTTTATGTAAATATGTTAATAACGACGAAAATTTTAGAAAAATATTTTTGCTCCGTAAAAACTTTAATTGCAACAAAATTAATATGAGACCAGTAAGGGAGTAAACTGTCTTTGTAAAAAAGAATTACTAAAATCGTTTTAGAAGTACAAAACATATTGTGTTAGTTAAACAAGAGTTATTGGAACTTTTTTTTAATTGGATGATAATAGAATGGTAAATTTCGCCTGCGCTATCGGTATACGCTGGCGGGGCACCAGTGCGTGATGAAAAATGAGGAGGGAACAGGTCAGTTGGCCCATAGTGACGAATTCATATAGAATTAAGCAAGATGGTTTCCAGGGGAAACCGCGTGGAGGTCGACCTAATAACGTATATTGCTAGCAATGAGGCTGTTCGATCCCTATACGAAGTCACTTAAAAAGTATTATCACATAATACATTACTAAAATTTATCTTTTACTAAAAATAACGGTATTTTAATGTATTTTTTTCATACCATAGTGTTGCATACTTCCTGATGTAGGTCTGTAGGTCACTCGATAACGACTACTGGGTTTACCATGGGAGTGGTCTTGTCCTTGCCCAATGTAATTTGCGTACCACACCCATTACTGTAAGATTAATTATGAAGGAGTGGTTATTTACTAGCTGCAGTCAGCCACTTTGGCCGCGAGTTTTGGAACTCTAAGGTCTCTCCATCGCCGCTAGGGACACGCAACTGGTGGCCATATTGCTAGAATACTTTAGGTGGACCTCTAAGCGGTTCTTTCTGGAAACCATTGTGGATAAATTCTAATGAATTATCTGCGTCGGTTGGTTGTTATGGGCCACCGTTTCCCTCTTAAAACATCATCAAAGCTTAGCTGCGGTTGTCTATCTGTCAGCCAAGCGTGGCAACTACTGGTAAAACCTCCCAAGGGGGAGGCCCGTGTTTTTTTTTTTGGGTGAAAATGGTATGGTAACCCCGCCTGCGCTAACGGGATATGCTGGCGGAGCACCAGTGAAGGGTGATAGATAAGAATGAAAACAGGCCAGTTAGCCCATCATGATGAATTCATCAGGAATTAACCATGATAGTTTTCAGGGAGAACCGCAAGGAGGTCGACCTGGTTGGGTATATTTCTAGCAATGGGATTCTCAGTCTCAATTACTAACAATCCCTTTCCCCCCGGGAGGCCTATGTTCAACAATAGACAATTAATGTCTGATATAGTGACAATAATCTGCGTTGGACTACTTGATCTGACTTCATCCTCACCGAATGGTGGATTATTTGTTGGTATTTTATGGATTGCATTCAGAAGAGGCTCAGGAACGAGGGTGGTAGGCCCGTATCCACTTCTTCCTCTTCCGTTCACGCAATTTCGAATGTGGATTCGTCAAAGATCCGCTGACATACAAAACCAAAGATGGATACAGGCTACTGATTGCAGACAATCAAAATTGGCCGTACCTACGTTGAATCAACGACTATCAAAACGTTTATTACATCTAGATAGAAAAAACCTCAAAATAATGATAGGGACAATAATGGGCCATTGTCCATTAAACAAACATTTATACACAATAGGAGCCACGGACAGCCCTCTATGTCGAGGCTGTTTCGACGCTGAAGAAACGGCTGCTCACGTAATCCTGGAATGTGAGGCTGTGGCCCATCAACATTTAGAAATCCTCGGAACGGTGAGGTCGCTCCGTGAGGCCTGTGAAGAACTCACGAAGCTTCTGCGCTTCTGGGCGGAGCTAGGTTGGCTGTACTAGCCACGACTCATACGCACAACGGCCCAAATGAGAGGCTAAGTGCGGAAAACAGAGTCTTTCTCACATTAACATTCACATGGATTGCATTTTGGAGAGTGTGTGCAGGAATTACATGACCTTATTTTTCCCGCATACTTCCACCATCGAACAACAAGGCACCGGGAACAGTTTCACCCCTTTATGATTGACGTTCCATATATTTGTACTAAGAATTTCGCTTTGACGTTCCAATTATTCGTATTAAGAATTTTCCTTTATCGTTTTTAATGCGAACAGCAAAATTGTTGGTTTTTCTTCCGGCGTCTGTTTCTAAATTCCTTTAACATGGTGTTTTTAAGGCAAGAGTGAGGCGTATAACATCTTAGACCGTCTCTTAAGATCAAGTGAAATTTTCTGCGAACGCGCTCAAATTTAATAGAAAATATCTTGTCTGTGTCTTTTTTTTTCAAATGCAATAAAGAATATTATAAATAAAACCTATACAAATAATACCTTATTGGTGCATTTACATTTTTATTTATTAAATAAAATCAGCACCCTCCGCCTTTCCAATGTTAATTATTTTTGCTCTAAGATTTGTTTACCACGTGTCTTCTGGTTACGTTACGTTATACTTAGTCTTTGTTTATTCTGTGGCTAGTTGTAGCCAACTAGCTAGCCTAGAAATAAAAGTAAACGATTTTCGTCTCGCCGTACGGCCTTGCGGTGACTGGGA